TTGGTAGGCACATTTCGTTCCCTTTGGACAGAGCCAGGCTTGCTGTTTTTATGCGAAGCTCAGATACAATCGATCTTTTCCTATAACTCTCAGCAAGAAAGCGAATAAGCGTATTTCTCGAAATGTCGATACTACTCCTTTAAGATCCAAATATTTTCCTCAGATTGTCTAAACCTGCTTTTGCCGTTATACTGTATATATAGAGTATATACTTGTTAAATTCCTGTAGTGTTTATCAAGATCTATTCTTATTTCCATTAAACGTTCTGTATTTCATAAACTACAGCTCCATAAACATTCTGCCTATCAAGAAAGCCTCATGGTTGTTTCACAAACGTGTAAAAAAAAAAAAAAAAGCAGGTAAACTGATTGCACGTGCACGTGTGTAGCAATCACCGACTGAGAATGAGGTGGTCATTCTCCTCTCAGTCTCTTCTGGAGGTGCAGGGGATGCAGCAGTAGTCTTAATACCTAACTGTGAATCTGGTGGACAGTTAATAGTTTATAGTGTATTTAATGCAAAAAGTGAAGCTGAGATTTGCTTGCCAACCGTGCCAACGTTAGACCTCCCCACTGCTCCCCCCCCGAACTGGTTTTCAGGGCAAATAGGCTTCTGTTATCCTACATTCCTGCTCTGGTTTACTTTATCTAATCAATTTAGGATTGGATTTTAGAAATGGGAAAGTTAACTGGGGTGAGATGCTGTTTTTACAAGAGGTTGAAAAATGAATTGCTGTGAAAAAGGCCTGTAGTTTGAATTTATCACCAAACTGCTGCACAATATGGTGTATTTAACTCTTAGCTTACTAAGAAGACGTGGTATTAGTGTGTAAAATGTCAATAGTTGACAGTGAGGAATACATAGTTCTGGATTTGGCTGCTGATTTCAGACTTAGAACGAAATAAGCCAGTAAACACGAATATGTAAACATAAATGTATATATTTAATACGCCAGAGAGGAATGTAAATGTGCCCGTATATTTCTATTAACATAACTTTTTACCTACATTATCTCATCCCCCGTTCAGGGAGCTCAGTGATTCCTATAAACACACTCAATACTGTACAATGAATAATTCCAGTTTTGATGGCACAATAAAGATAATTTCATCCGCATTTGGAGATTTGAAATCTGGACCGTTTAGTTTTCATATCCCATAAAGCATTTTGAGCTGCATCTTTAAATCCACTTACATTATCATTATGTAATCAAACCACACTTTAGACCTACAGTAGTCGTTTTAAATACAGATATCTTGAGACGTGGACGAGGCTGTACTACTCCACAATTCACAGTGTGAGGGCGGGAACGAGCGGGTCATTTAATCCCCTGTTCAGTCTCAGTTCTTAGTGAGAAACTTTTGCAAATGAGGTAAAAAGAGCGTCATGTGTCATAAACTGTTCTTTCTTTAGGATTTATATTTAAAACAAGTTAGACAGGCCGCTGCCGTCATTTCTAAATCACTCAGGAAAGAAATAATGAGGCTGATTGGCAAAAATAAGATTCAAATGCCAATTCTAGAACAATAAAGAACATGAATTTTGTCTTCTTTGATTGTTGTCTTACAGTTCATGTAGCTCTTTAGCACATTATTCACAGCAGGTTACAGAAAGCACCGGTGCCTTTCCTTGAGATGTAGTACTCCGCAGTGCCTGCAGGGGGAGCTGTTGCAGAGACTAAAACATGCCAGATCAAAGATAAAGCTCAGTTCAGAGAGCCATCTACTGGGGAGGCGATGCAGACACATAAAAGAGGATCTCTCTTCAACACATAGCCCTTGAATATTATTGGAAATGGCTCATATCGTGTGATGGCTTTAACGCACTAATGCTTCATTTCCTGTCGAGGAATATCTCAAAGAACTACGATTCTTTCTGAATGAAATCGATGCCATGAGTTGTTTTTCTACAGCTCTGTGGTGTTTCATGTGTCTGCTTTGGGATCAGTGGGTGGGAGTTAATCTCAGTGTGATGCACAGGAAGCTACAGACACAGATGCAGGTGAGATGGAGATCACAAGCGACGCGAGCGGGCGACGGCTCAAAACTGGATCCAGTTTCCGGTGTCCTGTGGTCGCGACGACGGAGGAACGGAGCTGAAAACACAAACACTGGTGTGACTTCTTTTCTGTGTATTATGATGATGACATTATGTCAGTTATTAAAAGGATAATTCCAGTGTTTTGCATGGTTGTCACCTCTCTTACTCCACATTTACAATACCATACTTTAAATTCAAACTTAAATTTCTTTCCAAGCTGTACATAGAAGTTGTAACAGGAGAGTGTTAATGCTCAGATGGACACAAATCTTATTTATATTGTAAAGTATGCACAAAATGTTTAAAAAAAAACACAGTACTTTTACATTATATGGCCAAAAGTATATGGACACTCCCCATTTGTTTCCTTTATTATTAATAGGAGGACCAGTATTTAGGATTGTGGCATCTACCGTTGTTAGTTGCGAGGTAAATAAATAAATAAAAACAGCTAAGGTAACGACAAAACAACTGAAAGATTTCTGCCGATACATCCTCCTATAAATGTTACACACTGGACCTTTAATTGTATTTTAAATCTCTCTCTTTGTTTGGTTTGAAAAGAACTGACTTCAACCTCCATCGAGCACCGTTGTGATGAACTGGAGCCAGACCTCAACCCCAGACACCAGTGTTGGACCTCACTGATGCTCCTGTGGTTGAATGGGAACAAATCCCTGCAGTCTTTCCCCAGAGTCACATATGGGCGTCCACATACATTTGGCCACATAGTGTATATTTTAAGAAGTGAGCTGTCTACCTTGCAGGAGCGGAGAAGTCTCCCCAAAGATCTGAACTAGGGTTTGTCTGAACCACTGTGTTAGAGTTACTAGTGTCCAGCTCCAACAGGCAGCCTGCCAGAGATACAGAGAGGGGAAACACAGAGCTCATTAAAAAGTAGATTACTTACAAACTGACACACATTTCACTTCTTTTTTTCTGCAGCCCGGAGCTCTAATGACTCTCCGACTCATCCAACAGCAACTAATTACCACAGCGATTAGGAAAATAGGTCACTCCTGTGGTGTTAAAGCTGCACAAGATTATTACGCAGTCGCATGCCACACCCACAAACTCCACAAAGATTTTAAATGCTCTATTTGATTAAGATTAAATGTGCACGTTGGCTACGATCGCGCTATGAAATCCTGCTGCTGTTACACCCTTTACCTGTCGCCGTGCTGCCTGTCTGCGGGACTATGTTGTGATTGGATGAGCCTGACGAAGGAGGAGGGGCTATCTTGCCTCCAGGTGGTGGTGGGAGGAGTCCAAATCCACCTGAGCCTTGTGGGCGGGGTTTATCCCTCTTTTTACCTTGCTAGAGACAAAAGGGGGAAAAAAAAAATCAGATCTTCATGAAGTATTTTCCACCAGTTTCTTTACAGGAGCTCAATCCCCGTTTTTATTCCTGCTGCAAAACTGCCAGTTAAATGTAAATTATGACTTCCTCGGCGCTTTAGATCTCTGGTTACACTCGGGCTGTATTTTAAGTTTTATAGGCATCATAAAGCTACTTTTAAGCCTAATAAATGCCTGCGATGATTACTTATTATGACTACTTGCAGGCTAATTCCATCGTAAAACCACCAGCTAAAATAAGCTTTCTTTTTCCAACAGTCTCATTTTATTTGAAATGTAGTGAAAATGTGGTAGAAGCTGGTTCTCACCCCTATGTTGAGTGTGATGGTCTGTCCCTCTTTAAAGCCCAAGTCCAGTTTTGGTCCCGAATCCCCGAGCTGGGCGCTTTTACTGAGTTCATTCTCCTGTTTCACCCATCTGCAGGGAGGCAGAGACACACATCAGCACGCACACACACAGACAGACATAAACAGCACATCTCAGCAGAAAGAGTTTCCACAGCACCAGACAGCGCTGCACATCTCAGAGACAGCATCATAAAAACCGCCCAGTCACTGCGTACTTGAAGTGGTCCTGCAAAGCCACGTTGAAATCAAAAGCGTCCCCTCGGTCCCCGAAGCCGACTCCTATGAAAGCACTGCGACCTGCGGACCAGAGGTTACAATAGGTGACGTTAACAACAGCCAGAGGCAAACAGGGGAGCTTTAATAGATGTTATTGAGTTGTTGTTCTAACATCCTCACCGTTGTCATCCTGTATCCGCAGGACGAAGTATCGGCTGGAGTCGCTGACCGTTTCCACTGTAACACCGGGGTACTCTTTAACCGGTGCCTGGGCAAACAGCTCCCCTGCAGGACAGGAGGGGGGGGGGGATTACAAGAGATAAACAGTGACCCATCCATTCATTAATGTATTTTATATCAACTGTTAATCCGGATTAGAGTCCCTGGGGGGCTGGAGGTTATTTGGGGATCCATCTTGGAGAGATAAAGAATATTTCAGTGAGTAAGTAATGTAATATGATGGAGTTTAACACACAATGAAGTCACACCTGAGATCTTGTCCTCCAGCTTGATGAACGCCACCTGGCCCTTGGCTGTGATCCTCATTCGGCCAGACCAGTCTGGGGTATCCAGCTTCCAGTCAGCCGCCCTGAAGACAAACTGGGTGTTAGACTTAAAGCTCTACCCATAGAAATGGACACTGATGATATATTAACCATGTTTCACGAAGAATAAGTAGAACAGAGAGTGGAAACCTCAAAATAACTACAAAAATATACAACTTTAACAAATAAAACTCAACATATCCTCTCATAACGACAGACACAAAAAATAGGTCAGATTTATCATGTGAGCCCTTTTAGGGGGTTGGAAGCCATGAACTTATACTAAATGTACAATATATTTATTACATCTGAATATAAAAGAGGATAACACGTCTCTTTAAAGTAACACTGCATCTGAAATGGGACAAAAATCTATCATACGAGAGCGCAAGAGGCCAAATGGATCTTAATGGAAATCTGATTTGTTATCATGTCCATCCAGACTGTTTACAGACCCCACTGCGCCTGCGTGAAAAAAAATTAAAAAAATGGTCGTTTAGAGTTCAATAGTTTCCACTGTGTAAAAGAGGACATCCGAGCTGTCTCACGGACGGCCGGGACCGTCCTGGCACATCGCCCCGTATCGACCCGGGCACGGTACCGCCGTCACATCTCCGTCAGCTCAGCGGACAACAAAGCGACACACAAACACCGAGCAACGGCTGGAAACCGTGTCTTCATCTCCCGGTCAACGACATTAACGTACAGCCACTGCCCCGGATTCGGGACTGTGTGTGTGTGTGTGTGTGTGTGTGTGTGTGTGTACCGGCGGTGAGAGTAAAAAAAAAATTTAAAAAATAAACACCAACCGTCACCAAACAGCCGTTAAATCACAACCCACAGCGCCGTTAACGGTCGGCAGTTATCGCTCTTTATACCTGTATGAGCGGTTGGACGCTCGCGGCGGGATGCGATAAACGTTGACATCGGGCTTCACGCACAGGATCGACTCGTACTCGCCCTCGGCCGCCATCTTGATTCTACTGTTATTAAAGTGGGAGTTGTGACTCATTTATTCGGTTCTCTTTCTGAGTGTGTGTGTGTGTGTGTGTGTGTGCGTGTGTGTGTGTGTGTGTGTGTGTAACCGCCAGTTAGCTCACACACACCACACACGCGCGCGCTATCCATCAGAACTGTTAACGGGTCTTTTACCGTTAATTAACGGCGCTTTACTCCCATTAAACTGTAGATTTTTTTTTTTTTTTGTGTAATAATAATAATAATAAAAAAAAATTTATAATAATTATTTTTCAATTTTAGAATAAAATACGCCGAACTGGTTGTCAGTAATGTGTTTTTAAAAATATATATATTTAAAAACAATTATGTCGTGAGGGGGCGTGGCCCTGCAGGTGCTGAAAACGGCGGAAGCGGAAACTGTCGCGTCGTTTCGTCTCCTCGAAGATTCCTGAAGATCTGCTCAGGGTTAGTCCTTTTATTGCGTTCATTTTGCCGCAAACACGCATATTTAATGCACGAAACATCGCGCGAACCGTGGGTGTTATCGTGAACTAAGAGCAGCGGTGTTTTGGTAGAGATACAACCCCTCTTTAGATCGCTACAGTCGGATAATGTAAGCTGGTTGTCGCTGGCTCAACAGACATCGCTCGACCGTTAGCCATATTGACGGCTGCTGCTCGGCTCCAGTCGCTCTCCGAGGTCCTGAAAACACGATGCGTGACCCTTGACGGATGCGTTACTCGCACGCACGTCGACTTGCGGTTGATCTGGCTCAGACTCATCGTCCAGCTGCCCCCCCCCCCTTCCACAGGAGGCTGGCGGCTTTAGCCACAGAGCTAACCTAGAACAGGATCTGTGTTTGTCGCAGTGATCAGAACAATAAAGGAGCTGCAGGCACTCCTCTACGGAAGCTTTGCGGTGACACATTCATGCCCTGTCTGCTCGCCATTGTCACCCCGTGCCAACCCATGCCTCAGCTCTTTTATTTATTTATTTATTTATTTATTTGTATGTTTGCTGGTTCCTCCCTTTGCAGCTGCAGGATCTGGTTTCTGACATCCTGAGACAAACCGATGCAGTCAGGGGGAAGAGAGATGAGGAGGATGTACGCTGACTGAGCCAGCAACTGCCCTGAAGCAACATTAAACCGGGTCTATAACAGCACAGCCAGGCTTTACTGAAGGTACGGGATTCATATGTTATTTCATTATGTGTAAGCATGTGTGTCGTGTATAGATGTATTTATATTTGTGGATCCTCTTCCACTGTGCTGGCTCTGTAAGCATGCAGCATTCCTTCACAAGTCTTCTCTGAATCAGATTCACCTCCTCCCCCCCCGCCAGAGACACCATGACGTCCTCCATGCTCCGCAGACAACTGAAGAACCTGGTCCAGAACTACTCTGAGGCCGAGGTCAAGGTAAGAGAAACTGAAATAATATATATTAATATAATTTGCCCTGTAGCAGAAAATAAGATGCTTTTATTCTGTAAGTTTTTGGTTTAAGATGCATTTTTTAAAGGATTTTTTTGATCATTTATTAGATAGGAGACAGTAGAGAGGTGACAGGTAAACGAGGGAGGAGAGGTAGAGAACGACATACACCAAAGGTCCCGGGCCAGGCACGAACCAGGAACGTTGCATCTTCAACCTGTAGACCCCCAAAATGCCTGTTTTTAAAATCTCCAATGACACATTTTAGATGTATTGTGCACCGTGACGGTATTGAACACTCATTTAAAGTTCCTACAACAGCTAGCACACGCAGTTCTCTGAGATCACAGTGAGTCATTGTCTTAAAATCCCAGACGTCAGGTTATTAAAGTAAGGGAGATATAGAGATATCATATGTTTCTTGCTAAAAGGCTGATCTGTTGAAACATGATCGGCAACAACCTGGCAGAACAGGTAACTTGATGATGGCACTGTAACCGGTGCTGCAATTTCTAACTGCAGAGCCTTTTTGTCACAAGCTGGCACCCTGACCTTTTTGGGCTGCTGCCACCTTATTTCCCCACACACTCACATTTTCTTGCTTTGCTTCCTTTTGCAGGTGAGAGAGGCGACGTCTAACGACCCGTGGGGCCCCTCCAGCTCTCAGATGGCTGACATCTCCGATCTGACCTACAATGTGGTGGCGTGCAACGAGATCATGACAATGCTGTGGAAACGCCTGAAAGACGACAAGAACTGGAGACATATTCACAAGGTAAACGATGCACAACAGTCTCCTACCTTGTGTTCAGACTGCGGTTAAACAGACATTTCACTGGCATTATTGTGATGTTAACCTTAAAATGTCAGTATACTTATAAGAACAGGACATTTTTTAAAGGCTGAGGCTGATTGGTACCTGTAGCACCACACTCCTCTGTAATGTCTCCAATGGATGCGTCATAGATAATAATAATTAATTGAGACAAGTAAGGTCACCCAAAGCTTCATCTGTAGCTTTTCTTTTTTAAACAAGGTCTGTGTGCTTGGAAACCAGATGAATCTGCGAGCTCAGTATCCTTAAATATAACCACCACCACACAATATTGTGTTCTTCGTGCGTACTTCATGGGACACACAATTTATGAGTAACATGAGAACATAAAGCAGAGAGTTTTAAATTTCCTTGAAGGTTTGTTTGGCTGTGGTCAGAGAGGATCATATCTAAAGGGGTAAGATGCTGAATGGCCAATGTCCAATGAGTAATAAGAGCCCAGTATCTTTAATAACCATCATATTTTTCTTCAGTTCTTTCGATTTTATAATTAAATATCACAACATGTGATCAAAACCAAGATACTAAGCATTAAGGTGAATACGGGGAGACCCTAAGTTTAAAAGATCTTTGCAAAGTTTACCAACGCAGCAGTTTTTAGACCGGTCTTCAGTTAAGATGTCAACTGTACCACATATCTGCTATAAAGTTACTGGTATCACCAACTCAGTAACGTAACAGACCTTTGTAACCATGTATTGTGTCATGTGACTTTGTATTGGCAGTGTCCACTACAAGCATTGCGTTGTTTTTGCATTATTTATCTTTTCCTTACCGAATCTGTGATTTTACACGGATTATATTTTGTTCCTTTTCATTGTTTATTTGTCCTATGAATTTCACAATTGTATAGAAAACAAACATTTTAAACTCTATGGATTGTTGGTTGTTTGTTTCAGCCATAAACATTGTGTTTCACAGACATTTCTTCACTGTCGTGCTCTTTTTCTCATACCAGTCCCTGACACTGCTGGAGTACCTGTTGAAGACCGGTGACGATCGTGTGCTTCTGAAAATGAAAGACAACATCTATATCGTCAAAGCCCTCACCGAGTATCGCTTTGTAGAAAAGGATGGCAAAGATCAGGTGATACACGCTTCCTGATAAGCATGCAACCTTTTAGTATCCATTAAAAGGGATGTTATGCATTAAGGTTGTCCATTATTGACACTATAACATCCATATCAGCATACTCATTTAGGGTTCACTAAAGAATTAAAGAATGAGAATCAATTCAGTCTCCGTTTGCTGTCTCAAAACAATGTAAGAACGCATTGATTCAGAGAAACAATGCTAATGCAAAGTCTAATGTAAGTATATCTGTCCCAGGGAGGAAATGTAAGAGAGAAGGCCAAGGTTGTCCTTGTTCTAATGGAAGACGATGATAAACTAAAAGAGGAAAGAGACTTTGCCGTCAAGACCAGAGAGAAGACGTCGAAAGGTGCCGCTGGTGAGCACATCTATCCTCAAGTATCACTGCTTAGATACTCATCGTTTCAACTGTTTTAGCATAATTCTCTTTATTTGTCTGTGTATCTCACAAAGATCTCATACAGTCTCTTTTTCCTTCTAACCAGGCTCATCCACGGACCCCATCAAGGATCCCAACTACAAACCGTGCTACGTTGCTGGGACCTCGGGGCTTCCATCCTTAGACAACATACCCTCAGTGGCAGACTTGACTGCTTCCTTCGCCGCCCGCAAAGAGGAGCGTCTTAGACAGGAAGCTGAGAAGAAAGAAGCAGAGAGGAGGGTAAGCGTATAGCAAGTAAAGTGCTTAGCTACAGCAAGTGGACACAATAGCATCAACGCTACAGTGTGTGTGCCAAATCCTGTAGGTCAGATACGAATTGCCTTGATTACTCGGCTTAACTGAATCAGTTTGATCTCATGTAAATGAGAAGGATTAAGTCACACCACTATTCAAAGCAGTAAGTAAGTGTTTGTGTTTACTTTTCTAATTATGCCATTGTAATATCCTAGGCCAAGATGACTGAAGAGGAGCTTCAATGGGAGGATGCGGGCAAAGGCAATGACGCTAAAGGTGCTTGGGGAGGGGAGAAACCAGCGGAGGAAGAGGAGGTGAAACAAGCTGCATGGGAAGAAAAAGAACCTAAAGAGGCCACAGATCCATGGGGCACACCCGCAAGACCTGACACCACTGACACCACAGCTAGCAGTGATCCTTGGGGGGCTCCAGCTAAACCTGATGGAGATCCATTTGCAGCACCAAAAACTGACGAAGATCCATTTTCTGCGCCAAAGAATGGAGAAGATCCCTTTGCAGCACCAAAAGATGAACCCGATCCTTTCAAAGCACCGAAAGACAAGGAAGATCCATTTGCTGCTCCAAAAGCCAAACCAGATCCTTTCAGTACATCTAACAATGATCCATTCAATGCACCCAAAGAGGATCCATTCAATGCACCCAAAGAGGATCCATTCAGTGCTCCAAAAGAGGACCCGTTTAATGCTCCTAAAGATGATCCATTTAATGCTCCCAAAGATGATCCATTTAATGCTCCTAAAGATGATCCATTTAATGCTCCAAAGGATGACCCTTTCAACACCCCAAAAGACGATCCTTTCAGTACCCCAAATGATGATCCCTTCACTGCACCAGCATCAACACCCCCTAAAGAAGACCCATTTTTAGCACTAGACGACCCCTTCACTGCTTCCATAACACCCCCTAAAGAAGATCCCTTCTGTGCACCGACTAAACCTACCCAAGACGACCCCTTTGCTGCCCCAACAACACCCCCTAAAGAAGATCCTTTCTCTGCACCATCCAAACCTACCCAAGACGACCCCTTTGCTGCCCCAACAACACCCCCTAAAGAAGATCCCTTCTGTGCACCGACTAAACCTACCCAAGACGACCCTTTTGCTGCCCCAACAACACCACCCAAAGAGGATCCTTTCTCTGCACCTTCCAAAGCTACAAAGGAAGACCCCTTTGCGTCACCAACAACACCCCCTAAAGAAGACCCATTCACAGTGCCATCCAGCCCACCAAAAGATGATGCCTCCGATCCCTTCAATGCCCCTCTGGTGAGTTCACCCCAGGGCAGTGCAGATGCGTGGGGAGCCCCTGCTAGCTCTCCACCTGCTGGGTCAGATCCCTGGGGGGCGCCACCTGCTTCAAGTGAAACAAAGGGTGGAGATCCCTGGGGGGACGGGACAGGCGCCTCCTCACCCATTGATAGTTCCAATGCTTTTGGGGATGCATCCAAACCAGACGATGACCCATGGGGCGCACCAGGTAAGGAACAAGCAAATAAATGCTTGAGCATGAAGAATAATTATTGGAACTTGGGAATCCATTTATCTAAGAAAATATTCTAAACTCAGGTTAAACTAGTAGTTTTTTGCAGACCTTGTCTCAGTTGTCATCAGAACTTGGATCATGTGATAACAAGTAGTCATATACCGTGGGGGGGATGGACATAATACCTGTACCACCAGAATCATCCCAGTGCGACTACGTGGTTGGGCTGTTGGAATATCTAGCGAGAGTCCTGAAGGCACAACAAGTCTTAAAGTACCACAAGCCATTAAGCATCACTTAAGTCATCAATCGGTGGATAGCTGGAGAAAGATCAAGGAGGCCACAACCGAAGTTTCTTACTGGAAAGTTCTGGAAAAAGCTAATAAGTGAACCTCATGTGTAGAGTATTTTATTACAGAAGTAACAAAGCCATTACAGTGAAACATTGGTCTTTTTTTGTATGTTACTGTTTTGTCCCGACTGAGCCCGCCTGCTGTATTTCCCTGTTTTAGCTGCAGCTCCAGTTAGCACAGACGATGCGTGGGGTTCGCCTGCGCCGCCCTCCGACTCATCTAGTGACCCCTTTGGAGACGGAGCATCTAAAAAAGACGATCCCTGGGGTGCACCGAGCAGCGCACCTAGCAATGGGACAGGTAAATTAACACATGCATATTTCTGCCATCCATCCATTATTCACGAGAGTAAGACCCCATTGTCTGCCTTTTGTACACAAATGCTCAGCACTAAATTCTATGGCATTTGCTAAAATTACTGCTTGTTAACTGATCTAAAACCTTAACTGTCTGTGTGCCTGCGTCTGTGTTTATACCGCGTATGAGCTTTTTTCTTGTCTACATTTAATGGTCATTTGCACGTGGGACCGTTTTTCTTCCATTTTCTGCCATTTCACCTCCCATCTTCCCATCAGTCAGCAGTTGCCTAACAATCATAATCAATAAAACCTCTCTTCCGCTTTGCTCTCTCTTCCTCCCTGACCTGTCCCCCAAAAGAGAACACCTTTTAGTGTAGAATTGGACCTTTATTTTATTGCAGGAAAGCAAACAGTCCCGGGAAAGGAGACGCATAGAAAGACTGCTTCGTTTCTGGGCACTGCGGCGGCGTCGCTCGTTGACTTGGACGATCTGTTTTCTTCAAACCCAAAACCCAAACTGCGCCCCCTCGCCAACACGCTCGCCGCCCAGACACAAGCCATCGGTAAGGACAGACAAAGTGCTTCACTCTGGGTGAAACATGCCATTTCTGACAGAGGCTTCATGTGGAATTATTTGTGGCGCGCTTGATTTCGAACGGATGCATGATCAACCTCAAAGACTGGAAAATAACTGAGCACCCCCGGTGATGTGTCAAATGTATTCCACTACTGCTCCGCTTCCAGAGAGTGGGGGGGTGGGGGTGGGGGGGGACAGTGTGACTGACAAATATTAATCAATCGGTTTGTATGAAAAAGCTTATTGTGGTTATGTGTTTGGCCTGATCAACCCCACCCCCCCTACCTGCTTGTAGTGTATAGACATTTGTGTGTGTGTGTGTGTGTGTGTGTGTGTGTGTGTGTGTGGTATAGAGACTAGTGTATATTAACCAGCAGATATTTAACTCTTCTCACCCCTCCTCTCTCTGCTTTTGGTGCATTTTCTCTTTGCTGGAATACTTCAAACTGTAAACCTCACCCCCCCCCTCACCCCATCCCTCCTTCCCCCTCATCCCTCCATCCATCCTCCTGTTACTCCTCCTAATTTCCCAGGCGCTTTCAAAGCCAGGGGCATGACATCTGGCCCTGTGTTCAGATCAGGGGCCGTTGCAGGGGTGTCCCTTCCTGAAAGATCGGCCCCATACTGCAGTCCTTTCGGTTCCACCCACCCTCCCTCCTTTGGTGCTCCTCCTCCCACTTTTGGAGCTGCTAATCTTTCCAGTGAAGCCCCCCTATTTCAGCTACCACCCCGTACCACGGGAGCATCTCATTTTGGCTTAAATACGCTTCAGGCAGCTCAGGTGGCTCCTCCGTGTTCAGGAACTGGAATGGTACAATCTGTTTCTATGGGAGGGAGTCCACAAGTGGGATTTAACATGAACCCCCCCTGTGGAGGAGTGGGAATGGCACAGTCTGGATCGCTGGTGGGGAATCCTTTGGCCGACGCCCTTTTATGGGGAACAGGAATGGGTCAGCCCGGTGTCTTTGGAGGGATTCACCAAGCAGGAGCGGCTCACCTGGGAGGATCCACTCCACATGCTGGGGCTGGAGTCCCCTTCCAGCCGCAGTCGCTCTCAGGCAGCGGGTTGGCTGAGACGGCGAGCAAAAACAATCCATTCCTGTTCTGACAATCTCACGTGCACCAGATATAATATTCAATAACCACACCGGCTAGTTTTACATGTTTTAGCCTTCTAAATGCATCTGTATGCTCCAAAATGTAGGATTTTACATTGTTCCTTCCAGGCAGCCATTGATTTCACTTACTTTTCATGATGTTATTCATTTCCTATCATCATTGTTGTCAACCTTTACAACAGCAAGTCAAAGGATATTTCAGATTTGTAGGCATGGACTGTTATATTTGAAGACATGTCATTATACAGCACGTCTCTACAACAAGGCAGTTCAACGTGCTTGGAAGAGAAACAATAAGCAAACATTGATATGGCGGAAGAGATTATGTGAATTTGGCCAGTTCTTTTCAGCAGCTGGAAGCTCAGATGTCAGAATGTTCTTGAATGCACCAAGAAAAAAAAAAGTGGTGGTGAGAGTCCCTGTCCATTATGTGATACCTGCAGACGGGCAGTGGTTACATGTATACGACTGGTCAGGCTAAAACATGCAAAAGCACTTGATGATCTTTTAATTAAACCCTTCAGCCCCCCCCCAGCTTACACTCCCCCCCCACTGGAAATCTACACACGTCCAAATAATCTAATAGCCACGGTTTAATGTATGCAGCAAAATATATGAACACAAATACACACACATCTGTGTAAAGCCGGCCGTCCTCTCCTTCATGCACAAGCCTCAGAAACAGAAAGCACCGGTGTGTGTGTGTGCGTGTGTGTGTGTGTGTGTGGACATACTGAAGAATTACTGTGTATTTTAGTGTCGTATGATTCTGTAAAACATGAACAGAACCGATGTGAGGGAGACGTCTGTGTAGGGTTTAATTCAGCGTGCATGTGTTTGTACAAGGCGGAGAGAGGAGAGAGTGTGTGTGTGTGTGTGTGTGGTATACGTATATTGTGCTAATGTAAATAGTGGAAGTAATCACAGATAAACCTTGAAATATACTGTATATTAGAGTGTTACAATCATGAGTAACTATTTATGGATCTATTTATTGATTTATTGCTTGATTATTTATTGATGCAACACTGCAGCAATGGTCTCCCGCGAAGACAAGTTCAGGTTTAACTGTCACCACAGTGTCATCAGACCGGCTCAGATGATGGTATTGATCACACGCGATTGGCTTTAATCTGACTCGGCTGTTTGAACACTGCATAATCAATCAACTCAGTAACCAATGGTGGCTTTTCTTTTCCCTGTTTTGATCTGTAGTCGTTCTGGATTCATTGTGTAATTGAATATGTCCTCGCTGTATCTCCCGACATTAGACAAGAAACAGATGTATTACTGTATGATGTTTAGCTACAGCGTCGGCTAAATAGAAAACCGAATTTGAACATATCAACCTGTTTAATGTGCATGCTGTTTGAGTGGATCCTCCTCTGTGTGTGTGTGTGTGTGTGTGTGTGTGTGTGTGTGTGTGTGAGTGATGAAGTATTTCACACCTTTAACGAGAAGGCCGATCTGTAGACGAGGCTCCACTTTACCTTTACTGCATCTCTTTGTGTGGCCCTGCAGAGAGCTGCTTCCTCGTGGCTGAAGATACATGTATGAGATGTTTTGATTAAGAAAACGGGAACAGTGGCGGGATAAATCGTAGTTTATGAGACGAGGAAAACAGTTCAGTGATTAAAAGCCACCCAGAAAAACAGGCAGGACCAACGTGACTCCTCAGAGGTCACAGAGTTTTGATTCGTTCTTTGTGTTTCATGGGTCTTCTTTCATGTATTTTTGACTCCTTTTTAAATGTGAACTTTGGTGGAAAACTTGACTGAAAGACCGACTTCAAGGAGTTCTAGTAGAGCAAAATAAAAATAACACTATGATTATTATTATTATTTCTGAAATTTAATTTTGTATGAAATGAATTTATTTTGCTGTGTATTTACATTTAAAGCTGTGTTGTAAACTGTGACGGTATACAGTACATTTGAGAAATAAAATGATACCATAAGTGAAAGCTTTCTGTTCTCACTGTGTCCTTTTTGTATGTCGCTTGTTGCTTTTTGAGGATTTCTTTGAGCTCAACCTTTGTCTTACAACCCAGAAAGAACTGGCCTGCTGTCAACACAAGAGGGCAGCAAATACACACGTATTCAGACACAGCATATTCCAGTCTCACTGTATGAAACACTTAATGTAGTACCAGTTGATGCCACTGTGGTTTGTATATTGAAAGAATATCCTAAAGGGAAATAAATTCTGCTTCCATATTAAGGTTTCCCAGTTTCTTTGTGTCCACCTTCGATCAGAAATGGGTTTTGCTGATTGTTATTTCTCTTGGATGTTTGAACGACGTATGTCCACGTGTTTTCACATCAATCTGCAGAAAAGGGAAAGTTTAACACATTTGTAACCACAAAGCCAAACACTTGGAAAAAGGAGACCTCTGGTATCTGCAGTTAAACTTTTGAAATAAAAGATATTTACATTTTCACTGATTCTGACTTTTTTTTCTATGAGCGAGAAGAAGAAAATGTACTTTAAAGAATTTTTGACTAGTTAATTGAGCTAATTGGTGGAAAAAACATCAAATGCAAATCATTACTTTAAGCAGATAGCAGCATATGTTTTATAACACGTCTGAAAACCAAACCAATGTGGGATTTCTGAGATTTTGGAAGGGACATTCACAGGTCACCCATATGGCGGTGCCAGTGGCGGACTCAGGCTGTTTGAGGGGCAGAGAAATAAAAAGGGCACCAGCGACTACAAAGTTCTGGTGAAACAGCTTAGTCAGTTTTCGAGCATGGGGGCACCGCGGCCGATTCATTTATTCACTGTATATCTCTCAATTAATTATGGAGAGTAAGGGGAGTAAGGCCATTAGAGAATTTGCTGAGGAAGAGGAGGATATGTAGGATTGACTGCTGAGGCGGATCTGAGTCTCTCCATTCATGGAAAGAGAGACAGAGCTTAGTGTCTAAAAACGGAAGGGGGGACATTGAGGATTTGGCAGTTAGTCAACATGTGTCACATCAGGACACGGCGGTCTGAGTCCTTGTGCTGCCTTTTTGTACACAGTCGAGTCTGTGCGGTTCTTATTTACTGCAATATAACAGACAAATAATTGGTGTAAATGGTTTATCCTTCAGATCTAATTCTGTCTCCCACTTGTTCCACCTTTGTTTCATCAACACAAACAGTTTAAGGGATTAAACCTCTGTAATTTCTTTTAAATTAAAGATCAGAGCGACTTAGTTATCCTGTTATCTCAAGATTACAAATGCTGATCATATTTAGATTCAAGCCCAGTATCCTAAGATAGCAGTGATTACCAATAATTACTTATTAGTTTCACCTGCGTCTCGATTCCTCTCCTTCAGTATTTTTGGTTCTGCTTTGCCTGGACTTACCTGTCTACCTGCCTTTTACCTGTCTGCCTACCAGTATCTGTCTGTCTGTTCCTGCCTGTAAGCTGCATCACTACTAAAGTGATACAGGATGTCAACCCACAAATAACAAAGTTTATCTTTTATTATCCATCTAGAGTGCAAACTATTTTATATATTAAGATTTATAATATAACCATCACAAAACTTTATTTAAGAATGGGATATAATTTGTTATCTTGAGAATATAAGATGTTTTAGCCTAACGCAGAAGTAAAACAGTTTAAAGTAAAAGCAGGGAAGAAGTTAGTTGGTTAAAAATAATAAAATAAAGCATCAACATGTAAAATTATTAACTTTCAAGGCAAAGCACAACAACACACTGGCTGTTCTCCCTCTGCCCCCCGAGCTGCTGTTTCAGGCCTCTATCGTTCTCAAAGAGAGCCGAATGAATTCAACTGAAGCAAGAAATCCTACAAAGTTTGAACAAACTGTTCCAAACGCACCGTCTCTGGCTCTCCGGGGGCTTTCCTTTCAGGGAGGCAACCAATGGTTTTCGAGTGATGGGATTGCCTAAAGCCGGCAGCTGTATGGACTGTACATCTGTACTGGTTTGTGTTAAGAAGGGTTGAAGTTTAGAGAGTATGCACAGGCCATGAGACCACAACACTGTCACACTCATCTGAGTCTAAGCTGTTCCCATACAGTCAGATTAATCACTATAGGATCAGAGGTCAGGAGGGTTATCAGTGAGAGAGGAGGAGGGATGAAGAAAACCAGAGAGAGCTGTGAGGATGGATGAATCGACAGTATAGGGAGCAAAGGGGAGGGAAAGTAACAGATGGACTTGTGGGGATTAGAGGGAAATCTCGGTGGGTTTCTGATGGGAACTCACCCAAGACGGAGGAGGGAGTGATGAGGGAGCGCAGAGGAAAGGTGAAGGACACACATAGAGTCTCTGCCAGTGGTCCCCAATATGGTGAGTCGAGCTGGTTTTGAATTTTCTTATTTTTTGTTGCACGAGTATAAGCTGATCAGAAGTTGAGCGTGAGCGGCAGCTGGATCTGAGGGGAAAGATTCCAGCTCATCGTGATGAGACGATACAGAGGAAAGCAATAATGTACGTATTCTACTTTTATTCATTAAGTGTTAACCTGCTGTTTTGATGTGGATAGTGTGCTCATGACCTTTAAGACCAGTCAATTTAGACACCAAACGTCATATTTAAAATCACAAACAATAGTGTTGGGGTATATGTAAAGCTGGGACAGTGGACTGAGATCACCTTCATGCTTGGATGTGTTAATCTATAAGCCTCCGCTGTTGATAACATGGACAGGTGTGTGGATATACTACACGTGTACAGTAAGTTAAGGCTGAGCAGAATAATATGTACCTCAGTGAACCGCGTGGATTATGGATGGATAGTTTCACACCATGAGATGATTTGATGGACCAAATTAAACCCCAATGCCTGGTTGAACGTGACATAATCACTTATGATTAGAATGATTTGATTAAAATGATGGTGCATGCCAGCGGTGGTGGTGGGGGGGGGGATAAATGGATCACCTGAGAGTGGGTCACTTATTATAAACTTGTGCTTTGCTGCCAAATGCTGTTTGAACTCACAGAACTTCATTTTAAATTCTAGTGGAGATCCCAAAGTTTCCAAAGGTAACAAATATGTGAATTTGGGGGATGTGTGTTTAACATTATGGACAACACATGCAGAATATTTAGATTTACGAGTGCTGCAGCCCTAAAAACACTTCAATGAAGAGCTGGAACGAGCTGATACAGACTACAGGGTTTGAGATAACGTCAGATTTGTGTGGAATAAGTGGATTTTTACAACTTTAAAGCTGCTTAATGGAGAAATAGAAGAAAACCATGTTAATAGGTTTCAATGATGTTGCTGTTGGACCTCATACTGTGATGGGATAGTTTGGTAATTTTTGGTCACACAAATACATTACTGTAAGTGTGGATCAATATTAGAAAAATTCCACATTGAGAGAAAATGTTCAACTTATTGTTTATTGAGTTGTTTGTACATATAATGTACGTTTTTATTTAGCAGCCTCGTCCTAATTATTCTCATATAACAATAATTATGCATCTATGTTGCAGTTTTTTTCTTTTGTAGTGTTTTGTGTGAGTTTCTATATTTTTGTTGTTGTTTTACCTCCTATGGATTTTGTTTTCGTGCTGACCTCCAGTGGTTTAACGTCTCACCGTGCAGCGGCGGTGCACAGATGTACTGCAGGACCTCAGTGTTTGCTGTAGTTAAAGGAGTAGGAGGAGGGAAACAGGCTTTCAGGAACTAACCTACTTAAACATTGTATTCCTTTGTGAGATAGCCACAGTAGATGGATGGGGGAGAGATATGCATCAGAGGTCCCAGCCAGACTCAAACAGAATGCAGTTTATAGTCTTATAGTGTCTTTACAGTGTCTTACACTGTAGCTACACAATGTAGCTTGAACAGCACATTAACAGAGCAGCAGCCTCAGAGCTACATCTGTGTCCACATAGGATGCTTTCAGCTACAGATTGCAGAGTCCAACACACAATAACTAAAGAAAATATACTTAAATATCATGTGGAAGTGAAACACAAGCTGTTATGTGGCCTGTGTAGCTAGGATGAATAAAATAGGAGTGAATCTGTTCCATCAAACAGGTGTGAGGCGGACGACTGGAAAACCTGAATCATGTTTATTCGTCTAACTCTTAAAGGTGTGATTTGTCAGAATTTAAAACATAAAAAAAAAAAAAAAAAATCTGCAACAGAATGTGAAGAAATAACGTTATCTCAAAGCTGTCTATGTATTGTGTTGCAGAGATATCTGCTGTTGGCATGTTAACCAGACACAACCTGGCCTTCCTGTAATACCACTTTGTACCTCAAGAGTAGAAGAGAGAGTGCAGGGGCAGAGGGCTTGTTATGTTAGTCTGTCCTGACTCATTGATCTGACTGAGGTTAGAATCTATGGCCCCGACCACGGCTCTGAAATATGAAAGGGCTCTGAGAGGGCCCGAAAAGATACTCGATGTGGGGAGGGGGCCCATAGAAAATGCATATGTACAGGGTCCAGAATTTGTTTGTGCTCTTTCCCTGCACATCTTACTGAGCGAACTAGCTAATAGCAAAAGTTGTGACCTGACATGTGATATGCTGCCACCTATTTGTTGAATTGGAGTATGAATCTAACAGGTAGAGAGTAAAAACAGAGAAAAGGAAGCGTTCAGATCCAAGTTGTATTGTCTCAAAACATCATAGGGAACAAAAACTTGACTCTACTGTAACAACTCCTTAATCCAGATGTTTGACTGTGTCTCCCGTCTTTACTTTTAGGTGGTCGTCCAGACAAAGTCAGCATGAGAGTCAGTTGACTTAATCTCATCCACCTCACCCTGCAAGATTAACACAGATTACCAGGCCCAGAGGTAGGCCTGAGATACTGGACTAATCACTTCTTTGCGAGCTCAATCCCTCCCAAAGAGAGGTGGAGGAACAGGTTGAGAAACAGGACGTGTCCTGAGAACGGGACTGATTAGTTTCAAAATCCACAAAGATAAGATTTAAACGTTTATCTGAGAGGGAAGCAACAACCGGTCAGAGAAAACAAAAGTGAGGCGAGATGTGATGGCAGTGGAAACATGGGGTAGCGGGGCAGCTCGGTGAGAAGAAATGACTGGAGTCAAACATCTCGCCTGGCTCGTGCCGTAACGTCAAGAAGAAAAGGAGGGTCTCAAATTTAAATCTGATGAACTACTTTGCTTTTCTGGAGAGCTGGAGTTGGCAACCTCTGGCCTGCACATCTGTCCCCTTTTCCACTCGCTGGAAGTGATTAAATCCCAGCACTTCATCTTTCTCCACTCCACTGTCCTCTGACCTCTGCTCATCGACTGTTCTCCTTCCTCAAACCCCACCCTCCCGACATCTCTCCACCCGACCTCTTTTCAGATTCCTTTCTGACCTTTGTTCCACTTCTCAAACATCCCTAATCCCCTCCTACCATCCTCCATGAATCAATCTCAATCACAACAACAACCCGTCACGCCCAACTCGCTGGACTTCATCTTGACTCGTCACTGTGGTGTCACAGCAACCCCCTTGCTCCTCTGATCCACATCCCAGTCGAACCAACATCAAAGACAGGCCGAAGCCCACTCTTGGGTCGGTCTCACTTCTTGCTGGGTTTCTTGGAAGTCCAGACGCAGCCATGCTGGAGAACATGTCCAGGCGTAACCGCTCCCTGCTGTCGCTTTCCCTCACCTCACTGGCCCTCACCCTGTCCGTCTCGGCTTTCTGCACCTCCTATTGGTGCGAGGGAACGCACAAGGTGGTGAAGCCTCTCTGCCTGTCGCCTGTCAAGATGAAGAACTGCGGGCAGAACAACAGCCAGCCGTACACGACAGGTGAGGCCTGGAAATGATGTCAACAAAAACATTCTTCCTTAAAGGTGCTCCTGGTGTACAGGTACAGATGTTTGTTCGTACACTGGAATAATAAACCACTCAGGCCTACTGACAACACCCAATAGGCATTGATTATGGGATTTCCAGGTTAAAAGTGGGCTACATTTAGTAGAAACAATCTAGGATCACTAATCCATCAAAACAGCCAACCCTATTTCTTCCCTTGTTGTTACAACTTCCAAATTTGATAAAAGTTCTCTTTTCTTTTTCTTTGGGACCCCCCAAAACCAAAAAAAAACCCCGCCTACATTATAAACAACCATTGTTTCAACAGCATTTCAGGGTTCATATCTCAGCATTAGTTAGCAACTGCTTCACATCAAAATTGGTTTATTTAAACAATAGTTTCATGTGACACACACTTTAAAAAAAATATAATTCTCGACTGTATGTCTTTTGTGGGAACAAAATCAGTTTATATTGGGACCATAAGAATAAAGGATTTTACTATTGGGTTGAAAAACCGTCACCAATTTTATGGAAACAGTCTGATATATGCTTATAGGCTGTTATGTGCAATTTGGCACATAACAGTAATTAACCAGTACGTCATTATTACGTTATTTATTTAGTTAATTTATTCTTATGTTAAAGTACAACAAACACAAGATCTTCCTAGGAATGCATGTTGTGTTCCTTATTGTAAAGTGTCACCAAATCAGGGAGTGTGATGGATCTCCAAAACATATTAAATTTAGGAAGTTTCCAAATCAAACATATTGGTCCAAGAGGGAGGAAATTAAACTCTTGTGCATTTATTGTTTTGAGTCACTTTCACAACAGAATATTTGCATTATTTGTGTCACCGTAGATACTGCAACAACCATGTAATATAAATATAATGTTTTTATCTTTCACCAGGAAATAAACGATATAAATCCAACTCGGATTAAACTAAAATTGGTGTTTGACTTAATAAATATTTGACTTTTATCTATTTATATCATCATTTATGAATGATGAGTGTAAAGTTCAAATTATCATCATCTTTTATTCTGTAAGTAAAGCTGCATACATTCAAAAATAACCTGTATTTTACACATGTGGAATACAGATATGTATAGTTGCTGTATGTCTCGACCTCCTTCTTGTATGTGAAGCATATTGTGAAACACAGAGTAACATATTGATGGCATAATTATAATGTAAGAATAACTATTAATATTTCCAAAAATACATCTAATTTTGGGCATCCACAATATTTGTCTTGCACTCACATATTCAAGTACTCTACACTTTACTCGACTGGCAGAGATTCACATAATCCCGGCTTTGTTGCTAATCTCAGAACTTTGTATCTGCAGCTGCATGTTATCTGGATTCACTCACCCGCCGTCTTATCTTTCAGCTCTAAGCCTATTTCTTTCCATGTAGTATTCAATTTTCACTCCATAGAAAATGACAGATTACCTAAAGAACAGTGTTACAGGGCTGGATTGTGTTACACGACTTTGAGGATTTATGTCAGAATTTCTTGTCAATATGAAGGATTTATAAATGTGCCTTCCCTCCTTTTTCTGCACCTCTGCTCTCTTCACCTCTGGATACATTAACTGCTTCTTTATTCCCTAAATGTATCTCACTTTCCCTGTTTCTTTCTCCCTCTGTTGCATCATTCTCAACTCTATCACCTCTATTTTCCAACATGCTTTCCTCCCTTTGCTTACATTTTTATCCCCTCCCTGTTTAATTTTCCCTCCCTTAATACTTTCATCACTGTTTGTGTCCTGTCTTTCTCCATGCAGAGACCCCCACACCGGACCCGAGGAACCCGGTCTCCAACGTGACGCTCACTCCGCTGCAGAAGGAGGAGCTGGCCAGGATAAAGAGGAAGCAGCTGGCCAACGCCGTGCATTACATCTGGGAGACGGGCGAGGACAAGTACATGCTGCGTTACTTCCACACCGGCTTCTGGCTCTCCTGTGAAAAGCACAATGAAGGTTGGTGATGGCAGAAAACATAAACAATGACAGAGACCACGTGGGTCTCAGATTATACTCAAAGGTTCACTGTAAAAGCACCTGCATTTTGACACTGTACAAATATTAAAGTTAAAATTATGGCCATAAACAAAAAATATATGTATCTAGTTAGCAGCCAGTTTCATGGTCAGACACATCACTGAATCATCAATTAAATCGTAGATCAAGTGAGGACATTTCTACCAGCTCAGCACCTGAAATATGTTTACCCAATGTACTTTATTAACAGGAAAAATAATGTAATTACAGGAATAAGTTCTTTAATATTACAAAACCACCAAAACTGTCAGTTATTTCTCAATATTATGGAAGAAGTATTCAGATCTTTTACTACCCCATTACAAGAAAAGTGCATTCAAAATCCTACATATGTAAAAGTATCATCAGCAAATGTAAGTATCAAAAGTAAAATGACTATTTCTGCAGCTGTGACTTATTATTATCATATATTGTATGATTAGATTGTTAATACTGATGCATCCATTGGGAGTGCAGCTAGTTTTAACTACTTCATGTACAGTTTAGCCCCCCCCTCATAGGGTCATAAGATACATTTTGGGGGTCATGAGATGATTATTGTGTGTTCATTTTTTTTCTGTACTTTTCTCTACTCTATCCATTCAACTTATAGACATCTGTTGGAAAAAGTTGGAACCCATCGGTTTAATCTTTAACAATTCAAATATATTGTCAGTATATATCTGTCAGTTAAATGTACAATAGAGGAGTAAGCAGTAGAATATTTACCTCTGAAATCTAGTAGAATGTAAGTATAACGTATCATAAAAATGGAAATACTTAAGCAAAGTACATAACTCAATACTTTTGACCACTGAATATTATGATGTACCGTTCCTGACTATGTTTTTATTCACACAAAGTACCCATAATGACAGTAAACCAGTTAACACAAGATTAAAAACATGTTATAATGTTGTTTATTTAACCTTGTAAACCCTGTTTATATGCATTGATTGAACAGTAATCATTGACATAAACAGTGTGAAACCCAGTGTCAGTGGTCAATAACTGTAACTATTGTTGCCGCCAATAAGACTGAGTTTCAGTCAACACAGATGATTTACAGTTAAGCCTCTCTTTACTCAGTAAGGAGGATAATTTGTACAAGCCTGGATTATTGTAACCACAGAATTACGGAGCAAGTAAACTGTCTGTCACTGGGAGAACTGTTACGAACATCTGTTTATGGAAAAACAATTCAAATATGTTATTATTATCGTTATTGAATTGCAGGGGAGCTACACAGTGCACACGATTCAGAACGCCCTCAAAACTAGCACACACAGAGAAAGCTGAAAACAAAAAGCAATCACTGGTATTTATTCTTCCACTAAAAGACGCTGTGATTGGATGACGGTCAGCAGGACAACGCAGATTTCAATGGTTTAAATTCTTTCTCCCGCAGGAAGGTGAACTAGCGGGCTTAAAGCAGCTCTTTTTATTACGTTTTCAGGATTTATAATGATTACAAACATATGTTCTCAGCGTTTGCAAGAGATTATTTATGTCATCCTGGTGCAAAAACTACACATTTTGAGTTATAACAAACACTCTGACTCAGGGGCTTTTGTTATGACAGAGGCTACAAGGACAGATGTACGTTTTGCTTTTAATCTCGTAAATGATGGTTGACAATAAATTCAAATATAAACGATTCAACGTGATGTATTTAAAGGCAGGAATGTAGCATTTTACTACAATCTCAATAACTCCAGCTGTCGTTCTGTCAGGTAACGATCAGGAAGAAAAGTGTCGCAGCTTCATTGAGCTGACGCCAGGAGAGACACAAGGTCGGTAATGTAGAAACTATAACCTGTACTCCAATTAACATTTCCCTCACAACACCCAAACATCAATTTTTTTTTAATTACTTTGTGTCAAATCCTTCATTCTCGTTGGTTTATTGCATTATTTCCCTCTTAGGTGTCCTCTGGCTTTCAGTCATCAGTGAGTTCATGTACATCGGTCTTCTGGCCATGGGCTTCCTGCTGATGTGTGTGGAAGTGATTTGCCTCTGTGCCAAGAGGGAGATGAACGCCCTCAAGATCAACGCCTTCGCTGCCATGTGCACCGTCCTCTCAGGTGAGAATGGGGGGACACTTTCTGCTGAGTCGTTGTAAAATGTCCCCTGTTTGACCTTAAACTGTGGCAGCCACAAATATCAGTGACTGGGAGTTGCTTTAATCATGTGAAGTCACCAAACTGCATATGGGTATCTGTTCTTGTGTGCTGAAGTAAAGTGATGATCTGAACAATCACTACATTTAAAATGTAAATATAATATAGCATTATTTACTGATTAATCTTTTCTTGCTCCACTAGGTATGATGGGGATGGTAGCACACATGATGTACACCACCGTGTTTCAGATGACTGTGAGCATCGGGCCCAAAGACTGGAGGCCACAGACCTGGGACTACGGATGGTCTTTTGCGTAAGCATGTTTCTATTTAAACCCCCTAAAATATCTGACTTAAAGGTCCAGTGTGTAACATTTAGGATGATATGATCGAATATAATATGCATAGCTATGTTTTCATTAGTTTATAATCACCTGAAAATAAGAATGGTTATGTTTTTTAGAAGGAGACGTTTATATGTATATGTTTCTACAGTAGCACAGAAGCCGAACCAAACACTGCTTCTAGATTGGGTGTTTTTTGCTTGTTTCGCGACCGCTGTACTTTCTCCTTCGTGCTCAGAAGAGAAGGGTGAAGCGACTTAGTTGCGATCTGCAACTACACCACTAGATACCACTAAATCCTACACACTGGTCCTTTGGTTTGGTCACATGTGTGTTTAAAACTGAGAAATCTTGCAACGAAAGCAAATACTTTCAGAGGTATTGCAGAAGTTAGTAAATTCACTCACATGGACGAAGTTTGAGTCGTTGACCTCGCTGTGCCACTTGTGATGTGATGAGGCCTTTAAACAACACATTGCATTAGTTTGTGGTCAAATCATTCCTCCATCTGCTCCCCAGCATGGCGTGGCTGTCGTTCAGCTGCTGCATGGCGGCCGCCGTGGCCACGCTCAACTCCTACACCAAGACCATCATCGAGATGAAGCACCGGGCCCGGGTGAGGCTGGAGGAGGTTCGTGCTGCCGCCCGCGCCCCCTCCTACGAGGAGGTTGTCCGCGCCGGTGGTGGAGGGGTTTACTCCGTCAGTCAGCTGATTCAGCTCGGCCAACAGGGGGCGCTCATGGACCCTCTGTGGCCCAGAGGCATGGGACCAGCTGTCGGACATCTGGCGTGTGGCGCTGGGGGAGCGCTGCTTGTTGGTGGAGGAGGAATTGGAGTTGGAGGGATGGGAGCAGTTGGGATGGGAATGGGAATGGGAATGGGAGGAGTAGGAGTGGGAGGAATGGGGCTAGGAGGGATTGGCGGAGGAGGAAATGGAGTTGGAATGGGAATGGGAGGAGTTGGAGGAATGGGTGCAGCAGGAGTAGTCGGCGTTGGTGGAAATGGCGTTGGAATGGGAGCAGTAGGAGGAGCTGGGGGAATGGGTTTTGGAACGATGGGAGCACTGGGTGGCGGAGCTGGAGTGGGAGGTGGAAGGCTGGTGGACCATCACGGTGTAGTGGTAGTGGAGGGATGCGGCGCTGAAGGTTGTGAAGACTGTGAACGGGAAATGGACGAGATGGATTACGCCATGCATGAGGAGAGAGAGGACTCACTATGCTAAAACTTTTTGTCGGGATTGGCTCTACACATTATCACACCAAAATCTTTTCTGTTTTTTTTGTATACATCCAAATAATAATTGTAGCATGGTGCATTTCTAGACTGTTGTGTCATTCAATTTCCTGACCACTGGGGAGCAGTAAGACTCCAAATCAAGCTCACAGACTCAATGCTCTGATGAACTGTTGGTTTATCACGTTGCTACTGCCTACTTTCACATCCAGCAGAGACATCATCCCTTTGCAGTTCTGTTTCTGGCCACCCGATACATTTAAATCCACTCTCCTTTTAGCTCTGCTTTGGTCTCCATCAACAGGAAAATCTCGTGCTTTCTGCTGATTCTTGCTGGGCCGGCAGCGTACAGTCGGTTCAGCGAAACCTCCGCTTTTATAAAGAGGGCTAGTAAAAGCTTTGAGACTCTACCATCACGTTTGTGTGCAGCAGCAGCACAAATGGACTAAAAGAGACTAAAAGCTGCATAGAGTCTGGTGTTGACTCTCATAAGGTTCAGGAGGTCAGTAGTAGTGACCCATTACTTCTAATGACTTTGCTGGTAATGTTGTCGGTGTTAACATAAAAGATATTCTGCTGTTTTTTGGGGGTTTTTTGCTCAAACTTTTTTTGCCAGTATTCAGAATGAAAAGAAGACCAAACCACGTATATTCAAAAAGTGTATAAAATGTGAGTAAAAAGAACTGTTGCATCTTTTTTTTAACAACGATTAGTTTTATCTGTAAAATATTTTTAAATATGTTTAAAGGACCAAAAGGCGAAAATGTGAGGCCAAGCCAAAAGCAGGCTGTGTCTACTGAGTTTTATATTCTGTTGAAAGACTTCTGTATGTCTCATTCAGGCTGGATGTACACAGAATAACCCAACAGGAATTGGTTTTGTGATCCTCTGCAGTGACAATTATCTTTTGTTTTTTTTCCGGATTGTCTTACAATAAAAAAGTTTACTGCAAGCAGATCAATATAACCGAAAATCCAAAAACAAAACGTCTTTGCTCTTGTAAATCCAGCCTTACAGTGAGTGACTTCTTCAGGGATTGTGTGTAATTTTATGACTCATGTGACGTATGAGAGGATGTGAGACTGTATTAAGAGAGGGGTTTGAGAGATGATGATGATGAAGCTGTGACAACGGGCTGTGGCATATGATGTACATTTTATTGTTTTTAATCTATGTTTGCATGAATGGATGGAAATCCCCTCCAGTAAGGTGATAAATAAAAACAAACCACATCGTCTGATGACATCTCATCATGTAAGCGTTTATGTAGAGACTTTTGCAATAATGCAGAAATGTCGAATATAATTGCGTCACAATGTGATATTTAGTCCACATTTATTGAAAGACTTTTGAGCAGGAAGTTATTATATTGTGAAATGAGCACAAACGCTGGAATACAGATTTTATGTTAGTAACACGAATAATAGTAAGATTAGTTTAATGTACCACAGAGAAGGAAAACCAATGTCCATCATGTGAAACAATTACCTAACGGGCATTTCAGGCTTTTCATTATGTTAAAAGGGGTTTTGGGATATTTTTGGAATCTGGGGTTCTATAAGTAAAGTCCTGTTCATTATTCTCAATGTGAAGTGACGACAGCAGGGATGTCAAACTGATGGAGTGGGGGCCATTTCCGGCCCTCCGTCCCGCTTACATACATAATATATTATTATTCTAGTTGTTTCATATCAATTTGAAGGACCAGTGTGCAGGATTTAGTGGAATCTAACAGTTTAATTTTAGATTGTAACTCACTCTTTTAAGCATTCATTTCCAAGTGCGAGGGAGAAACAGCCCAATCTAGAGCCAATTTTTGGTTTGTCCATTCTGGTTTGTAGAAACAGGGCAGCCATGGCCAATGTTACAAAAACACAACGATTCTTAATGTCAAGTGATTATACACTAATGAAAACATACCTATGAATATTATATTCTATTTCTGACAATAGATCCTCCTAAATGTTACACACTGGCCTTCAAACTACCCCTTCATATACAGTTAAAATAAAAACACAATTACATTTTAGAAATGTGTTTCATTTGGTTAACAAAAGGAGAGCAGGTTTTGGGGTTTCATAAGCAAACATATAGATGTAGCAATGAAAATATTTTCATAATATTGAACTTTTTTTGTAATACTTGAACGTTGGAGTGGCCCTCCTATACCAGCAGTGGCCCCAAGCAAATTTGAGTTTGAGACCCCTGGACTACAGCATTTCTAGACTCAGATGGCCAGTTAAATCATCAGCATGAACAATAAGAGCTTTAATATTTAGGTTCATTAGTGAAAAGTTAAAAGGTACAACACTTTGTGCATAAGATTTTGGCAACGACTTGTGAATTAATTACATATTTTTATCTGTGTGCATTGCAGCTTTATTTTATTCCTAAAGATTTCAAGGGACCTGCAGTTATCCTGTGTTCTTTATGTTTCCTGTGTATATGTTCATCTACGAAAGAAAGCAAAGAAGAAAAGCGAGAATCAAAGATTACAGCAACAGAGAGATTTAGACATGAAGGCAGATGCTTTCAAATGCTGGACAGAAGATTATGTCAATAATCTCCCCAGTCAGGGGAATAAGGCTAGAGAGAGAGAGAGAGAGAGAGAGAGATTGACATAATACAGGCAGTGAAGCAGAGATAAACAGGGTGGTCGGGTCAGTGAACACTATGTGGAAAGTAATTACAAATGTAAATTAAGAGGGTGAATTATACAACAGTTCATGTAAGATGCCAGCACTTCTCACTTAGTTTACAGCTGAGTTTTTCCTCAAAAACCATCCAACATATAGAAGATGAAGTGGGTTAATTCCTTTATTTATTGTAGGTTTTATTTGCCATAAAATTTGCTTCTAATTCCCAAATTTAAGTCATCGTGTAACGTGTATCAGTTTCATTTCTATTGTCAATATTCTGACATGGCCAAAATAAATTGGTGTAATTGAGATTAGTCAGCTTTCATCCTGGGTTCAAAACTGGAACATCCTCCCTAAGATCTAACTATATAGAGGATCTATTTGCTGAAAGTCAATCTAGAAATCTTTATCTTTAAGACGTTCCATAAGAAAGAAGTGATCGATTTCCTCTTACTACTACTAAAAGATGCTCTGGAATTTATTTCGCTCCATAATGACATAAGCGTACTCTTAAAACCACAGCAGATGTCTCCCAGAAAGTGGAACAAGAAAGTAAACTAGGTCTTCTCATTATGAAACAATTTTAATCTTTTACTTAGAGACTATTATCTGTGTTCATCTTGTGTAACTTAATAACGCGGCCATTGTGACACAGGCCAACTGTGAACATCTGGAGGCTGCAAGGAACAAAGAGTTGGGATTTATTTTTAGGGCCAGAATCCTCCTAAAATACTTCAGTTCTGGGTGAACTTGAAATGTAGATTGTAATGTATCATTTCTGGATTCTTCCTCTGGATAATCTATAGACCCCAAAGGGAAAATAGCTCCCAGAGAGCTGTGGGATATGGGATTTATCCTGTGAACAACAGTTTTTTAATGTAATTTCTCTACTGTTTGCCAGTAATGAAACTGCAGTTGCAGACAATTAGAGATTAACCTGTGAATCAAAAGGTCAAAAAGTGGGGTGACCTACATCATTTGTGTCTGTGAATATGGGTATTGGTGCTATAAGGAGGACAGAGTTGTACCACATTTCACCACTTTGGTCTAAACTGAGATATCTCTGCAACTTGTTGAATAGATTGCTATTCATTTTTCCCTGAAGATTAATCTCAGTGACTTTGGGGATCATCTGATTTTTCCTCTAGTGGCTCCTTCAAACTTCTCTGTTTTTGTTTTAATCCTAAAATGACCTATTACGTCGGAAAGTTCTTCCACCCAGAAAGATAAACTGGACCAGTCCACCCCAGCAGATGCTGTTTCCATGATGGCCCAGGAGGAGAGGGAGGAGAGCCAGATAGGAGCCATGCTGTGCCCAGTTTGGACTTACGGCTGCTCCTGGTTAATGTCTGTTCTGGACAAAATGGAACGAAAAAGGAAATCAGAGACTGCCACATCTTTACAGAGCCGATGATGATGATCCATCAACATCCCGGATCCTTTACGATTCCTTTACATCCGTTGTCCAAGTCGACAGAGCGCCGGAACGAGAGGAGGCAGGCTCTGTTTATATTGATGATGCTCAAACACAGTCAAAGTGGATGGATTGGTGGTGGATGGCATTATTTTATTGTATTTATCTCATGTTATTCTCATATTAATATAATCATTTTTCTATCTAGGAGCTGCAAACTTTAATTTTTTATACGATCTTGTGTTGCATAATGATAAATACATTTCCTTAAAACCTTGGTTAAGTACGTCAAATGTATATGTAAGTATATTACTTGAGTAAATGTTGTTAAGAAAGAAAATTCCAATAACTTTAGTGATCCCTTTCCATCATCAAGTCAAATTTTCAATGTGTGCAGTAATTTGGTTTAGAACAAATTCCCTACAAAACTAATGACATTCCCATCAGCCTCTATACGTAGTGTGAGAGTGTAATTAGCAAATGTTAGCATGTTAGCCAACTAAGACGGTTAACATGTTTACACATTACCTGCTGAACCGCAGCATGTTCGAAGTATGTACATCTGCACAGAGCTGCTAAAATGACTGTAGTAGGTTTTGCTGGAAGTTCCTAACAAAGTTACTTTAACAGTGACACACAGTCCCAAAATGCTTGTTTTTTTTTATCAACAATAACATAGTAGACTGTAAAAGAGAGAGGAATGAAAAAATAAGAAGCTCTGAGACTTTAAGTTCTATTACAATTTCACGGTTTTGATTTATTGACTTTATTGTACGGGGAAATCCAGGACAAACACCTAGTTTTACATGTTGTTGTATATGAACAAACCTATTCTCAAATATATCTACAGCATGTAGGATTGTACCACATGGATGAATTAAACACTGTAAAAGACACAAAATTAGACCGTGACAAGGGCCCAGGTACGGTTACCTTCCTGCACTTACAGAGACAAGCATTGCTGGCACAGTAGAGAAAAACATATTTTTGGTAATGATACTTGAACTAAAGCAAATTACGTCATCATATAGAAATATGTGCTTCATCCATCGTAGTTGAAAGTAGTCAACTAGGATTTCCTGTGAAAATTTCAGATTTGGATATGGTTGCTATGGTAACTGTAATCACAGGTAACCTAGGGGCAACATCTGCTTTCCAGCTTTTATTTTTTGTCCTGTATGATCAAGAAAACTGTGCAGACAGCACACAGACATTGGTAGCAAATGTTATAAAGCCCTGGAGGAGATTCTATATCATTATTTAATTCTGAGCGATGGGGCGTTAGTTAGAATTAGCGTCACTCCTGCTATATGTTCACATTTGGTGAAGTGTCATTGCATTAGTAAAGTGAAGGGTGAAGCTGAAAAGACAGGACTGGAGAGAGATACAATGAATCTGTAGGAGAGTTACTTTGAAGGCTGATACTGAATCAAACGAAGGGCCTCCTCATTGTCCAACACTCCCTGGATGAACTCTCCTTCTGCCACTCGATCTGGAGGGGGAAAGAGTGAAGAAAAAGAAGAGGTTTGGTTCAGATCATTCAGGTCATTCAGGATCGCACACATGTTCGAAAAAATGCCCTCTTGGATGCCCTTCCAGTGGAGAAAAGTGCCCTCTAGGGTTGCCACTGCCCCTCAATGTTCTTCACTTCCACCTTTATATATAGACACCTATAGCTGGTTGGACTAAATTAGCACAGTCATCTAGTTGAGACAGAGCTGTTTATGAATATAATAAATCATTTTGGTGGTTGACAGAGCAAAATAAATCAGAAGCAAGTTATGTATCATATTTATGCTATTGAATCTCACCATTTTCGCCCTTTTCAAAGAACTTCCAGAGTTTATCTGCCCTCTTCTCAGCTGTGTTTTCATCCTGAGGCAGATCAGCCAGTTCATCTTCAGGAATCAGCTTGAAAATTGCCTGTTAGGAAAATAAATAAAAAAAGACACAGACTGGTCAAAGAAAGAGAAGTTTTCAATTTTATATTTCACCTAATATTAAACAGCACGTTGATAGTGGTGAGCTTCACACTGTTGGGTTCCTGTCTTTTTTCTTTTTTTTTTCTACATGACTTACACATCAACAGACTGGATCAATATCTGAAGCATTTTAAATTTCAACACAGACATTGAATAATCTTATCACATATGGGAAAAATATGGAGGATTTGCAGCACTGGTAAAACTTAAACGACTACCTCACATTTCACTGCAACTGCAGGGTTTAAAGAAAAGATTATTGGAAAAAAATTCTAATCAGTGACAAATTGTCCTATTCAGTCATATTGCAGTCAGACTGGAAAAGGATTTGGCTTTTTAAACATTATTATTCCACTTCTCTTACTGTTAATCTAATGTGCTTTTTTCTGCTTACTTTTGCAGTGCACAATAAAGAAATACATTTTAAGAAATAATAGAAAAGATACAATTTTCTGCCTAACTTTATATGCGATGATTGAATCGATTTTAAGATGAAAAGGGAAGATGTTTGAGGTTATCATTTGTATAATTCAGTGTGTATTATTAAGTTCTGCAAAATCTTCAATGTCAGCCTTTGCCCAGAAGCTAACAAAGGATACACTATGTCACAGTCCAGAATGATCCTGTATGCAGATGATACTGTTGTTTATACTTGATTTTGTACTTGATTTTGTTTTTCTAATGCACATTTTCAAAACAAGTAGTTGCCATAGTTTACTGATTATGGATTATGGATTATGGCTATTGTAAGGACATGTCATATTTCTCTTGTCTTCTCCTATATATATCATCCCATCCTCACTCCAAAGCTCTCCGTAAGCTTAGCTTTAATTAATCTTAAACAGTTTAGCAGCATTAATTAAAGTCTAATCCTGTGTTTAAAAGTTGTTATGTAACAAGGATGAGACCATGAGATGTGGAATAGCTGCAGTTAAATTTGGTGACAGGCAAATTGGTGCAATTACTGAGTGAGTGAGAATGGGGAAAACAAAAGGGATATCGGGATATAGAGCAACTTCTTTTGAGAGACTACGATCACATGCCTGATCAGTAACTGCTCCTTTGATCTCCATGTTACATACATAAAGTACATCCTATATGTATATAACCTCTTATCCAATCATCCACCCATTCTTTTCTCTCACTGTACATTAACGCCTTTACCTACCAATCAACTTAATTGTTCATGTCAATAATACAGTTCTAAAACTATAGAGAAGAACCTGAACCCACTTAAAACAAGTTTACCCACTGGTGAGTTCTGCAAAAGCTTCCAATGTTGAATCTTTATCTAGATAAAGTAACAGATACGGTACAGGACAGTCTAATATCAACATCTATGTAAATGATACTGTTGTCTATGCTTCTTTTTTGTTCCTGCTAATTCCTGCTAATGAGTTAGCAAATTACAAGAACTGCTTGTTTACAAGAGTACTGCATCACTTCCTCACCGTGCAGATTTCCTTGACTTCAGACTTAGTGATGTATCCATTCTTGTCCACATCAAACAGTGAGAATGCCCACTCCAGTTTCCTGGTGGTCTTCCCTGTTGACGTCATGTGGAGAGCGACGATGTACTCCTTGAAGTCCAGTGTGCCATCGTCGTTTGTGTCAAAGGAGCGGAAGACGTGCTGGGAGTATGTTTGGGCATCGCTGTCTGGGAAGAACTTGCTGTAGATGCTCTGAAACTCCTCTTTTGAGATGCGCCCTGTTGGACACTGCTTCTTGAAGTTTTCATACCACTGGACAATCTCAGTCTCTGAGAACTTGGTGTTGAGTTTTAGGTCCTCCAGGATCTCCTTGGACACAGCACCGCTCTTGCTGTTTCCCATTGTTGGTGGTGTTGGTGATGTTTTGAGCTATATCAAAGTGTGAATTTGTGGCCCTTCTAGGGCAGTTGACACACAGCTCCAACCTACAGAGTTACCTCCTCTAATTTGTCAAAGTGGTAAAGAGCAGACTGTTACTCAGGTATGGCTGCAGTATCCTTCTTGATCCTGGTCCTGGCCTACAATTCAGCCCAGAGAAGCATTTGCTGTGGACAGAGCAGAAGCACTTGGTAATCTCATTAAGCCAATCAACCATCAGTAATACCAGCAAGTAGTGTCACGAACAAGGTTCAACTCAAGTCAAGGCTGCTTATTTTTCAGTTGCAGTTTTTCAGATTCTCTACCTCATTGCTATTTGAAAATAAGCGGCAGGCCAATTTTAATTGGTACAAGAAAGACAGGAGACTGCAATAAGGTGGTTATTCTCATGCCAATGTCATCTTGTACAGAGAGTTGGGGATGGCAGTCACATTTTATAGTAGACTAGTACCATTCATACTAGCAGAGTACATTTCTAAACCCCATTAAATACTGTATATGTTCGCTGACACATTTTGACAAATGCACAGAAAATGTGAAGAAAATCATCTGTGATAACTGATTCCTGTTGCACTCAGACAATCCAACACTGAAGACTTCTGCAATATGACCCAAGACATTGTAAAATTCAGTGTAAAAGGAAAATTTAAATTTCCATCCATAGTTTTTCAAACACAGTCAACCCTGCTTAACGTTCTTCACTGATCCCTCACACAGAGTCAACTCACTCACTTTTTGCTATGGGTAAATATCAGGAGGTGCCCTGGTTTGTTACTGTAACCGTAATCACTACACTTACTTTGCTAGTCAAATTTAGACTTTTTAGACTATGTTAGACTACAACGGACAAAATCGTTGCACAATTGCACATAAAACGGTTGTTTTTCGTCGACAACAAGGTGAAATGAATCTTATCTCTGACTGAGTGAAGCGCTCTGGTGACCATAAAAAGACTGAATTGATACACCAGTTCTATATAAAGTAAATGTCTCCAGCAAAATCCATATGTCATACAAGCATGTTTGACAAAACAAGAAAAATGATCAGATCTGTTTCATTGCAATTAGATATAAAGCAACCTGTCATAATGCATCTTTAACATAAATAAATATTGATGAAACTCATCATTCAAATAAAAAAAACATTTGGTAAATTATGGGTAAAGTGGAAAGCTGGCGATTAAGATTATATAAGATAGTTCCACATGGCACACTGCTGTGGATGGAGAATGAAACCAACAAAAAACAACAAGAAAAAATTAATTTAAACAAGAACTTTTTTCTGTTAAAAGTCTTCTCTTTCCTTGCAGCATCTCTCTGTTCTTCAGATCCACATGACCTACCTAGTTTAAGACAAGTACTACCAATAGCCAATAGTCAAAAGGTCCACTGGTCATTCATAGCGCTCAGTTTCTCGAGTCTTAAGGATCTAAGGATTGCGACATTTCATGTTGTCAGTGTAGCACAGCTCTGATTGTTTCCTACCTGTGTGAGCAGCTGAGGAGTCCAGGACAAAGACTGATTTTCTGTCTGTGAGCAGCAGAGGAAATCAGCATCTACTTATTGAATAAAGTCAATTAATCTGGATCACCCTGAGGCGGAGCCAGAGCAGCACCCATGTGAACACCTGAGCTTACTGAGCTTATGTTTTTTGTTAATGTACAAGTGGTCACATTTATCTATAAGGTGTTTTTACAAACTAGGTTGCCGTAAGTTCTTTGGGACACAAATACAGACAAAAACAAGATCACAGACGACTACTCAGCAGGCCGATTATAGACCATATGTGTGCATGTCAGAATAAGAAACAAGTAAACACCAATAAATAAACATCTTTGCAAAGCAATTTGTTGGTTTAGTGATGCATCTCTTTATACTCTGGCCATGTGGAGGTTGTCTTTATTTTTTAACTGATCAATATCATCTATCATCTTCATCATTTTTCTACCTTATCTTGGACCAGTTATGTTTTTGACTTTTTGTGCATGCACGCATACACGGTTAAAGTTCCTCTGGTCACTCCTGAAATTTAGACTTTGAGGAAAATCATAAAAAAAAATTTGAAGCGATATGACATCATTAACATTTGAGCTGTGAGGGAAATACATCTACTAAAAAAAATCTTTCTTGTGCAGTAATAATAATCATAATCATAATACAATATTTTATATACAGAGAGTGACCAAAAAAAAAGAACCTCCTGTATCTCCAACACTCCTGTGATTAATTGTATTGTGTTGCACTATATGTGATGGATCTCAATTTCAATATACAGTCCAGCAAAACACCACCAAACTACACAATACATTTTTATGGTCACTCATTATCAGAAAATGTCTTTTTCCAAATGATATAACTCAAGACTGACTTTTAATGTCCCATGATGCTCCAAGTCTTTTCATGAGTGACACTCCAGGAGAAAGGCATGACTTTCTGCTAAATAAAGTTAAACTGCCTATATTTAAAGATATTTGCATTGTCAGTATTGCAGTATTATCAGTTTATAGAGTCAGTACACAATTGTAAGTGTATGTATCTTCCTCAACAAACCTTTTGTGATGGCATTATTGTCATTATTGTGAAATATACAATAAAAATGACAGGAAATATGAAGATTTGACATGTGACACAGCTGAAATGTCAGACTAAACTCTTCCCTGCAGCCTGACTGTCGTCTCGATCTGCAGCTGAAAACAAGTCAACTGACTGAACTTGGCAGTCAGATGTTGCCTGGTTACGAGTATGCTGCAGGTATTATCCGCTGTAAAAATAAACCTAATCAAGTGAAGTGACAAAGAAAAAGTGAGTCCTTTCCAAAAGACTTAACAGTTTAAATCCAGTGAGTGCTGGCAACTGGTGTACAGCGGGGGATTTTATATGCGCTTAACTGAATGTTGACTGCTGATCCACCATCTGCTCGGCTGTAAACCAGTCTACACACACATCTACTTGCACTACAGTACACCTGCTTCATGGGGAAACATGGTCCCTCGATAGGTGTACCTGACTGAAGCATGGTGGGAAGGCAGCAGGAATTAAGTGTCTGAATACTTCAGGGCTCAGAGGTCGTGATTTTGTTGTGGGAGTGGTCACGCCAGGTGACAGGATTATTGCAATTGCAAAAGTGTTTGCAACTTTGAATTGCAAATCTAGGGCTACTAAGTTACATGTGTTGCCTGCAGCCTAAAGCATTACAGATATATAACTGTAATAAAAAAATAAAAGAAAGTAAGCAAGTAACATTTCTGCAATTTTAAGGTTTTCCTGAACAATCAAAGTCAGTAAAACGAGTCGTGTGTGGCCAATTCATTCATTTAATATAATTTAAGAAACACAGCTATATGTCTGCACAGACCAGCTTAAAACAAACAAAACATGTCCAAATCAATGAAGTAACAGGCTAAATTTACACAGTGAGCCTGTTAATATCTGTCTTAAAGCTGCCTTAACCTGACGCAGCAGATATACGGCCTTACGCAGGGATGGGTGGAAGGTTCCTGTTGGCTGGTTCTGGCCAATCACATTGTTCTAAAGTTTGATTACTGTGACGCTACTCCTAATAATAACAGCAAAGTGTGTTAATTATCATCAGGCAGCAACTAGAGGGAAGCGGTCATCCGGGGTGAGCCTGGCCCTTAAATGTCCACCCATAGCGCCAGGTCTCTGTACCAGCTCACTATAATGGGCTTAATGGTCGTAGGAGAAGACGTGAGTGTCTGTCACCCCTCTGCCCCTCCCTCCAGCCACATTTCCACTTCACTGCCATTCTCCACCTGTCTACCAATCTCCCCTCTTTTACTACCAGGCACCCGACTCTCTCGTTCACGTACGCAGCTGTTTCCTCTTTCCCTCCTCAGCACATATACCAAGTCACCAGTCAAGAACCAGGTTGTCCATGTTGCTTCGTGCTTCATACTTCTACCTTTTACTCAACTACATATATCTGATAACTTTAGTTACTTTGCAGATTCAGATTGATAATACAATATATAATAAATTATGTATTATTACAGGTTAAGGCCACTGCCTACATAAAGCAAAGTGACAGCTGAGCTCTGGACGGCTGCTGTGGATCGAGGTATAAGCTTGTGATAATATCACCAAGCAAAGTAGTAACTAAAATGAGCATGTCTACTATCATATTCATAACAGGTGACATAGCTACCTGCAGGCATCCTCCACACCCACTGCTGCATCAGTTCTTTACGCAGGACAAGCACAGAGCAGCACCTACAGTACGCTCTCTTGGCAAACTTCTGATTTCTCTTCTTTTTTAAATAAAATTAAAACTGCTGATGGGCTTAGGCCTAACTTCAGCACCCCGCCTCCCTTTTTGGCACCGTCAGCCACGGTTCCACTAGTGAATTGGACTTCGCCATCTGGCCACCGAGGCTTTGGAGAGCTCTGCCAGAGAACATACAAAACCCATGTCACCTTTTAAATAAAATGGCTTCTTAAAGCGAGACAATGAAGCTTTTAAATGAAGAAAAAAAGCATAATCATCCCCATACAGATGAAATGAAAGCTGAATTCATAACCAATAAAATATACCCTTCCTGATTTCACTACGCTGCTGCCTTACTTGGTCTGGTATGACAAGTAGCTAATGCAGGTGCAATTATGAATAATTATAAATTATTATTTCTGTGATAGCGTGTCACAAAATGTATTGACCAGCAGCATCAGTCAACTGAGAGCTCCAAGCTCCTGTTACCAGTGTCTGGCTTTTCACGTTGTGTGTGTGTGTGTGTGTGTGTGTGTGTGTGTGTGTGTATGTGTGTGTGTGTGATTGTGGCAAAATGTGGTCTTGACCTGGAGACACCGGCTGTAGCAGGAACTACCACAGAAGTGATTTTCAGTACTCTGGCAGGTGTTTATGTCTGCGGACAGATTTCGTCACGAGACTGTAGATTTTGATCCGACCGCTCAGATAAAATGTTGCCCAGTTGATGACTTTTATGCAACTGACTCAAGAGAGTACTGGAAAAAAGGGAAAAGGAACATTTAGTTTTCTTGTTTTTAGTCCTTTTGTTGTGTTTTTGTTGTTCTTTTCCACAATTTGACCTGAATAATTCCCCTGAGACCATCCAACCAACCTCTTCTGCCACACACAGTTTCATGCACAAACATTGTTCGACCACAGTTTCTTATCTGCCAGTAAATACTGAATTATGCTGCAAATAAAATAGATCTAAGACTATTGATGTAAATGGTCTCAGCCACACTTCGGTGCAGCCTTTTAGTAAATATGGACAAAAGCAGTTTGACTGTTTAGTGCCTAAAGAGGAGTTGAAACGTCTTCGCTCCACCCGCTGAAGACACGCAGGGTCAAATGACTGTTTTGATTGATGATTTTTTTAAACTGAAGTGTAGAAACTGGGATTCACCCTGTCTGATCCTCAGTGTGACGTACTTTGATCTCTCTTCTTTTAGAACGGAGGATTTTCCTTTCGGGGTTAAAAAGACTGAAGACTCTGGATTTATTGGATTAGCAGTTTCTGTCCCTTGGCTCTTGAGACAGACCTTTAACCCATAACCTGGTTTAGACCGAGTTCTAAGAAAGGGAATCCTTTGATTGAAAGGAGAGGGGGATTAAAGTGGAGGGAGATAGAGAGAGAGCAGTGAAGGTGGTGTGGTGATTTGAGGCGGATTTGGCAGCGATACAAAGCAGACAGTTCGATACAGGGAATGGAAAATCGGTTGTTAGTTTTATCAAAGCTCTTCAACCCGACCTTGAGGAATCCCTTCCCCGAACTTTAATCTAGACACCTGTTTGCTTCAGGTATGGATACTAGTGGAGGGAGCAGAGGGAGCTCAGATCAACAGTCAGCCAGGAGATTGTAGAAAAAGAGTAACAACTGCCGGATTCCTGCATGTTCAAACACAACAGCTTCACGTGCAGCATCTCAGAGTAAATGGATACTTTATGTAAGGAAAATAATGGATTACGTGTATATAGCTCCTTATCTTGATACTCAAAGCACTTCACAGTGGAGGGGAGGAACTCACCTCAACCACCACCAATGTGTAGCATCCACCTGTATGATGCATGGCAGCCATTTCGCACCAGAAACGCTCACCACAAATCAGCTTGAGGTGGAGAGGGAAGGAAACATTGAGCCAATTACTAAGGGGGATGATTAGGTGGCCCGATGGAAAGAACCAGGTTGGGAATTTGGCGAGGACACCAGGGAAACTCTCTAGTCTTTATGGTAAGTGCCATGGGATATTTAGTCAGTTTAACGTCTCATCCTGCACTTGGGCACTGGGATTTTTTTATTTTAGGACCAGATGGAAGACTGCCCCCAACTGGCACACCAACACCACTCCCAACAGCAACCCATCTGTCTCCTATCTGTACTGGCCAAGCCCATAGCTTCATCCAGTCAGCAGAAACAGGGTAAATTTTTGTCATTTGCCCGTCAAACCTGCACACTTTTATTTTGAAAATAACTTCACTTTCTAATATGACACATCCAGAAATTACAGAGAAACTTTTTCTGAGAACAGTCTACATTTTATCTGTGTAAAACCTCCTAATAATCACCCTTCAGGGCACAAGAGGTCACATATGAGATTAGGCTTGAGACCTGACTGATCTGACTGAGGTCAACAGCCTGACATCACCTCCAAGGATTCAAAACAAGGCTTGTAAAAACAGTGTGTCCTCTTAATCCAATTACTAGCTCAAAGACTGTCTGCAGGGGAATACCCTGCTCACGATACGTTCATTCAGTGGTCAGTGGAGGGGGTTTACATGCTGAGGGTCACAGAGCTGTCAAGTGAAAGTCTTCATGATCTTATAAATAACCTGAAAAACAGTCAAGAGTTTAGACCAAACCTCAAATAAAAGAAGCAGCAAATAAAAAAAGAGTTTGCTGGAGTCCAGATTTAATGCACAAGGTGCTGATTTGTCTTTACTGAGTGTCTGTTTGCACCCTTAATGGAATAAAGGTGACGTATTCAGCAACAGTAGGAAGGAGGTGATGGTGGATGAACGCAGGAAACCAGAGTATTCTCAATGTTCACCTATTCCAGGGTTTTCAGTGTGGTCGGATTTAGGCAACATAACTTCTCTATGGTTTGGGTTATAATAATAACGTCAACGTTATCTTTTAGCTTCACTTTTTTGGCTGTTGACATATCACGACCCAGGACAACAAGTCAAACTGAATCTTAAATAAAGATTAGATTAAATCTAATATCTTTTTTTTTTTTTTTATCAAGATTTTGGAGTAAAAGTAAATAAATAATAAAGGTTTTGTATATTTAAGTGCAGATATCAGTTTTATGACAAATGTAGATTTGCCAAAATGTATAATCTGACACCATTCTGGTTCAGATGTGTATTTCTTTGGTGGTTAAAGGAGATAATTACACTTTATAACCTCTCTCTATAATATATTTTATATTTATATTTATATTTTTAATGGAAAGTATTTTCTTTCTCCACTTTCTGTATTTTCAAAGGTCACTTTTTATGTATAAAATTCTTATCCTGCGTTTAACTCTCTTCTTTTTATAGATGTTGCTTTAATCGTGAGTTCAAGTGGAGTTCATTAATCCGCCTAAAAGCTGATACTACTGTATAGTACACAGGGCACAGAAGGATGGATGTTCTTCAGGTGTTGTAATTCCTAATGGTCACCAGTAGAGGTCCGTACAGGTTATAATTACTTCTTTAACTCTGAATATAATACAGGAAAAACAACTATTTATTGATTAATTGGGTAAATATTGTGCTACAAGAAACAAACCAAAGATACAAATATTGTATGCAGAGAAATGTTATATTTAGTTATACAATAAAATATAGCACAGTGTAAATAAGTGTAGTTTATTTGCATTTGATTCTACTTCAACTTGATTTGCCTCATTAAATTTGGGGAAACGTACATGCAACTGTAAATTCACTACAACTGTTTAAAAGTCTTTAAAGTCTTAATTTATTTTTTTGTTCTTTTATTATTTAAAATCTTGTTCAAATCCATTTTGTTTTTTCCATAAGTGAAAAAACTGATTTTAAAAAATAGTGAAGAACATAATATGTTTAATATGTGCATGTATGTAAAAAATGTTTAAAATAAACACAATATAAACATAAAATATAAACATTTATAATAGATGTGACATAAATGTAAAATAATTAAAAGAAAAATATATGGATTAAAACACTATAATATAAAATAACATAAATATGTTATATAATGATAAACAGAGTAAATGTACATTGATAGTAAATAATCTACAATCCCCAGTATGTTTTATTCTTTCTGTTGTTTTTGAACATGTGTAATGACTTATACAGAACTGTATCTCTATTTATATCAATATTATCAATATTAAAATTCACTCTTTTATTCCCACTATTATTCAAAATGTATTAAAATTTATTTTTAAAAGGATCTTGCACTTTATTGTGAATTCATAATTAATCTGATATTGTAGAACATATAATTAAAAATAACATTTGTAAATATTTTTTTATTGAAATTCAACATGAGACCACTGCTTTACTGAATGACAATCACATCTAAAAACACAAAACAATTAACTAAAATCAGAATAAAAACAGCAGCACGACTCTGTAACAGAACAGCAGGTGCACATCTGGAACTGAAATGCTTGTAACACTCACAGTGTAACTGAGTAGTACAGGTAAGAGTTAAATTCAGTGTCTGTATCTCATATTAATACTGACTAACACAGGCATCAGACTCCGTCCTCCCGTCCTCCCCCGGGCAGGCTCAGCGGTGGTTCTTGTACGTGTGGATCTTTCGGCTGAGGGTGCGAGCCAGCCGGTCGACGGCGCTGTTGATGTGTCCCAGCTCCTTTTTGGACGTCAGGCCATCGATGTTCCCGCTGTACCACAGCACCCATCCAGCCAGAGACATCAGCACGAACAGGGCCCCTGCACGCCGCCACACACACACCACACACACACACACACACACACACACACACACACACACACACACACACACACACACACACACACAGACACAGACACACAGACACAGACACACACACACACACACACACACAGATGTTACATGATAATAGTGAAATTTCAATATTTAAATCATCCTGTGCACAGATAATATAGTGAATTCCTTTTTACCTTTTTACGCTTTGTGAACTTTTAGATAAAATAGTTGTGCAGTGTTATCGTTAATGGGTTTGAAATGGGAGTTAATGGCAAACAACAACACATTAAATGTAAATATATAGTTGCATTATTTACAGTTTTCTGTATTTTTCTTTTACATTTTGATTTTTAAGATCTTAAACTGAAACAATAGACCAAATAAAAGTCAAAAAATGCCTGTGATTTACCGTCCACTTCTAATAAATTATAAATAAAATAAAGAAAGAACAGAAATCTTCACCCTCCAAAGATTGAATGAGGTCTTTTTTTATACATGTTTAACTCGTCTCCTGCTGCTACTGTTGATTACTAGTGAAGGTTGGGGCAGTTATTTCATACCAGTATAGACCAGTAAGTCCCCAAAGTCCCGTCCTTTGATCTCCAGCGGGGCAAAGACTCCCACCAGCAGAGCGGATCCTCCCAGTAAGTCCATCAACACGGCGAAGGTCAGAGCCAGTTTACAGTGGGAGAGGCCGTCACACACGGCCATAATGAAGCTGTGAAAGAGGGAAGAAGGTGATTTCTTAAAAACATATGTAAATGTGTATGTGATATGATGTTGAGAGTATTTCATCAGCTCAGTCTATAAAGAAACCTTCCTCATTCAGACTAAAAGCTGCTAATACACGTTCTCAGTGACCTGATACAGAATTAAATATTTATTTCAGCATCCTCTGCACCATTGCACTACTGTCTACTGTCTATATATAGATATGTATAACTGTATATATTCGTCTCTGTCTTTTGTTGTTGAACTTTTGCTGTTAATCTGTGTTTGTACATTGAGAGCAACGTAAAACCGGAGTCAAATTCTGAGTCTGATTCTGAAATATTGAGAGAAACACACACTTTCTAGGTATTTCTGGAAAGGATATTGTCGTATTTAAGCATAAAATTCTAGTTCAAAACACGAGCTATAGGGTTGCACCATTATACATGTTTAACTGATGGATATCAACGGTTAAATAGTTCAGTTTAAGAGATAGAGTCTGTACAATTGTCCAAATATCAGCTGTAGAAATCGTATCTGAGATTGTATCAAAAAGCTCAGCTCAGATATTATAATGTTTAAATATCAACAGCCATTTAACAAGTGAGTATCTGAGTCATGTGTTACTTTGAAAACAGGTTCATAGAAGAAAATACAAGATGAATGGATGAATGGATGAAACAAGGAAAGTGTAGAAAGGGAAGAATTATTGGATGTCTTTAACTGTGGGAAGTTACTGGATTATAAAATCAATGATATCAGCATTTAACAATTTATTAAATAAATACAGATTAGTATAGTTACAAAAAAGAATTATAATTACATTTTCTTATTTTCATTATCAGGTAACTGCTGATTATTTTCTACATTAATAAAAAAAATCTTGTTTTGTCTGACCGACTTCAGATTTTCAGTCTATTATCACATAAGACTTTCGAAATAAAATACTATTTTAATAAAAGAGTGTCCAGAAGAAGCAGGATTTCACTGCTGCAGTCGACTGAGGTGGAGCTCATTTTGAACTTAGACTGCAACTAACGATTATTTTCATTATTGATTCATCTGCTGAGGCCCAAAGTGACACACTCACTGTTTGTTCCGTCCAACAAACCCTGAAATTAGTTCAAATTAAAAAGGAAAAGCAGCAAATCTTCATATTTGTCTCAGTCTTTTGTTGTTGTTTGTTTTTGTGAGTAAAAAGTTGAATGTGTAAAATAAGCCTCGAGTAAAGTTCTTAAAGTAAAACCCTTCCCAGAACTGATTATAGGGGATTTAAAGGTTGATTTCATTGAGAACGTTTTAAAACAAAGGCTGATAAAGAATCACCGCAGAGAGCCGACTCACCTGGACAGGTAAGACAACCACTTTAACTTATTATTACAAACTCAAACTAATAATTAACTTGAACTCACTTGTTGTTGTTGTTGTTGTTGTTCGTCCAGCAGCATAAAATGTTGCTCTCTCGCGTTTTTCTGCAGTCTTTCTTTTACTTCCGCGTTTACCTTCTCCGGTGTTCTCCACCTACCTGCGCGCCGCCCTCACGTGACACGTTTCCGGTCCCGGTTTGGACCCGTTCCAATACTTTTAACCCTCCAACCTTCCCAATGAAAGACAGCTGGAAACCCTCTCAGTCTGAGGTCTGTCCTTCAAACAGACACCAGTCACACAAAGTTCAAAAGTAAAAAAAAAAAAAAAAAAAAAGCGTTTGGACTTCTCAGGTGAGCTAACGCGGTCGTTGTGCGCATGTGCGAGCCCCTGCGCGCGGTGCACCTGTTGAGGCCACTTATAATCAGGTAATTGCTGCTGAAAATGTGGTCGCCGGGCAGCAGGGCAGCAGGGCACCAGTGGGTCGGTTCACGCCGTATTACAGAAGTATAACTGAACACAAATAATAACGAGTTCGTTCCCAAAGGTGTTATTATTATTATTACTCATCAGTACCGGGTCACCTGACACACCTGTCCGCGGCCATGAACCCTCCAACCAGCAGAGACGATGCGAGCCCGCCAGGTAACATTTAAATGGCGACGGGATCCGGAGCGTTTAGATAAGCTGTGATAGTCAGTGAGGAGGATAGAAAGTGTGTGTGTGTGTGTGTGTGTGTGTGTGTGTGTGTGTGTGTGTGTGTGTGTGTGTGTGTGTGTGTGTGTGTGTGTGTGCTTCTACATAAGCTCTTTAAAAAGGCGTTATTATCGATAGGCTGATCGATTCTAGGCTTCGGTTTTCTGCTCTAATATCTCATTTAGTTTAGTTGTTTTCTGTGTTATGACTATTTTCACTGAAGCAGAAATATTATAAGGTATAACTTTATTATTAGAGCTGAAACAATCACCGATATTGATTGTTATTGTTTAACTTATTGATTAATGAGGCAAAGATTTCTGGATTCTTTGGTTGCAGCTTTTTAAACGTGAGGATTTTCTACTTTTCTCTGTTTTAAATGTTTGCAAAGTGAATATTTTTGAGTTTTTGACTCTTATTAGGATGAAAATAAGACATTTTGAGGGACCATTTATTCTTATGATGAGTTTAATTAGTAGATGATGGACAGACTGACGGAATATGTGGTATTTACTCTGGTTTACGATGGTTGAGGAGGAGGTCTGTAAATGAATGTTAACTTTCTTTCAGCTAATCTTCAGTTGTGTTGTGTTGTTTTGTGTGTGTGTGTGTGTGTGATTGTCAGAGCACTACATGCCCCACTCATCTTCATCAGGAGGAGGAGGAGGAGGAGGAGGAGGAGGAGGAGGAGGTTTGTATCTGGATGCCTATGAGGTCTCCTTCCCCCTGGAGGAGAGTATGGAGAGACCTCCTGCGTACCACCTGAACCAGGGTCAGCAGATGATGGACGGTACGCCTCAGCTACGACACATCACTGCTGCTGTTACCATCTCCTCCCCCCTCGCTCCCTCTCTCCTCTGTTTCCTCCTCTCCTCTCTTCTATTCAATTTCTTTCTCTCTTCTCCTTTGTTTCTTCCCCTTCCCTCCCCCTCCTCTTCTCTCATTTCCTCTTTTCTCCTCCCTTCTTCTCCTTTTCCTCCTCCCTCTTCTGTTTTCTTTCCTCCTCTCCTTTTCTCCCCTCTCTTCTGTTTCCTCTCCTTTCCTCCTCTTCTCTCCCTCCTTCATGTCCTCCTCCCTTCTGTTCTGTTTCCTCCTCTCTTCTGCTCCCTCTCCTTTCGTCTGTTTTCTCCCCTTCCCTCCTCTCCCCTTCTTTTCTCTTCTCCCCCCTGCTCTCCTTTCCTTTCCTCTTTTCTGTTTCCTCCTCTCTTCCTCTCTTTTCTCTTCTGTCTCCTTCACTCCTCTCCTCTCCTCCCCCACCTCTCTTCTCCTCTAAATCCTCCTCCCCCCTGCTCTGTTTCCTTAACTTCCCTCTTCTCCTCCCCCTCCTTTCCTTCGTTTCCCTCCCCTTCTCTTCTCTTCTCCCCTCTCCTTTCCTCTCTTTCTGCCTCCTGGCCTCTCCTCTTGTCTATTTCCTTCGCTTCCCTCCTCTCCTCTCTCTCCTCATCCCCCTCCTCTCCTCCCCCTGCAGAGCCCATGGTGCAGGAGCCTCCTCACTCCCAGTACAGCCCTTTCATCCTGGTCTCTAACCTGCGAGCTCACCTGTACGTCGCTCTGGAGAAGAACGCCTGGCTGCAGAAGCGCATCGAGGAGCTCGAGGAGGAGCGCAACTTCCTGCGCTGTCAGCTGGACCGCTTCATCGTCAGCATGAGGCCTCCGGAGGGTGAGGAGTCGGCAAACTCACCCGTCATCACCTCGTTCAATCTCTCTATGAACACGAGTTACATTTAACACACGAGTGTAATTATTTAATTAATAATAGATGAATACTGATTGATTTTAACCTCTGTGGGGAAATATATAATAAACATATCTCCAATAGGGACAATATTCATTTATTTTAAGGATATTTCTTGTTATATTCAATGCATAACAATAAATAACAATACAGAACAATGAGGCCAAATAGTGAACACAATAACTGCAGGAAGTTTGTGTAAAACTGTATTATGTAGCTTTTATAATATAATTATATAACATAAATAATTAACTCTTTCTTCTTTCTTGTTAAATTCAGTGTTTTCTTCTCTCCTTAACACGAAGCTCTTGGGTTGTTTGAACAGCGAACATTTCTAATGCAGGATGAGTGAAGGCTCTGTGAATACATCTTAAAAGTTTAGATCTTAAATAAGAATCTAAACTTTAAAACATTTAACGTAGTTATCACAGAAATTAACAAACTGCTGAGATACAGGCCCATTAAAAGACAACTAAAAGGCCTCGTGAGCCCACCATGAAGCTTTGGTGCTCCCTTGTGGAGGTCTGGAGCTGTTCTACATTTTGATCTTACATAAGAACAAACGGGATTATTTAGTGGAGCAAAAGTACAAATTAGAAATAAGATAAATACTCGAGTTCCAGAAACATTTACTGCATTAAAAGTAGAGTTCAGTCTAAAATAAGATTAATATTTGTGTCTTAATATCTCCACAGACACACAGTACAACTGATATCATTTATATTTACTCTTTAAGATGAAGGTATTATTATTATTTTTATTATTAATTAATATTATTATCATTATAATCCCATTCAGTGACAGAGTGGTGTGGAGACCCCCAGCGCGGTGTGAAGGTCCAGCCCGCCAGCTCTCCGTCTCCTCCCTCCCCCATGACCACCAGGTCTGGAATGACCCTGAAACGCCTGCAGGGACCGGGACCTCGGACCCGCCGCAGCGCCGCCATCCCCGGTGAGGAACCATCCGTCAGCGTGGCTGCATGGTTACTGTGTTCTCACTTGTGTTCACGGCTGTTGTGTTGGTTTCCAGTCAAGCAGGAGTTTCACCTGGAGGAGGACAAATACTACACCGACGACGAGTACGTGGAGGAAGAGGAGGAGGAGGAGGAGGAAGAGGAGGACTCGTCAGTGGAGAAGGGGTCAAAGAAGAAGGGCAGAGGGCGAGCCAACGGGGAGCCGAGGATGAAGATGAGGAGGATCTTCAGGATCACCCACGGGAGGGAGAGACAGAGAGGTGAGTGTGCGACAGAAAACGGTGTATATTCAGTTTAATACACAATTTATATTAAACACACCAACCAGGTAGATTCATTATATAATACCCCCCCCCCTCCCAGTTAAAGACCCAGACGGGGTTTTGATTCGCTATAAGAAGATCCTGTCCACGTACCAGCGGGTGAGGAGCATGTCCCGAGCCTTCCAGATCCACGGCGTCGACCGTAACACCATGGCCTCCACCTCCCCCATCGCCGAGCTGCTGCTGGTGGCTCCGGAGAAGGTCTGAACTGTTTGTGCCGCTACAACAACGATAAAGTTTTGATTACGTTTGAGGAAATGTGTAATTAGTTTATAGTTACAATGTGAAAGATTATTATATTTTTGATTATGTTTTTTTCGTGACGCTCTATTAACTCGTGAGAAGCTGGTCTGATCTGACGTTCAGGGTTCAAGTTCTCCGCTTTGTGGAAGAGCTGGCGAGAGAAGAGTTGTATTTTAATTGCACTGAAAATGTTTGTTTAAAGATTTAAATATAGAAAAAAAAGATTCTCCTATTTCTTCATTTGCGCCTTTTTCCGATTCTCAGATTTTTTAAAATAAACTTTTTTAGCTATAAGATAAAATATTTTCAGTGATTGTTTTAGTGGATTGTGTTTCTAATTACAGAAAGTTCAATGTAATTTGTATTCAGTAACTACAACCCAGATTACATATAGGATACAGGTATATTTAATGTAACAATACACGTTTAAAAGTACACTTTCTGTTTTTTTTGTTGTTGAGAATACATAAACAAATAAGTAACACGTAGAATAGAATAACATTAACAATATATGAACGTTTGTTAATGAGTTATTTAGTCTCTGTTTGCTGCCCAGAGTGGTTGTTAAACATTATAATCTACTGGCTCCATTTTCTGGCATTAATTAAAGTTAATTTGTAAAATGCTTTTGACTAAAAAATGAGAATAAATGTGATAAATTCAAAACAACACACTTCAGTTCTGATTAGATTTAATAATAAATGTAAGAATTCAGTTAAAGAAACAAATTTAAACTCAGGGTTTGTTTGTTCACAGTTTATTTCACCACTTAGACAAAACTATCTCGTTAATTGTCCATATGTAGTGTAGAAAGTGATCTCCTGCTACCGTCTCTCTCCGGCATTAACAACCCGATCTCCTGCAGGTGGCGGAGGTCGGGGAGTTCGAGGCGTCGAAGGAGAAGCTTCTGGATTACGCCCGGCGGTGCTACAAGACCATGGACGAGCCGACGCACGGCAAGGTCCAGACCATGAAGAAGACTCACAAGCTGCTGCCGATCTCCTACAGGTTCAGAAACTGAGCGACGGGAGGGAAGAGTGAAGGCCGGCAGCAGGTTTCTACACTAACTCACTAAATATTTGGATTTTTATTTATTTTATGTTTGTTTTTTTTGTGCACTTTAACAACTTTTATTTGAAGCAGATAGATGTGAGAAAAGATTAGATGCCAAAGTACAGAAATAACTTGATTCAAGTATGATTTTTTTTTCCAAAAAGCAACTTGATTTATTTAAATATCTGTGATTTATATTTGTTGTTGGCAGGTTTCTGTTTGTCTGTAGTTCAGTTGTATTGAATGTTGTGACTGAAGTTGTTTTTGCTTCCCCTCAGGAGTTAAACTGATGTTCTACTTTAACCAGAAGATTCAGTTTATTGTGAATTATAAAGTTATAAGTTATATTATAAAGCGCACTGACACATTTTACAACACACACACACACATACAATATTTCGCTCTTTGAGTTGAGGCTCTAAGTTTAACTTTTTGTTTTATATCAAAAGAGATATATTTATTTTCTTTATGTTTTATTTATTATTTTGTCAAATATGTACATTTGATATGTATTATTGGAAAAGAATATTTGTCATATATCTCATGCCTAAGTTTTTTTGTTTTGTTTTTGTAAAGTTAATACAAGGTGTGAAATGTCACTTCATGCAACAGATTAAAAGACTTTAAATGTTCAATTGTTTTGGAGGTTTTTTTTACAGTCGGGACAAAAAAAAGACGTTGAAAGTGTAAATAAATAATAGAAAGTACGAATTGAACCTTTTCATTTGAGAATATGAGAAATAAAAGCATCAACTGACTGCTGGCTCAGGCCCTGATGTACACTACACTCTATTTTAAGCATTTATATGTTTTATAAGTCAACAATATGATCCAATGAAATGCAAACGAAGGACTCATTTATGATCAAGATGTGACTTTATAGCAGCTTGAAGGCTGCAGCGCCCTCCAGTGGAAGAAAGAAGTGATGCACATTAGAGTTACAGTCAGATTATAGAACAGACCTCATGTAGATTTTATATTTATTTATTCTTTAAGACTTTAAGACGAGCAGATCATTGATGACTACATGAGCGATCCTTCTGTAACCCATTAATGTCCACAGTGGAAGAACAGCCCACTTAAAGAACAAATACATTGAAATGTTTTCAAAGTCCCAGTCGGAGGCGACGGCACAAGTTTTTCTTAACTTTTTACTCTTTTTAGTCACAAAAAGAAGCTTTTCTGGGAAACCACACCAAGAACAATCACACCTAATATAGATTGTTACAGTACATTAGAAAATAAAACTGATGATCTGTTGTTTTCTCTTGGTGCGGACCTAAGACACCTTTTATAATCTATGGGAGGAAATGAGAACTACAGATAATATTACACAGAAATGTCTGAATCTCAAAAACTACAAGGAGATATTCAGAACAACTTCAATTTCAATGTAACAACAACAACAACAACAACATAATAATAATAATAAACTTTAATTATACAGGGCTTTTCAAAACAAAGTTACAAGAACGAAACCAGAATTCAAACAACAAAATAAAATCATACAATTAAAATAATAAGTGAGAATAATAAAGAAGCTGTTCTTCAACATACTGGACACGAGAGCTGTTTTACTTTCTGTGTGTAAGAAGTTCCTCGTGTTGATCCTCTGACATGAAACAGCAGGAAAGCATCTTTTATAAGAAATGTATCTTAAATAATTGTATTTTATTTACATACAGTTTAAGGTTAAACCTATGTAGACTCTTTGGTGCTGTTAGAAATAGTTAATAATGTAAAACTCGAAGCCAATTCAGAACAAAAACATATAAACTATAATAAATGTTGGTAATTAATTCATTGTGAGCTAAAATGTAGACAACTGGTTATTTATAATAGTTATAATAGTATTAAATTAATAACGTGACCTTGAAAAAGAGCTGTTATTTATATTTAATAAGGTGATAAAAGCAGATCTTTGACTGCACTAGTTCAATTATTAGTTTTTAATCCCACACAATCAAATGTTAAACAAAGAGCTGTTTGTGCTGCAGAAAGATGTGTTAAAGGTCCACTTACGAGCTTTTTCTGCAGCTTTCAACTACATTTCATCGACTTCAGCAGCCGATGAAACACTTTAAACTACGATATCAGAAATATAACAGAATAACAATCCCATAATGATAATAAAGATAACTCGTTCGCTGATTGTAAACCTTATTATTATTATTATTATTGGTAAATATCATATAATGATTATTTTGAGGTTAATTTCAATATAAACTTGTTTATTAGCATCTTGAATGTTGTTATTTTTACTCTTTGTTGTTGTTTTCTTTCTTGTTTATTGTTTTTATTGTTTCTCAGTTTGTGTCAACTTTAGTTTTTATAAGAAAAATAAACAATAATCTCCTCAAATAAACAAAATATTGGAGTTATTCAGCTAAATTAAAGCGAACTCAATTTCCCAGAATACCTTGCCACCAACAGAAGGAAGGGGGGGGGCTGTAGTGTAGGGGGCGTACGTCAGAAACTCAGTTTCCCCTTTGACCTTTACAAACTGTCCAATCACAGCGGGAGTTATCCAGGAAGCAGTATCACGAGCGTGTTCTGACAGACGGCGGGCGTCAGCGAATAGGAGCAGGGCAGCGGCCGCGGGGAGCCAATCAGAGGCGAGGAGGGCGGGACTCCCGTCCAACAGGGCATCGGAGGAGGAGGTGTTCCTGGTGGCCATCTTGGATGTGCGGAGTGATTGTTTGGCGAGAAGAATTGACATTTTTTTTTTTTTCAGAAAAAACATCTTTTCTACCGAACCGGGGAAGATTCACCGGAGTGCCGCGACCGAGGCAAGGAACCGCAGCTCGGACACATCCAGGTAAATAAGTTGTAGACTCACAGGTGATGTATTTATGCTGTTTCTCCCCCCTCCTCCTCCTCCTCCTCCTCCTCCTCCCTCCTCTCTCCCTCTCCTAACTGTGTCTCCCTCCTCGGAGAGCCGGTGGGAAGCTGCTGCTCGGACCCTGAACTTGTTGTTGTCGGTGTGTTGGCTTTAAAAAGGGAAACACAACTCCTCTTCCTCCTCCTCCTCCTCCTCCTCTTCCTCCTCCTGAACCGCGGTGTTAAGTTTGTTTTCAAAGTGTCTCTGAGCTCCGGTGGGGGGGGGGGTGCTGGCACTAACGATGCCCGCATTGTTTGTCAACATCCCGGGTTAACTGATGTGTGTGCCTCGGTCCTCGGTCCTGGAGCTCCAGCGGTCAGGGTTCGGGTTCGGGCTCTAAAAACGCTCCAGAAAACAGTAAAAGTGTCCGGTTAGTGTGAGTGTGTGCTTCCAGGACAATGTTTGTCCAGATGTGTGCACCTGTTATAAATAAATACGTGCTAAATGGTTATTTTATACTTTATTTATCCATTAAAGTCGTGTGTTAATGGAGCTAAAAGCTAAACCCAGCTGGTGTAAGGTGTTAAAACTCTGTGTATTGTGTCTTGGAGAGATTCATTTTTTTATTTTACCTGTAGGAAAATGGTGTTTAATTAAAGTGAGTTGATGTTTCTGAAGGTAAAGTTCATAAAAAAACATCAGACAAACCTTTTAAATAAATAATAAATACAGTAAAATGTCTTCGAGCACATGGCTGCAGGGCCAGAAGTAGTTTAGGCCATAAATTTAATAGGTTTTTAATTAATAATTAAAGGTAGAGCAATATATATTCCTTCATTGTAAAAGAAATCTTCAATAATGGATCATAATCATACATTTTAAAGATATTAATGTATATTTTTTGGGGCCTTTTCTTTATTTGACTGTAGAGAAAGTGACAGGAAATGAATGAAGGAGGACAAATGAATCGAAAAGGTCTGCGGATGGACTCGAACCCGGACGTTACGATTACATGGTCAGAGTAGTAAGTGGTGCTTGATGTGACCAAACGTTAGTGTAGAAGATTGGCAGTGTTATATTTTTCTCCTCAAATCCCCGAAAGACTAAACTCAGCAGTTAATTTATCGTGTTAGTCGACGCTGCCGGCTGATGTTAGTTTAAATCCCACTTAAATTAAAGTTAATTTACATTTTAAAGTGTTTAATCAGCCGTTGGAGGGTAAAGTTTGTGGTGCCACAGCCCTGTGATCAATCTTACTTTTGTGTTATACTGAGAAGTATTATTAATATTTATTATCAGGGAGGGTTAGCACCAGTAAATTACACTTTTTATGATATAAATCAATACGTTTCAACAGCACCACGAACTACACAGGGCTCTTATATTAGACTATGTTAGGTTTAGCATTGGGTAGTTGCTGGGTGATATCTTATAAAGGAAAATACAACAGTAGATTTATGTTTTATGTGTTGTCGTATTGTGTCTTATCCTCCGATTGTATTGTATTTAAATAACATCAGTGTTTCTGAAGTTGAACTCAAGGAGTCGTGCGGGTTGTTCTTCTGCATCAGCAGGAATTTGAACACAGTCAGCACAGTTAAAGATCTCAAGGCTTTTTTTTTAAAATCTCGTCACAAGAAAGCATCTTCCTCGGACGGCAAATAATTAACCTTCAGTGCGGTCCATGTTTTTATTTTAGCATTATTTGTCCCTCAGGTGAGTCTTAAAATGTAGTTTTTTTTGTATTTGCTGTTGTAGTTTTAACCTCCAACAAGCAAAATGAAAAGTGAAATTAAACTTTAACATGTTCTGAAACTTCTTCAGGGACTCCTGATGGCACCTTAGACCACAGAATAGAAACCCACGACGATGATGATGATGATGATGATAACGCCATGAGTGTGTTGGCTGAACGGAGGCAGTAAACCACTTCAGTTCACAGGGGCTTTAAAAACCCCTAATTTTTGAAGATGCTCTTAAAAAAAACAGATACTATGATGGTATTATAATCTTCTACATAATGAGGCTGTGCCATTGTGGTGAACTAAAACCAGTAAAATAAGGTTTAGAGAGTTGTTTTCCAGTCATATAAACGCCTGGAAACTGATTTAAAATGACCAAATGTTTGTATTTCAGCTCCTCGCTCCGACGTGTTGGTAGGATAAAGTGGAAACTGACTGGCGGTGAACTTTTTGCCAATCGTGTCCATTTCAGAACGTGTTTGTTAAATACAAGCACAACGGTGTTAATTGTACCTGCAGTGAACACGTCTGTGCTCTGAGGTTAATATCTTTATACAGTAACCAACCCTACGGTTAAGTAAGTCATAGATCAGGTGTGATACTGACACATTTTCCAATTATAGCTCTTTAATATACGCAGCTTTAATGTAACTGCACGTCTGAATAGATGTTTTTTTTATTCTGTTTCACCCTCGTGAAGTTGTTATTAAGACTAAGAAGGTTGAATTTATATTTCTCTGGTAACTCATCAGGTAAAAACATCACTGCTGCTAATGTCAGTGTGAATGGAAACGTCCTCTCTAAAACAACCACAGCACTGTAAGTGGCTCCTGGCAGCATGCGATTGATTGTTTGGTGTGAGTTTGTTGATTGATTGAAATAATTTAGAAACCGTTAAACATCAGCAGTTACTGCCAGGTTCCCACAGATCAGCACAGTGTAAACGCATTGGATCAGGATTATGCACAGGCAGAGGAAATGGGACATTAAATGCAACAAATTCAGACTTGTTCGCCGGCGTTGTTGAAAAACGCTCCGCAGAAATGTAGAAATCATGAGCTGACGTAGACCCTGAGCGGGCAGGTAAAGGTAGAAGTGGGCACATTGAACGTCACAGATGATTTAAAATATGTGTAAAAGAGAAAGGATGTTTCTTTTAGTTACAGTTAATTCCTGTTGGGACATCATCGTCAAGTTCAGCTGCACCTCTGGATCTGCCCAAAGACTCTAAATAAATCACATTTATAGCAGAGTTTATTAAAGCACATTGTCCCGGTTTAAGTATTAATAAAGATTTTTCCTCTCTGTCTCCTGCAGTGAAAGAAGGCATGAAGACATCATCCTAGTCATCAGTCATGGCCGATAAAAGGAAACTTCAAGGTGAGATTTCTGATCGTGTCTCTGTGTGTCATCAAAACACACGAATCCATGCAAATAAGCGGCGGGATCTGTTGTGGTCTGATCAGGTGCCAGGTGGGTGAGGTTTACCACAAATTACAATGCAAGGAGCGCCGTAATCGCAGAGCGTGTTTGTCAGTGTGTAACTCATTCACGTTGCTCTGATTCGAAGTCTCCTGACGGCGTCTTCTCGGTAAACTCCACCCGTCTGTCCCTCAAATGTTAACAATTGTTTACATTACGAGGGTGATCCCACCAACCGCCACCGGCTCGCTGGGTGTTATGAGACGGAAACTGGAGTGCATTTCTGTATTTAGTTACTCGTAAACAAAAGTCACATGCGCTCAAAAGTAACTTGTTTACTACGTTGTGTAAGCTGTCATCCTGCCAGGTTCGAGGTTTTGTTTTTTTTGGCTCCAGAGATTCGTGTTACCTTCTCTGGTGTTTGTTGTATGAGGGGGGGGGGGAGAGCTGAATAGTAGCATTGATCTTCAGGTGACTTTGTTATGAACAGATTATCTCTTTAAAAGTAGGGATCCACATTTTTTCACTTCCGATCCCGATACCTGAATTTGGATATCGGCCGATACCGATAATACCAGAGCTCTGTTTGCTTTAATATTATTATCATTATTGTTGATTTTATATGAGGCTGAAATAAAACTCCTCTCAACAGGCAAGTATGATATGTACGTGTGTATGCATGTATGTCCCAAAAGGCAACTTGAGGTGAGTATAAGGTCAGAAAAACAGGAAATCCTGTTAACAGGAAAAATCCCATTCTGAAAACAAATTGTAAGGGTTTCAAATTTATTGTCATGTCAATATTTATTAAATTCCCAAAATGTCAAATATTTGAAATATAAGAAAAGTGTAAACATCTTACACACACACACACACACACACTAATCCCTTTAGCTTTCCCGTTGTCTGCCTGGAGTTTTCCTTGTTTTTGGAATGACTCCGGAAGTGATTCCTGACAGCTTCTTTTGTCTTTCTGCCCCTGCTCTTCTTCTTCTTCACATGGATTTCCGGCAGTTTAGAGGCTTCTAGGCGTATTACTGCCCTCCTCAGGAAGTCACTCTAAGGATAATGTCTTCAAATGTTCATATATAGCCCTCTATCGTGTAAGAACTGTAATAGATGACCCGGTAATCCTCGTGCTCTTTGCATCGTCCAAAATAAAGTAATATTCAGTTTACTACAATGTAAGACCAAAGAAAGACACATTTCTCACATTTAAAACCGGGAACTATCAAACTGTTTGGTGTCTTTTCTTTAAAAACTGACTTTGAACAATTCGTTTTCTCATCAGTACAGATTAGCGTGTTAATTGTTGCAGCTCTAGTTTCAAGGTAACACCTCCACAAACTCCTCATCGAGTGTAAACACAGCCCTGTGAGAATGCAAATTTTATCCACATCGTCCACCCCTGTTGAAAGGTTTGTTTCCTGTTTTCATTCGGTAAATGTGTCACTGCTTCTCTTTGTGCTCAGGGTGACATTGCATCCATGTGTGTTGGCAGACAGCTGTGCAAAAAGTCTGCTCATGGCGCTGGCCCACTTTCACAGACACCAGAGCGCATTTCAGGCTTCGCTTCAGACACGCAGTCGGGATCTGACTCCTCCGCTGCTCCTCTCTGCTCCTCTGCTCCGCTCTCAGAGCTTCTGTTAGTAAAAAATTTAAACCGTACGACCAGACCGGTGAAGCTGATGTTGACTTATGTCTGTTAATGCATCCAAAAAGCTCGACACTCGACCACAACAAGCTTTGTAACCCGACCCAGGCCTTTGTGTAAAGATAGAAAACCCCCACGGCTCTGCTGGCCCACAGAAACTTTGCTCACAGTCCGTCGCTTTCATGTTATTTTCTGAGTTAGTCACCGCAGGCTGAAAAAAAACACTGCTTTTGACAAGATTGATGATTCCCTCCGGCGGCATCGCTCACTCCTTCACGTGCACTCCTGTGACTTCTCCAGCTTCGGCTGTCACATTAAAACTAAAACACACACACACTCTCACTCACTCGATCCCCCCCCAAAACGTCTTAATTAAGAAGGAAAGATCAAGCACAAGCACCAACTCGGCTCTGTCAGATTTTAATGTATTATTACAGAGGAGGTAGACTTTCATCTAAAAATAACACACACCCGCAGCAGTATCTTAACATCAAGGCTGTTTAAGGTCAAACTAGACTGTTCACACAACTTAGTGAAAAGCTGCAGTCTTGTTCTCGACTACACCGGTTACTGCGTCTCTCCTCACCACGCTTTGTTTCTCTGTTACTGACAGCACAGTTCAGGACAATATTATGTTATTCAAAATGTTGAGAAGGGTTTAAAAAGGGTTTTCAGTGTCTTGAAACTACCATGTCAGGATAAAAAGCTCCCCAGTGCTCCCAGTTTCTATCAAACTTCCTTCAGTCTCCTCTCTTGATATCTTCCATCCCTCCATTTCTTTTTATCATGTACTGTTTGGGACTATTTGTAACAACCAACACACATCCAGTAGGTTTGTGTGTGTGTGCCCGTAAAGTAAGTAAACACTCGTAAAGTAAGCTAGAAAACAGTAGATAAATTAGTTTTATATACAACAATAAGTCATATTTAGAAGTAGGAAATACTATAACTAACTATACTACCAATACTGTAGTGCTGCAGAGATGACCTGGTCTTCAAATCTTGTTCTCTAGATGTTACAGACCCCAACAAATTTCACATCATGATCCTGATAGATTTTTCAGTGATTTTGTGATTCATAAATTAGCATTCCCACAATAATCGTGATGATATTATATTATATTATATTATATTATATAATGATGTCGCAAATACCTTTCAAAATAATAATATTTTTTTCACTAAGTCAACGCAGCTGGCAGTTTAAAAGTCCAGTGTGTAACATTTAGGAGGCTCTATTGGCAGTAATGGGATATAACATTCATATGTTAATTAAAGGGTTTCACAGTTAATTGAATGCTTGATGACCGAGTGCAATATGCAAATCACAAGAGCTGTAGTGTTTTGATAAAGGTAAAATGTGTGACAAACAGCATTATAATGAAGTGCTGTAGAGGTGTCCTGCTCTACAGATCTTGTTCTCCAGATGAGAGACCCCCAAAATTGTTGAAAAATGACCATTCCCACATAATTCAATCACAATATCTGTCAGAATAATCACAGTACGATGTTTTTACCTGTCTTACAGCCCTCTTTCATTTCATTTCATTCACTTAAAAATAAGTAAACAAAACCACATAAATTTGAACCCCATTAAACGTCGATATAGTTCTACTACTTGTTAAATGTCTCCTGATAAATAGTCTTGTTATTTATTGTTCGGGCTCTACTCATGAGTGTGCGTCTGTCTCCCTTCACCAGCTGTTTCTACCTTTTCATACGCACTTGTTGACGGAGACAAACTGACGATTGTGTTCAAACTGTGACCGAGTCAACAGAAGAAACCGACGTTGTGCTGCCTTCATGGTGCTGTCGGAGCTCAGAGAACATGCGAGATATATAACGAGTCAGGATTTTATCTCATGAAGTTTAGTGTGAGTGATGTTTATACGCAGACCTTTCTGTTAATATCCCATCGCACCAAAAACCACCAGCTCTGTGGCGTGTTAAAGAGAACGCGTACACTACATGATGTGGGCCGAGTTAGAAATAATTTAAAAACATCCTAAAAATAGCTTTTTCCTGTTAACATTTCACAGCGAACATTTAAACCGTGTCACGTGACGACGGGAAACATAAATCTGGAACACGGTGGCGATAACGAAGCCTAAACGTAGACCTGTTCCTGCAACTCTCTGATCTGGTTTGACTCACACTCTCTCCCCTTTTCCATCGCAGTGCACCATTAAAAGTAATACGGTCAAACAACAAGCCTGTATTAAACTGAAGGTTATATTGTTCAGTTTCTGTTGAAATGGTTTTGATTCATCTTTTTATGATCGTGTTTGTGTGTGTGCAGAGGATTTGTGTTTACCTCTCGCTTACAAGCATTATGTAACCTTTTTTACGTTATGCATATTTCACGAGCTGTCAAACACAATTTGTAAGCGCGCTGCTGCTGTGTGGAGTGTGTGTTGTATTTGTGTGTGAGATTATAAAATGGGATCAGTCCAGTGAAGTGGTTCATTATGGAACCGAGAGGAACATTTTCTAAAGATGTGTTCTGGTTTTTACTCCACGTAAGCTGCTTTCTTCGTACTCGCCCTACGAGTGTTTGACGTATTCGTTATCACTTTCACAAGATTAGTATGATGATGACTTGTTTCACTAATGCTGTATTTGTGCCCCTCTCCTTCTCCTCCTCCTCCTCTCCCTCCTCCTCCTCCTCCTCCTCCTCCTTGTTCTCCTTTTCTCCTCCTCCTCTCCCTCCTCCTCCTCCTCCTCCTCCTTGTTCTCCTTTTCTCCTCCTCCTCTCCCTCCTCCTCCTCCTTGTTCTCCTTGTTCTCCTCCTCCTCTTCCTTCTTCTTCTTCTTCTTCTTCTTCTTCTTCTTCTTCTTCTTCTTCTCCTCTCTCCTCCTCCTCCTCCTCCTCCTCCTTCTAATTATCCTTCAGGTGAAATAGATCGATGTCTGAAAAAAGTAGCGGAAGGAGTCGAACAGTTTGAAGACATTTGGCAAAAGGTAAAGAAGGATCGCCACTGGGACTCTGAATCGAGATATATATATATATATATATATATATATAAAGAAAGAAAGAAAGAAAGAAAGAAAGAAAGAAAGAAAGAAAGAAAATGGGTTAAGAACAGAAAATCGTCACATTTTAGAAGCTGGAGTGAAGTTGCAAATATTTCCAAGGTGACGTCTTCAAATGTCCTTTTGTCCAAAACCTCAAACATTCACAACGAAGAAGCTGCAACTGGAGAATTTGTGCATGAGGAAAAACTCAAAATCGATTATCAACAAAGCCATTAAACTGTTTCAGCTATATCTGGTATTATTTCTGTTCTGATTGCCGCTACATTTATCTGCTGCTGAACAACATTTAGAAGAGTGAACAGTTTAATTTCCTGCATTAGTTTAATTTCTTGCCCTGACTGCTCCTGAGTTTAACGTCACTAACTTTTGCTGGGACGAAGGCTTCTGCCATCCCCTTACAGCACAATGTACAAAAATCAAGATAATAAAGATAATAATGAGGCACGGATAATAAAGTGAGTGAATTCAGCAGTTATTAAAACTTGGCCCCGAGCTCGCAGCAGCGCCGAGGCCCAGAGTGTCGATCTGTTCTGCTAATAAAGAGGCAGAAAGTTGTCAGTGCTTTACTTAACAAAGATCCCAGTTGCCCCTTTTTCCTTCTTTATATCTCGTATTCATTATGTTCCCGTGGTTGTCTTTGCCAGACTTTTATGCTGATGACTACGAGTCCATCTGACTTTCCAGAGGCTGTTTTTTTACCCCATAAATCTTTCTGTTCTATTTGTATTACTTTTATGTCTTTATAGCTCATTTTATAATCCATTTTGTCTCGTGTTATTCTTTTCCCCCCTGATGAATAGTAATACCTTTGCTGCTGCAGCAGGCTTAATCTCCCCACAGAGATCAATAGAGTCGTCCTAAAATGAATTGATAGCACAAAGATAAAACAAATTACTGAATTCAAACTTGAAAAGTATGAACAGGTGGAACTTTTCCCAGACTAAGTTAGCGGTATTTCCAGTGTATGTGTATATAATGAGCGTCTGCACTGTGTTATTCTGGACCCGAACTTGCTTTGACTCTTTTCTCTTTTCTCTGCAGCTTCACAATGCAGCAAACGCAAACCAGAAGGAGAAATATGAAGCAGACCTCAAGAAAGAGATTAAAAAGCTACAGGTAAATGCAGAAAAGATTAAGTCCCCAAGATCCTGAAAGTAGTCTAGTAAACCTGCTAACTTTCATTAAATACACTGCTACAGCCACATTAGTAAGCGAGAACACTGGGAAAGCACAGCAGTTTTTAATTTTCACACGTCCTGTGATCTTTGCATATCGAAACCTGATGAGATACAGAGACACTCTACCACTGAAACTCCACCAGCTTTATACCCGACTGCTTTACCTCCTACATGTGTTTAAAAACCTACACAATAGTTCTGTCTGCAGCCGTACGGCGGTGGCAAGTGATAAGATAAGATAAGATTGTTAAATGCTGCGTTTACCCCACTTGATACTGGGCAGTCAAACTGGAATGAACAGAAATCATTTATGGTTAATCAGCTTAGGGTTTATTTGCCTTCGGCCTTTCACCACTATGCTCCAATATAAATCTTATTTAGCACGATCTCGAGCTGCTCTCACCTTGAGTCCTGGTTTATAAATGTATGCAGGACATTCAGGACTGCTTCATTACACTGGTTCCTAAACTGCTCCTAATAGTTTAGAGTATTTTATGTCAGTTTATGGCGCTTATACAACTATTTTAAAATGTTTTGCTTTTAAAAGGAAGCAATGTTTAAGTTGTTCTTGATCTTTTTATTTGTTTTTTAAACTCTGATTTCTTCATATATTGTATCATTTTGTGGGCCAAGAAATCCTTATATGAATCAAAGCCCTCAGTGTATACACGATGACATTAAAATGTGTTTATATTCTACGTTACATTTCTTTGTTTAGTCTGCAAAATGTCAGAAAATAATGAGAATTAAATCTTCCCAAAGCACAAAGTGACATTTCCAGATGTCGTGTTTTGCAAATCTTAATATTTGAGAAGCAAAAACGAGGGAATGATTGGAATATTCTCAATTATCAAAATAGACGTTGTTTCCCAAAGAGTGGCTAATCGATTCATTCATTTGATCATCAATTGTTTTCAGCTCTACAGTGCATGTAGACTGTTTGGCCGATCTGCTGGCGACTCGATCGCAATGCATTCTGTGAATTTACACCCGGATTAACGTGTGTTCTTCAGTATCCAGCCAAAATATCCAGATACACATAACTTAATCAATACCAGGTGTAAATGGGGTCTGACTCTCTACAGAAACAGCCAGTTGACCTGTTGAGCTCTGATGTTTTTGCATTTTGGGGCCCTGAAATCAAATTAAAGAATATTGATTGTTTGCTGATCTGAAATTGTTTAACCTGCCCACATATAGAGGTGTGTGTGTGTGTGTGTGTGTGTGTGTGTGTGTGTGTGTGTGTGTGTGTGTGTGTGTGTGTGTGTGTGTGTGTGTGTGTGTGTGTGTGTCATGTGTGTGTGTGTGTGTGTGTGTGTTGTGAGTATTAAATATCACCATGGTCAGCCAGAGACACTGTGTGCTTTATCTCGGTGTTACCATGAGGACCAAACTCCAAGCCAAGCCTGTTTGCTGCATGTAGACACCAAGTCCACCATCCATGACTGTTGGAAGACGAGTCTCTGCACGTATTCACTGATGTATCTGCATCTCTCTCTCTCCCTTTCTCTCCCTCTTCTTCTCCCGGTCCCCCAGCGTCTTCGAGACCAGATCAAGACGTGGGTGGCATCCAACGAGATCAAAGACAAAAGGCAGCTAGTAGAGAACCGCAAACTCATAGAAACGGTGAGTGTGAACCGAGCAGAGGAGAGGTAGGACACGTTCATTACAACGCTCCCTGCAGGACCCGTGTTTGCTCTGCTGGATTCTGTTTGTTTTGAACTCTGGGAAGTCTTGAGATGAAGAAAAATGTATTTGACAAACTCCAATTTGGTCATATATAGAGCTATTAAATCGCTCTATCATGAACTCATAGATTACCGGTTTGCCATCATTTATCGGCCAGTATGTGACTTCCAGTGATGAATGAGTTTTAGTTATTTACCCACTGATAACACTCAATATACCAGTGTGTTTTATTTGTGTTGACGTTCGTCATTCATGTTCCTGAAACATTGTTTTTTGTGTTCTAAGAACACAACAAAAAAAACATTAAATTATGTTTGTCATTTTTCTATTTCTTCATGGCCTGAAGAGTTGATGTAATATTTTACAGTGTAACAAAAGAAAAAAATGCAGACATATTTGATACCTAAACACATAAATAATACTGTATGTCAGCAGATATTGTTAGTTATTAATTTTAATGTCTATGTGAGGTATTATCATATGGCATTAAAAGAACCACAAGACCATTAATGAAGACAAACAGAGACACTTTTAAAACATAAACACAGATAAAATGATCATATATTTCTCTCTGTATCATCAGCTTGTTGTGAGAAAGACAAAAATCAAACGTTTTAAGTTGAATATAAAATAATAGCCCCTGTAGATGCCCGGTGGCCAGTTTAAAAGAGGCTGTTCTTCATGGAGGAAGTCACTGTGGTCAATTTACATTTAGTCAGTCAAAATTTGAAAGTTTTCACAGCTAGAAAAATATAAAAATATTCATTAAAAACTTGTCAAACCACTCCTATAACGTAATCCACTCACCAGTATGCTCTAAATAGTTTTATTATAGATACCAAAATATTTATATACACAGCTTCCAAGTCACTCTGTTGCTTTGGAAGCTTCATCTACGTCTCAAACTCCTCAAGTACGTGTATTAACCCGACATAATGTGTCTTTTAAAATGGGATAAATACAAAGGGATCGTCCTGTAAATGCTGCAGTATATCAAACATAATGTGAAGAGTTCATGCTTTGAATCGCTGCTGCTTTTGATCCAGAGCTTTTCTTCACTTTCCTTTTTAGTTCATCTAACAAACTGTAATTGTTGTATGTAAAGAAAAGTCTCTCAGGCAATAGTGATTAAAACCGTATTAGATTTAGTAAAGCTTTTAAATTTGCATTCTGATCACTGATTTAGATTAAAGCTGCACAGGGAGTTTAAGGCAGTCGCTCCTCTGGTTCGAACTGTGCAGTTCTCTGTAATAATAAAATGCAGTTAAGATAGAAAATGGTTTCTCAGATTGCCCCTTTAAGTGAAGATCTGCACCCAGAAGACGCTCATTACGGCATTCTTCGTAGAGAGCTGGGAAACATGGGAGCTGGTCCGATATCTAACACCTGTTCTGTAGCGTAGCCACCCCGCCTGCCAGGCCGCAGAGCCACATGAGGCTTTGATGAGGGTTATTGAGATGGACTGAATGCGAGCCACCTGCCTGCACAATGAGGGACGAGAGCGACTCGCCAGCTCCCTCTGATCCCGATGAGTTGGTTTTTTTTTTTATCCCAAAGCTGCTCTTCAGGACTTCCCGTGGTTTTGTTGGTTGACCTGAAATTATACGCTCGGTCACAAGAGTCCTGCAGGAAGCTGCCGGGGTTCGTTTGAAACATCTTGTCCTGGCCAAAAAAGAAGGAACATCACAATCTGCTCGATGCTTATACAGAGTTTACTGGATGTGACCGAGATTAAATGTGTCTTGTAAAATTGGTATTACAGTTCAGAGCCTCCTCTTCAGGGTCTCACTGCTGTGGTTTATCTACTGGAGTTGTACCAACCTTCAGTAACAGACAGTCTGTTTTAATGGCTCCTTTAGTGCAAGAGTCGTCCTATTTTACAGCTCCATCGTTGTTTAGGTTGTTTAAGAACTCAGTGGATTAAAATATAAAAGGGGAAAAAAAAAAACAGCTATTTACTTTTTTCTGGGCTGAATTTGAAATTTAATTTATGTTTCTATTGTTTTGTATCTTTGTAGCATCAAAATCAACGACTGCAGTCACATCATGCAACTTATTTCTTGATTTTATTACAGTTTGATCCACATGTCTGAACAAGTAGCAGCTTTTTTTATTAGGGATGCGTGACATATTTCAGGATCAATAATGGGACATTTATATTATCATGTATTATTCCGATAATGAAATTATAGCCGATAAATGATCAATCGATAATGACTTTGTTCTATGAAAACCAAAGTATGTTTACGTAGTTTTTCACAGAATTTAACAGTTAAATCATCCATCTTTGCTCACTTCATCTCAGCCTTTCTTACTCTCAGGTGTCCATAAACTAAAGCTTATTAACTCCTTTTTAAATTACAAAAAATGTGAAATTATTGTTATCTGTATGAGGAGCAGGTAGTTAAAGGTCATCGGTATCAGCTGTCCATAGTGTGCATCCTCTCATTGTTTTAATACTGTCTGTGTCTGTTTGTGTCTGCTTGCAGCAAATGGAGCGGTTCAAAATAGTGGAAAGAGAAACGAAGACGAAAGCGTATTCGAAAGAAGGTTTGGGTCTGGCCCAAAAGGTGGACCCGGCCCAAAAGGAGAAGGAGGAGGTCGGCACGTGGCTAACGGTGAGCTTCCTTATTAAACGGCGTTGTACGAGGTGTCGGCAATCATTTTTCCATAGAGAACAACAAATGCTGAGGTGAAGAAAGGCCAGTACAGGGGAGATGTGATGTACCAGATAACAGTCTCTCCGCTGCATTTTGAACCAACTGATTCACTCTTTCACCCTGTGTGTTACTTGACTCATGTGTTTTCTACTATTAGCTTCACTAGAGTTGTGCAAACATTGAGGGGTTTTACTCATCAGCCCCGACTGAAACCTAAATTTAGTCGAATTATGCACCTTTTTTTGTGTCATTGCACAGAATAATGAATAAGGCTCAAAATGACCTTATTTTGTTGTTCATATCTCCAAAAATAAGAAACTTGTTTGAGTCAGAGCAGTGCAGAGATCAGGGGTGACTTCCCTCACGAGTGAGTTTGCTGCTGGGAATGTTTTGATTTTATTATTTTTTTTAACAAAACCTGGAACTGAAAGTGACACAAAAGTGGAACTAAAACCAAAATTAAGACAAAACACAGTCTCAGCTTTCACAGAAGCAAAGACTGACAACCTCATTAACCAGCTGCCACTTACACTAATACATCACAGCTGCGTTTGTCACCACAAAGAGTGCATTTACTCCATGGTGATATACTGATGCAATACATATTGTGACGGGACCGTTGGGACTTAAAGCTGCAGTTGGTAACGCTTATAAAAAAATAACTTCTTGTCATATTTGATTAAACATATAACTATATCCTGACAGTAGAAGAATCAGGTTCCTCTGGCTCCTCCTAGTGCTCCTAATTGACTTTAGCGTGCCTGAAAGAAAAGAACCAATCGGAGCGAAGAAAGATCGTTGACTGTTTATTGTTCATTGTTTATACCGACACTGAATAAAACCCGCCGATCGACTATCATCAAACCTCCATTTTAAAGAGTCTTCATATCTCTCTCGGCTCTGATCGGTTGTTTTTATTCAGGTCCTGGTGGATGCTTGTAAACGCCATCAGGAGCACTAGGAGGAGCCAGAGGAAGCTGATTATCCGTCTCATCTGTCAGGATGTAGAGAAAGCTTTAGCAAATATGGCAGTTATTTTATATAAAAGTTACCTTCTGCAGCTTTAATTACTTTTGGGAGAAGAACTTATTTGCTTTAGTGTGTGTGTGTGTGAAATGACATGATGTCTGTTTCTAGGTGATATTGATCAGTATCTGTGTCATTGAAGTAATTTATCAAAACACGCCAAACGTTCCTCGACTTCCACCTTCTCTAATGTGACAATTTGCTGCTTCTCTCTTTGTAAACAGAATATCTTTGAGTTTTATAGACTTTAAGTTAACAAAAGAGTCAATTAGATGGCATTACCACGGGCTAACAGGCACTATTTTATGACATTTTATAGACCAACTTGGCAGAAAAATAATAATAATGGAAATAACAGTTAGTTGTGCTCCTGCATATTTATTTAAATGTGGCCTTTTGTAGTATTACAGGCTGTTTTAAGATCATTTAACGCTTCTAGGTTCTACGTACCCATCTCACACTCTTACTATTGATAGTTTCTCATAAAATTAATGTGTAAAAATTAAAAAAAACATTCGATATATTAAAGACCTACTTGTAACTAGGGCTGCAACTTAAAGCTTTTTTCATTATTGATTAATATGTTACCTAAAGGCAGCAATGATGTCTTCGAACTGCTCGTTTTGTCCATTCAACAGCCAAATATTTTCAGTTTACTCTCACATAAGACAAAGAAAAGCAGCAAATCTAACAATTAACGATTAATTGATTATCAGAATAGTTGCGGATGAATCGACTGTTTGTTTCAGATCTACTACTACAGCTGAATGTTAACTCTACTCTCATCCCTCTCCTCCCTCCAGAATACGATAGACACGTTGAACATGCAAGTGGACCAGTTTGAGAGCGAAGTGGAGTCTCTTTCAGTCCAGACGAGAAAAAAGAAAGGAGACAAGGAGGTCAGTGTGTTCTCATCCCCGATCCATTCATTCTTTTCTTCTCCACTCTCTGTCCGGGTTTCTCCGTCCTGCTCCGTTTATAGCTGACACAGATGGGTCGGTCAGTTGGCCGTCAGCCTCGCAGCGCCTCCTCTCTCTCCTCTTTTATCTCCCCCCTCTCCTCTCTGGTGGAGAGGTCAGATAAGCGTGTCCTCCATTTATCTTCTGTGTCTGCTCTTGCTGACCACTTCTTTCACTTTCTCTCTCTCACTCACGTCCCCTTTAAAGTCCTCTCCAGGGGCCTTTTGGTTATAGAAATAGCTCTCTGATGGCTGGGCGGTCATTTCAAAGAGTATGAGAACAACCAGGTCCCGCGTACGACCTTCATACCTGCAATGCCCGGAGAAGTACTCTTTTGTTAAGTCACAGGAAACATTTCTCGTCGGTGTCAAGATCACTTTCACTGTAACTGGCTTGTGTTTTTTCCCTGAGGACCTTTTCTAAATGACACCCAGAGGGGTTTATTTTTGTCTGTTGCTTCTGCAGTTTAGCTTAGCCGGCCAAAAGCGTAGGACCGCGTTTCTCTGCAGAGATCTTCGAAGAAATGTAGAGCTGAAGTGCTGATACGAGTTTCTGGTCTCACACAGGCTCCAAAATGACCAACCGTCAAACAGCAAAAACAATAAGAAAGAAAAGATTTCTCTTTTGGTGGATTACTCATCTTAAAGGTCGCCTGCTGCGATCGTCATTAACTTCCTGTGGCGACTTTATTCAAATATCCAAACACCTGCTACCTTTTGGTGCCTGTTGAGGATGAAACATGCCGTGTATATTGCATGCAGGGATGAAAGAAGAAGAGGTGTCTGGCTAACTGTACCGCACATCTACACAATCTTAACCGTTGTTCTCGTGAAGCTCTTGTGCTGAACATCACACAGCCGGTGATCGGTTGAGCAGAGGAGGAGAGCAAAGACAAAGGATGAAAAAAAATCACTCCATATTTAATGCATGGTGCACTATATTTACACTCCATCTTCATCTGGCATCTACAACACCTTCTGTTCCCACAATGCATTGTGTTGCATTACAAAGAGTGAGAGTGTTCACTATAGATTTAACTACTGACTACTAAGTGTGTATTAATGTATTCTCCCACAGGGAATAATGAAAGAGCGGATGAGGGAGGGATTTCAGACACAGCCGGAATGTTTTAGAATTCACTTTTATGGTGTGAGGTTGAAATCTAGATTCTCTTTCAGAGGTTCTGGTTTGGTTAATGCAGCAGTGACACCTAATGCACATGTCAGTATTACACACAAGTATCTAGAGTATATCTATGCATATCAGACACATTTAACACCTCTCTGCACAGAGAGAAGATCCTGACACACAGTCATCTACCTCATTAATATATCCAGGATCTATGAATATGCAATTTTTGTTCATTCCTGTATAATTTCTATAATGTGTGTGAGTGTCTGTGCACTGGTGGCTGCAGGTTTCTACATCACGCTTTCATAAGTTGCATACTAGACCAGTAAATCCTGCTTCCTTAAAATCAGATTGTCAGTGAGCACAGAGGAAACTCTGCACAGTGAAGATCAAACTGTAGGAACAAGAAGAAAACAATTTTTTTTAGTTAAACGGGATTGTGTGAACATATTTACTTCGTTTTTGGGCCACTTTAATACACAGTACAGTGTCAAACCAATGCTTTAAACACCTGAATTTACACTATACAGCATATTCAGACTTAATGCAAGCAAGTATTATAACTCTAAAACAACAAACACACAAGTTAGCGGTCAGACATGGCGTTTCTAAGTCGATAAGGAAAAAGATAAAGCGATCCTTCGAATAAATATAAACTGAATCTGTTACCTGAAAAAAGTCTTTAGAGTGTGAGGCAAATCCTTGAACTTGAATATAGTTTCAAAGGCTTTGCACCACTACTAGAAAAAACCTCTTTTATAAATAAGGAGGTTTTTTTTTCTTCCAGCATTTCAAAGGAGTTCCTGGACTCCTGCTGCCCTGAGGTGTTTTTAGCTCATATAGTGTTTTATATTTATGTTTTTCCAGTTGGAGTCCGTGGATGAATGGCTCATTGGCTCATTCTGAATGAAAAGGCTTGTAACTGTGATCATAAGTTCTAAACAAGCAGAGAAATAAATCTCCAGAGCTCCAGTTTGTTTGCTTTTTTTTTTTTTTTATTTGGCTCCCAGTCCGCCAGTTTATTTAAAAATATCCCAATAAAACTATTTTAGCCTGCGTGAGATATTTTATTCAGTTCCATACCTTCCTCACTCCTCGGGACTTCATTTTGGACACATTAAAAGTTCAGATTTAGCCTTTTGGAGCCTGGACGCACTCAGAAAAACCTCCCCATGTTCCCGACATGTGCTGGCGCAGCGTTAATATGTGCTGTGATGAAACACATTAATATGTTCCTCTCTGCTGCCGCCTCTAATGCGGTCCAGCGGCGGCCGAACAACATACATCTAAAGTGTTCTGCCTGCGTGTTTAAACATCCGTGGTGTTTTTTATAATCACATCAGTTCAGCCAGTGATCCATAGCGCCACACGTGTGCTCTGCATCCGTTCCTAAGGTTTTATCCACAGGAGACCTACACGTGTTTATTATTGTCCAAATATCCATTGAAACACCTTTTTAGACCTGAAATGTAGAGATGAGCAACAACTTTTTTTAAAAACAGACAAAATATAGGATATTTAAATACTTTGGAACATGTATGAAGTAACAGCGGAGGAGAATAATTAAATATTGAAGTTGGAAGTGGTGCTGAGTGTGTGCTGCTGTACGATGCATAAAGCCATAAAGTGCACACGTAGCAGCGCCGCCTGCTCTCATGCTGATGTACCTTTCATGTGTTTCCTCACTTCTGCATGTTTTAACTTTAACATTTTAACATGCTTTCTCTTTTTGTTTTTCAAAATGTTTTTCCTTTTGTTTCAATGAATAATTGATTAACATGTTAACATGCGCTGGAATAAGATGGCGTTATGTATATCCCCAGCTGGTTAAATATGACTATAATAATAAATAATAACTATGTTTTTACACCAAATATTACGATTTTAAAATGTTTATTCGGCATCTGAATCCACATGTTAGACCAACGAGAGACATTAAAACTCTCCACTGAGATCCAGGTTGATGACTTTATTTTACTGGTCCAAGCTCTTTAATCCAGCATGATCCTCACTCCCCCTTCCCCCGTTCCCTCCCTGCCTCCTACATTCCCGTACAGAAGCAGGACCGGATCGAGGAGCTGAAGAAGTTCATCGAAAAGCATCGACACCACATCCGGATGCTGGAGACGATACTAAGGATGCTGGACAACGACTCAGTGCAAGTCGACTCCGTCAGGAAGATCAAGGTTCGCTCTTGTCTTTAGAAAACAAAGTCATTGGAGTTTTTAAAGCTTTCTGGACTCTTATTAGTTTTATTGAAGGGTTAACATTTCACAAAACACACACACGTTGCAGCTTCACTTTTATATTTTTTGTGGAACGAATCAGAGGGTTTTTTTTTTAAAAAAACTTTTTTTTAATTTTTTTTAATAAATAAAGGAAAGAAAAAGTAGTAATATAAATTAAAATAAAAAAAAAAAAAAAAACAAAATATCCTGCAGGTCCAGTGTGTTGGATTTAGTGGCCTCTAGTAGTGAAGTTGCAGATCGCAACTCCTTCGTTTATCCTCCTCTCAAGCACAAGGGAAACTACGTGGCTGCAAACACACACAAAAAAAATAGCCATGTTTGGTTTGTCCATTCTGGGCTACGGTAGAAACATGGTGGCCGCCACAGAAAGCAACCGGCAGCGTCTGCAGATTAAAACGTCTCATTATAAAGAAACAAAAACAGTTCTTCTATTCAGGTGATTAAACACTAATGTAAACATACCCATAAATATTATATTCTACCAATAGATCCTCCTAAATGTTCCACACTGGACCTTTGAGTACAAAATATTAGCACCAATATATAATAAATGTACCAGAAGTAAGTAAATATTATTATGCATTATCTATTTTTGAATTATATAGGTTATATAATATAATTATTGTAATGATTGATTGATTAATTAATTACAATATGTCCTAATTTATTTGTTGATTATATTTTGTATTCATCTGAATCTGGATAAATACCTAGTAACTACAGTATTTGAGTAAATGTACTTGTACTTTCCACCACTGTGCTGAGCCAGCGTTTATTTCCTTTTTTGTACTGTCACATGTAAATGTGTTGTATAAATAAATGAATCTCTGTTCTCTTTCTTCTTTATGAAGGACGATGTGGAGTATTATCTAGACTCGTCGCAGGATCCGGACTTTGAGGAGAATGAGTTTCTATACGACGACCTGGACCTGGATGACCTCCGTAAGTATAAAAAGAGCTGAAGTTAACTCAACACAAGATAGAAATATATATATATATATATATAAAAGGTATAAATTCAGAGCAAAACTCTTAACAGGTGAAGCCACAAGAAAATTGCTTAAAATGACCAAATATTCTAGCAAAATTCCTGCACAGTGATGTGAATTGTATGTGCAATGAACAGTTTAACTTTCTAGAAGATAAATTGTTTGTACAATAATATAAATCTGACTTGATTTCAGCTGTTACATACGGGCTACGGCCAAATGAATGTAGTCAATTTACCCGACACCGCAGCTTATTGGATGTTTATAAGCAAGGTCTGTCCTGTATTATCAAGAAAAACTCCTGGAAAATGTCCTGGAAAATAATAAAACAGCAGGAACCCTGGATGTGCAGGCAGAGCCAAAGACAATTAAATATTCACTTCCTTATTTTGTGTAGGAAACGACTTGTTAAGTCAGTTTATGGACCTAAACTTTGACTGGGCCTCCATTATCATAGTCCTGACTAAAGTTTAAAGAGAATTAAACCCTCCAAACTTTAAGTTAATACCATAAAACTCCTGAAAGTGATCTTGTTAATGCCGTTTCTCTGTGTACCATCATTGAACTCTTCTCCCTCTGTGTCTCTGCAGCTCAGACGCTGGTCGCTACCTCCCCACCGGGACACTCGCACTTGGAGGATGAGATCTTCCAGCACTCCAGCAGCACACCCACCTCCACCACCTCTTCCTCACCCATCCCCCCCTCGCCTGCCACTTGCACTACGGTAACAACAACCCCCAAAAACTGCTTCTCTCTCCTTGATATCCGCGTGAAAACTGACATTCGGGCACTTTGGCAATTCTGAAAGTGTCCTAACATTTATGCAATGTCTGTTTTCAAAAGTTACATTTGGAGTCTTTTATAGATTTTATAGAGATTAAAACTGATCTTGCTATCGGTGCTCTGTTTGCTATCTATCTATCAGATTATTATCTCTTCATCAACCTCTGATTTAGTCGCTAATAGTGGCAATAATGCAATATTGGCAATTCCTGACAATTGAGCCTATTGTTGCATATGCTTCCAGTCAAAGTCAGGTCAATATCTGAAATATAAATGTACGATAATTGCCTTTGTGTCTGCTATTGTAGTGCCCTGCCATCTGCTCTTATTGTTCTGCTCTGTTGTCATTATATCATCTGTTCTTCCTCTCCACCCACACGCAGTTTGTAGTGAGAGCGGTTATTATAGGTCTGATGTGTCTGAATAGTAGGCGTGGTTTTTGTTAAATGCTGCTGACATGAAGTTACGCTTGAGCATGAAAGGGAACGTAAAGGATGGGGCTGTGAGCCGCAGTGATCCCTGGGAGATGTGATTGTTTAACTTTTAATTATCTGAGGAAAGTTTCAGGGAATTATTTAGCTGTTGAAGAACTGAGAGCGGCTTTCTTATACCGGCAAAAGTTAGGGGTGAGCCCCAAAAGCTCTTAAAAAGATTGTTAACTCAAGAAGAATTTGGCCTCTTTTGGTTTTTGGTTGATCTTGTTTTACATCCTCGGTGTTGTGGTACAGCTATTAAACATGGTAACCACACAAACTCTCTGTGGCCCTAATGTTGTTCTTCATCTGTTTTTCAGGAGAACTCAGAAGACGACAAGAAGAGGGGACGTTCAACGGACAGTGAAGTTAGTCAGGTGAGTCCAAAGACGCTGAGAGTTAAAGTCTGATAATAACTTTATTAGGTCAAATGTGAAAAACGGACAATAAGTTGCTGGTTTGAGTTTTTAAATTCAGATTTTGTTGCTTTTCTCAGTTTTATATTCATGTAAATTTAATATTTTGGGGGTTTGGGACCAAATAAGCTATTTGACATTTGTGATGTGCTTTTTTTTTACGTTTTAGAAAAAAATTATTAATAAATGAATTAATAATAAAGAGAATTAATCCTATATAGTGGCTTTAATATACTAATATGCTATAATATATTCAGATGTGTCTACTTATTATTAATGAGCAATGTTTTTACCTCGTTCCTTTTGTGTGCTACTTTAATTTTATATCATTTATCTTTTCATATGTTGACGTCCAAGTTTTTGGATAATAAAATTAAACTTTCATTAGTAAAACTCCATCAGAGATAAACATATTGTATATTTAACACTCGTTTCCCGTCTTCCATTTTCTTCCAGTCACCTGTGAAGAACGGAAACCCCTCTTCCTCGTTATCCTCTTCCTCTTCCTCCTCCTCCTCCTCTTCCTCCTCCTCCTCATCCTCTTCTTCTTCCTCCGTCTCGGGGCTGACCCCGTCCTCGCTGGTCTCTATGGCGACCATCGCCGGGGGAGGAAGCGGCAGCGGCTCCGGGGGCAACAGTCACCACGGCAACTCGGGGGGTCTCCTCTCCAACACTTCCGCCGGCAGCTACAGCAACGCCACCCAGCAGCAGCCGCACCCGTCGGCACAGCAACAACAGGCCAAAAACTTAGTTAGCTCCCCGATCTCCGCCCCCCTCTCCAACCCCATCACCTCCACCAACAGCCACCCGACCTCCTCCTCGGCCTCCTCTCCCCCCAACGTCAGCACACAGGGGCTCTTCACTTCAAACACCCAGCCCCAGGTTCTGTCGGGGCCCCCGCCGACCTCCAACAGTCTGGGTCTCAGCCTCGGTCTCTCGCTGGGGAAAGGCGGCATGTCCGGCTCCATCACCACCAGCCCGATGTCCGGGAGCCTGGGCCTGTCAGGGATGCCGGCATCCCTGAGCGCCATGGCGAGTCTCCTCTCCAGCTCCACCCCGGCACCCTACGCTCAGGCAGCCGCCTCAGGCGCGGTCGGCTCCGGCCTACCGGGCTCCCTCGGCGGCATCATCACCACGACGACCAACACTTCACTGGGCTCCATCGGCAGCGGAAGCATCACAGTCGGCGGGCCGACGTCCTCGTCGGGAGGTCTGCTGGGCTCGGCGCCGGGGGTGAGCAGCATCGGCTCCGGGATCCTGGGGTTGAGTTCGGGTCAGTCGGGAGTGCAGGGGTCCTCCCTGGTGTCCCTGAGCCCAGTGGGAGGTTTAGCACCGGGTAGCGGAGTCGGAGTCATCGGGAGCAACGGAGGCAGTTCGGGATCAGCAGGGAGCGGAGTGGTGGGAGGAAACTCTTCGCTCTCCGTGAGGCCGCCCAGCCAACAGAAGCAGAACGGTAGCACTAGTGAGTATCTGATGTATGCAGACGGTGACCAGTGAGTTCACAGCAGTGCTCCTCTAGATCACAGCTGGAGAAACACTGAAAATGTCCTTTTAGAACAAGTTTAAAACTGTTGTGTGGTCACTGATAATCTGTGCTCTCGCCAGAATCCACACAGAGATCACTGCTGTGGACATTTGAGCCACAAGTTGTGATTTAATAGTTGATTAGAAAGTGATTTTGAGGGCAATAACAGTGAAGAATGTTTTAATATCAGCACAGGCATCTCATTCTGTAACCGTAACACCACCAATTTATATGTCTCTATCAGTAACAGTGTCCAATTCAAACCATGTTAAACCACCAAGTTTCCTTCCTGTGAGTGTTCATTATTTAGAAAGTGAAACTAGAGTCATAAATTTAGTTTACTGGGAAAGTTATAAACAAAATGTGTCAGTTAAAGGAATATTGTGGAGAGGTTTGCGGGTCCTTGAACGTGTCTGTAAGGCCCTAAAAAGAACAAATGCTTCATTATAGTTGTTGAGCCTGTTACTACAGATTCCATAGCCTTTAACTTTTTAATTTCCCTTTTAATAATTACGCTAATTCACACTCAAATGTGGATTTCTGAACACCTGCAGAGATCCGTGACTTACTCTGACCCTTCCTCGACCTTTACAACTAAAGAGACGACGCACCACGTTTGCCTTTTTCTTTTCATAGACATTTATTTTGGCCGTTTTCCTCTGTTTGTGTTTTTGACCTCACAGGTTACAGTGCTGTGGTAGCAGACAGCACAACAGACTCCGCCCTCAACAGTGCCAGCCAATCACAAAGCAGCCAACCCTCGTCTTTGACCTCTACAGCCAATCAGCCGTGAGTATGACGGAGCCAGGCGACCATTAATGTGGAGTTATGGAGGAAAGACACAGAGACTTTGTGTTTCCTTGAGTTTATCAGGATAAAACTGTGAATGAAATGCAGTGAACGTCCTTCCTGTGTTTATAATTGTTACCTCGTTCTCGTCCTGTCTCTCTCCCCAGTAAGGACACTGGTTCCAGTTTACTGGGCTCTTTGAGTTTGTCGTCCAGCTCCCCGTCAGCGGCCTTCTACAGCGAGGCCAAAACGGTGAGCGGCGGCAGCCTGCTGAACGGACCGCTGTCCTACTCGCAGTCCTCCGACATCATTAAGGTGAGACTATGAACACACACACACACAGACACACACACCTGTATGAACATGTGATCTGTATCTGGATACTGACGTCTGATCCTCTGGTCTCTGTATTCACAGCTGGTATTAAAATACATTTAAAAAGTTTCGTGTTTCAGGGTTAAATTATCACAATTTCAGCTTCCATCAGTTGTCAGGAATCTCAATCTCGCTCAAATCTTTAAAATCTCCTGTTCCAAAAACTACTGAGGCCATATTTAAATTTAAGAGAAAAACACATGTAAAATGGTTCCAGTTGCACCAAACACAACAATAGCCTCAGCAGTGAGTCATGAATCCCTGTTAGACTAACAGTGAAGTAATTACCTACATACCTCAACCCTAGTCAGCCGGGGTGGGGGGGTAACACTGAATCACTACTACTGTTCTAACACCAGAGCTTCTCTACTCAGGAACTGTTGGATAAAACCCACCGGGGGGGGAAAAGACTCCACACACAGGCTATTAAATTAAAACTGCAGTTCCTCGAACAGCCACTCGAGGGCTGGCTCCAGAAGTGAGTCAGTGTCTGTAACTGGCCCTGTATTAAAACGCAGAAATAAACATGTTTGTGACAACTGTACAGGGGGTGACTCTTTATAAAACTCACCCGTTTAAGGCTTTAAATTCTGCATAATTGAGGCTGTTTTTAGTAACCAGGTTTCACGTCTTATTGCCTTCCAGTAAGTATTTGTTTTTTTCTTTTCATCTTTTTTAACTTGATATTTTGTAGGTGGTGTTTTTGTTATTCTTTATACAGATTTAATTTCCTGAATCTCCACAGACTATTAATTTGCAGGCAAAACACGTTCAAAACTGTTTATGCCTCCATTATGATTTAATTAATCCAAGTGGGGATTATTATGGTCTCATTGTGACTGTTTATTTGTAGTTCAGACACTGCCAACACATTTTGACGAAAGCTAAAGAGAATAATAAAAAAAAACGACGTGGAACTGATTAAATTAGGCAGACATGTGGTTTCTTCAGCTTCAGTCACCTTAAGTTGACCTCTCTGAGGAAACATCACTTGTTTAACTCCACACTGCACTGTGGTGAAACCGCAGTAAGAGCGCACCACAATCTGCAGTAATTAACTACAATTCTCTATTTGTGACGGCTGTAGGAACTTTATTGCATTATAGATTTAATTTAAAGTGGATTTCATTTGCTTTTATTTGCAATTAGTTCACACAATAAGCTATGACTTGTGGGACTTTATGTACGAGGGGGGGTGTCTGCCTGTTTCTAATTCACATCCAATCAGTTGGATTCGCTACAGGTGGACTCGGAGATGATCAAAGCAAACACGACGCACCTGAGCTCAGTTTTGGGAGAACCACAGCAAGGAGTCTCAACTGCCTGTGATTATAATGACAGATTCCAGTTTTTGATTTATTTGTCCGAGTGGTTTCTCCTGTGTAGGGTTAATTGCCCAAACAGAGGGGGGAAAAAAGTAATCAGTTTTAAATTAAATCTGTAGCACACTGTATTCAGATCCAAATGTAAGAGTCTCTATTGGCTTCCTGTGTGTGGAGAAAGAAGAAATGTTTGGAATAGAGAACTTTATTTGTAATTTCTGTACTTTAATAATTAATAATTAAACACCTTTTTAAATATATATTTTAAAATTGCTTGTTGTTTCTCGCAGCTTTGACATTTTAACTCTTAAACTATATTTCATATGATTTTAGACAGGTGTTTAAGTATGTCAGTTAATTTTGTTAATTTAAGTTGAATGTTAAACATTCAGATAAACTACATGGCCAAAAGTATGTGGACGGCACTGTGTGAACACCTCATTCTAAAGCCACGGGGCAATTGATCTGCTGCTATAACAGCCCCCGCTCTACTGGGAAGGATTGTTTTTACTTCATGGAATTGCTCCCATTCAGCCCCACGAGCATCGGTGGGGGCAATCAGGTCTGATGTGGGTTGATCTGATGTCGGGTTGATCAGGTCTGATGTCGGGTTGATCAGGTCTGATGTCGGGTTGATCAGGTCTGATGTCGGGTTGATCAGGTCTGATGTCGGGTTGATCAGGTCTGTTTCCAGTTCATCAGAAACGGGGTCGAGGTCAGGGCTCTGTCGAGTTCTTCCACACCAGACTGGGGGAGAAACATTTCTTCGTGGAGCTTGCTTTGACACAAAGTTGGAAGCACACATTGTCTGAAATATTGTTCGCTGTTGGCTTTTGGCCGTGTGGTGTGCCTTTTTTTTTGTTTTGTTCTCTTTGTCATTGGGCTCTGAAATCGCTCCTCGGCTGCCTCGTATTACGCCAAAAGCATCTTTGAGGGGAGGGGACGGGGGCAAAACAAACAAAAAGTGAAGCCAAAGTGATTTCCATGACAACATTATCACTGGTGCGGTAACTGGAGTTCCTCCAGAGGGGGCAGGTACGATAAACCGTGCGCACACGTCCGCTACGATCTGTTTTCCCATGAGTCTCCTTGTCTGTCCTCATCAGCCCCAGGAGCCTCTGAGCAGCCTGAAGTCCATGGCCGAGCGAGCAGCACTCAGCTCAGGGATGGAGGGAGACGTGCCCTCCCTGCACCTCACCCCAGGTAACACACACACACACACACACACACACACACACACACACACACACACACACACACACATATGCACCTTAATAAAAGGAGATGGAGGGTTGCCACAGAGCAGAAATAGAAAAGCTGTAGTTTAATGGAACAAAATGTCATCTCACCTCCCACTCTCAGCCTCCTCTGAACAAAAACTGCTGATGATATTATCAGCCCTGACTCAACTTCTCTCTCTTTGTCTCTCTGACTTCAAATCCTGAATCCCTCCCCCCCCCTCCTCTCCCCCCCCCTTTGCTGCACATCCTCTCTCACTCCCCCTACATCTTCAATTTTCCTTCACCATCACCCTTTTCATCTCCCTCACACTTTAATCTCTCGTCTTCTCTTTTTGTCTCTCCTCAGACATCTTCCCCAGCAGCACTACGGCCCCCTCGGGCCCCCCGACAGCACCTCAGCCCTCGCTGTCAGAGGTCAGCATCCCCCCGTCGTTGGGGGTCTGCCCGCTGGGGCCGGTTCCCCTGTCCAAAGACCAGCTCTACCAACAGGCCATGGAGGAGGCGGCGTGGACGCACATGCCCCACCCGTCCGACTCCGAGAGGATCAGGTGCGGTTAAATGTTTACTCGTCACATTTTTCCACCACGCGGCGAAATAAAAGCTTCACACTGGTTTCTTTATCTGCTGGTTGGACTGAGGAACTACTAATACTGTAATGTTCACATATTATAAATAGAATTAGAGTACAGAAAGAATCAAAAGTCAGGGTCATTACTGATGCATTAATAAGTAAACCAGCTATTTTATAACATATATATTTGTTAATTAAAATGCCTGATGAACTCATTACATATTTTGTCTGTTCAGTTACATCTCAGAGAAAAATACTGTACTTTTTAATCCACCACCCTTTCCTTACAGTAGTATAAAGTATATAAATATTAATGTAGAAATACCTCGAAACTGCACTTTGTTACAGTATGTGAGTAAATGTACTTTAGTTACTTACTGTTGGATGGACTAAATAAGGCTCATTATTTTAGATTATTTTAGATTTTTAATTCATCATCTAATCATGGTTTTGTGAGAATATGATTAAATAAATATCAATAATTCCAAAATACAGGTAAAAATCCGACATTAGGCAGCTTAATCGCTGTCTGTTTTTACTCCTGAGAGCCATAAAGAATGCAAACTGCAGTGATACGTCATAAAATCTCGTTTAAAATCTATTTAAACTGATCTTCTCCTTGTTGATCTGTGACAATAACAAAAGACGAAGAAGCCTCAGTGGTTGATCTGAGTAAACGGGAAACATTTGCATCCTACTGTTGGAAGTTTCTGCTTTTGCCAAAGCTTTTAATTTGAAAAGATTTAGAAGAACTTTGTCCAGATTCAGCAGCTTTTCTTTCTCATCTCCCTTAAATCCATCAGCTGCAGCACGCACTTATCTCATACAAGGAATAATGTGGCATTTTATCAGTGTGCAGTAATGTTAGCATACCTACACACACACACACACACACACACACACACACACACACACACACACACACACACACACAGCATGCACAATTAGAGAACAGATTATACTGGTTCTGTATCTACAGCGCAGTCTGCCCACACAGGTACAATTGACATTTAAATCCAAACACTCAAACCCTCTTGTCCCACAGTACCTGTTGTGTTTCACAGTCAGAGGAGGAGAGTGACACACACACACACACACACACACACACACACACACACACACAGAAAAAAGAAATCCCTGAAGGCTCTCTGTGTGTTTTTGTGACATTAACAGTCGAGTGAAACAAACACATCACAGGAAAAGTCATTGTTTCTTAATAACAGTAATTAATTCCCAACACACACAAACACAAACACACACACACACGCTGTTATTTTCAGCCACATACAACAACTTCCACCTCGTCCTCGATATTATTCATATTAGTAACCTCAGCGTGCCTGTCCGTGAGGAGTGTGTTAGTCAGACGCTGTCACCGTCTCAAACTTTGGGCCTGTTTTTTGGGGCCACGCTGAGTATTTTTGGCGCTCACTGACCTGGCTAACAGAGGAACGGCCTAATGGACACAGAAAGAACAAACTGGGTTTTGTCGCCGGTCTAAAAAACACACATGGTTCGGATGGAAAAGTGCATCCGAGCAGATTTTCCTACTCTTCCTAACCATCGGGGAGGTGAATCTGTCGATCAGTCGGACTAATGGATCTGTTAATTGTTCCACAGAGAGGTTAATCAAAGACCTCTTTGTCTGTCTCGGTGCTCTGTAGAGTCCTCAGGTGGCCACCGTGGCCCTTCGGTACACCTGGCTGATGGTTCATGAGTCTGTTAACTTTAGATCAGAGCCAGTGTGCTGATGCTGGATGTCTGCAGGCATTTAATCATTAATAATTATAATTGTTCTATTCCTATTGAACGTCATAAAACTAATATAACTACTAAAAACTTTAAGAGTTACTTTCTATTTATTGATTTTGGAACAAGGTCCTCTCGTTGTCTTTTAATTTTTATATTTACTAGAGCTGCAGCTGTTAGTTATTAATCAATTAGCTCTCGACTATTAAAACAATCAATAATGACTCATTATTTAGGAAAAAACATCCCAAAAACTTTGTCAAATGAATATTGAATTTTCTCGTTCCCTTTAGTCTCAGTAAATAAATATCTTTGGATTGTGGACAAAACAAGACATTTGAAGATTTTTCACCATTTTATGGACCAAACAACTAATCGATCAATGGAGAAAATGATCAACAGATGAATCGATAATGAAAATTTGTTGCACCCCTACTTGAATCCAGCAAATACAGATTGTTTAAAGGGGGAACTAAATGCAGTCTTTTGATGTTAAAATAGAATTTTCCCACCATGTAATTAATAAAAGCGTTAACACCCTTTATTTCAGTGTCATTGATTGATGATTCATATTTTTAACAACCAGCCTGAGTATCACTGATTACACCGATTAATTTACATCTTTATTAACACAGTAAAGCAGTGTCAACCTTAACCTGAACCCAGTGAATAAATTCAGATTTCCCTTCCACTAACGCCCCCTCTGTGTGGCTCTTACAGGCAGTACCTGATGAGGAACCCGTGCCCCACCCTGCCTTTCCACCACCAGGTGCCACCGCCACTCTCCGACACTGTAGAGTTTTACCAGAGGCTTTCCACAGAAACACTCTTCTTCATCTTTTACTACCTGGAGGTAGGCGACGTGACGAGTGCCGTGATATCAAAAAAACACGAGTCTGATATATCCGATGTGTTCTTTCTAATTCGTATTCTCCACCCTCCTGTCTCCCTCTGATTCTGCTCCCCTCTGCAGGGCACTAAGGCCCAGTATCTGGCAGCCAAAGCCCTGAAGAAGCAGTCCTGGAGGTTCCACACAAAGTACATGATGTGGTTTCAGAGGCACGAAGAACCCAAGACCATTACTGATGAGTTTGAGCAGGTCAGCGTCACGTTTTCAACCTCTCGTGGAGAAACTAAACAAAGCATGCTGGGAGTGCAGGTTTAATTGCCAGGTCTTGGGTCAGTAGCTCTTACGTTGTCTTTGAAATAATGCTTCTTCTTTTCCAGGGAACATACATTTACTTTGACTATGAGAAATGGGGCCAGCGGAAGAAGGAAGGCTTCACGTTCGAGTACCGGTACCTCGAAGACCGAGACCTCCAGTGACCTGCAGCAAGACAGACAGACAGACGGATAAACGAACGAACGAACGAACGGACAGACGGCTGAGGAAGTGAGAGAAAGAGAGGGACAGATGGATGGAGAACAAAACAAATGAAGAAGGCTGGACCACCTGCTGACATTCCTGGATCTGATCTCAGCTCGTTGGGGAAAGGAGATATTCGGGCTGGAGGGGGGGCGAACCTTCCCTCCCTCTGACCCTCCAACCCCGGCAGTGATTACTCCTCCCAGCCTGTCATCCCTGCTCCTCCTCCTCCTCTTCCTCTATCATCAGGCCTTTTATTCCCATCTTTTCCCGAACTGGAACTCTCTTTAAAACAAGACTTTTGGTTTGTTTTGGCTGATAAGACACAAAAAATCACACCCAAATATTCAGACTATCATGTGCTTTTCCCCCTCTGTGTCATCACTCTTATGTTGGCTTTAAGAAACCTTTTTGTTTATATTATTAGCCCCTTAAGAACCAAAGATAAATTGGTTAATCATACAGTACACAGGCTCCTCTTTCTAAACAAACTTAAAGAGGTAGCGAGTGCAGAAGCCTCGACCGCCGCCGCACACGCTACATCTGTGTAGTGTCGGTGCTACAATCTCTTCCAGTATTTGTGGTATGGAGCAGGGACGCAGCAGCAGCGGGGCAGGAAGGAGGTGAAAAACGTTGAGAAGCCAAGATGAACCGAACTGAAATCGGTCGGGAAGTTAGCGACCCGTAACCTGAACCTGTAAGGACCAGTACGGTTCTAGGTGTGTGCATTTAGGTGCACCTGGCTAAAAGTAATTCAGCAATCCTGCAACAAATCCTCCCTCCATGAGGTTCTGATCCAACTTTATGATTATTAAGGAGTCATTCTGAACTTTATTGTATTATACAGAGAGGTGTTTCTGTATTTTACCCAAGTATAACTAAAGTATAATGCAATGCAGTTCAACACTGACCTTAGACCTCGATAATGTCGGACCAACGCCTCTCGAAACCGGATTCAACTTTATAACCTTCATGAAGGGAGAATTTATTGCAGACTGCATTAGTTTCAGCCAGCTGTCCATAATAAACTCCACACAACGAGCACACGTCGGATAATCTGAACTTTCGCTTTAAGTCCCCGGTCGTTAACGTTCTTGTAGTTTCTGAAGAGTTTCACCTCGAAACAAATCGTCCACAATGAGGTTTTGTGCGAGACTCAACGTTTTTTTTCCTTCGTCGTCCGTGTCGGCTTCTCAACACGAACTCCTCCGCCAGCCAACAGTAGCTTAATACAGTTTTTTTTTCCCGCCCTGCTGCTGCAGCCACCACGAGGGCTTGTTGAGCTTCATGACTTCAACACCGATGAGCCTCACAAACAAACCGGTAACACCTGCCTCCGGTGTGCAGCGGCTCTACCTTGACCCGACCCGACCGCCGCAGACGTTAACACTGACCCAACCAGTCTCTCCCTCGCAGCTCGACTGCCGAACGCCGGCCGCAGTCGCCGCCACTCGCCTCTCCCGCCGTCCTCAGAGGCCCTGCTGTATTCTCGTGAAGCGGTGAAAAGCGTCCGGTTTTCTTTTTGTGAATCCACCAGCCGCTGTGGTCTAAAAATACCCTGCCCTGCCTACTCCCATCTAGCCACAGTGGAGGAGTGTGACAACAACAGCCAGCGAGGTGTTGGTAGTAACTGTCTTTTACCTGGTGGGCAGTGTTATATCACAGTTTGCTTTGGAAACAAAAAGGGATCATCACTCGGGAGAATATATTTACAGAATTTTATTTTAAAAAGTCTTGGTTTGGCCCCTCCAGCTTTCACGAGCTGTCTCACTGCCTTCACCTTGTTTCATTCAATCACAGGGCAGCTCACCCAAAGTACAGAAAACACATTCCCCTAATTATTCTCCAGTGGTATCGACTCACACACAGTTCTGGTTGGATTTGTTTTGAGGTATTTGAGAGTTCTGCCTCCACTCCGACACACTAGAGGAAACTGGAATCTGATTTGTGCATAAAAAAAAAAAAAAAGATTGATTGCTTCTTGCCAAGCGATGTAGATGAGAAGATCCATAACCACTCGAGCCAGCAGCCTATCAGCTTAGCTTAGCTGTGTCCAAAGGAAACAAAATTATAGACATCGTTTGTTTTAATGTGTAGAAAGTATTAGAACGACAGGAGTTATGTGTCTGACTGTTTCCTGGTTGCCTGGTAACCACATAACAACTGCTCCGGGCCCCAAAAAAACACCATTGTCCCACACGTTCCTCCACCAGTCGTTGTTCTAACACTAAACAAACGCCGTGTCTCCCATAGATAAAGAGATCCTGAGAGATTTCAGACTGATTCTCCACCGGTTTTCATGAAGCGTAGTTTGTTAGAGACGTGAGAAACTGAACCTGATAGTGGTTACGTGTTAGAATGAATTCAGTCAGCGGAGGCGGATCTAATCAACTCTACGCTGCGTGTGTGTGATGTAGAAATCTACATCTTCTAAAGCTAGAATTGGAGCCTGAATGGATTCCCACTGGCAGCCAGAACCACGCTCAGTTTCTCACATTTATAACAAACTAGATTTCACGAACATCAGTTCAGAATTAAACGAGTCGGGCGTGGATTGTGTACCTGTGTTTCTGTATCTGTGATTTACCCCCCAGTTTCCAGTCTTTATGCTAAGCTAAGCTCACAAAGCGCTGGCTGTAGCTTCACACCATCGCACAGACACGAAGGTGGCGTCGATCTTCTCGTCTCGCCGTCGGCACACAGACGTTAACGATCTGTCGTATCTCAGAGCAGAGCTACCTGCCGTCAGCAGTGATACAGTGGTTAACACACCGAGCTCCAGCAGTGATGGTTGTGAGAGTCGTGGGTGTCGGATGCTACCAGCAGCTGGATGGACAGTTTGTTAGTCTCCCACCAGCCTCCCCCTCCCTCTCCCCTCCCTCCCTCCCTCCTCTTCTCTCTGTGCTCAAGAGCACAAACTGAGCAACACCAGCACTGCTGCCCACAATCTCCTGTGTCCTCCAGCTCTCTGCTCCATGTTTACACACACACACACACACACACACACACACACACACACACACACACACACTGCCCAGTTCGTACTACCAACAAGTCATGGTTTTAGCTTTTCCCACACTCTGCTGCAAACACACAGCAGCTTATTCTTTCTCTCTCTCAGCCGGCCAGCTCCCCCCACTCCTCCCCCCCTCCTCTCTCTTCACGCCAGGTAGATATTTCCTTTATTTCTCAGGAAGTATTTGATAGATCATTTTATGAGGAAATGTATCCGCCAGCAGCTCCACAGCACAACAGCAAAACAACCCCCCCCCACCACCACCCCTCCACCACCCCGACAGATTCGTACCAAAATTGTAATTTCTACCTTTGTTTTGGAGCGTCTGCCTCTCTTTACCTGCCAGCGGCCCTTTTCCCTTTCATTAAAGGCTTCTTCTTCTTTTTTTGTTTAAAAACCACAAATATTGTCCTCCAATGTTTGGAGCAGCGCCTGGAACGAGAGACCATCTTTATATTTTGTATTTGTTGGATTAGTCGTAGTAGATTGGATATTGGTTTTGTATTTTTTTCAGAGATGGGGAAAGCATTTTAAAACCCAGAGGAGAACGAGGAGCCCTGTTGTTTTTAGAGATCAGAAACTTCTCAACAGGAGTGTGCAGTGTTTTTTATAGCCAAACAGACAGACAGACAGACACACACAGACAGACAGACAGACAGACACACAGACAGACAGACTACACGTATTCACTCGACTGACAGTCCTGCTTTTAACCTTTTTGTTTACTCTCTTCTTTTTTTACGGGGGAAGGGACGAGAGGTCAATCCGAGAGCCGAAATGTGAATCTCTCTCTGCCCCTCGACAAAAGTGTTGTATAGACTCTCATTCTTCAAACCTCTCCTTTTTTGTTTTGTTTTGTTTTGTTTATTTGTTGTTGTTGTTGTCGTCAGACAGCATGGATTAATGACACTTGCAAAGTGGCGGTGAAAAAGTAAATAATGACATAACCATGAATAAAGGATTGTAAAATATTAATAAAAGAATTACTTTTCAGAAAACTGCGCTGAGTGTCGGTTTGTGTTCAGCAGAGCTTCCTAAATGTTACACAGCCGACCTTTAACACCTACAGAGAGACATAAAGTTCAACCTTGTTGTGTGTTGATGCTTTATTAATTCAGTAGCTCAGACTGTCAGCATACAGATTACTTCTTTTAAGTTATCTTAAACACACCAGTAACAAATCCCTTCAGCTGTCGTACACATTAGATCTGTAAATGTGAAACGTAGCCGACTTTCCACCGTCTGAATCTGTGAATGTCGAGCAGCCAGTGTGGAAGACGAGGGAAGGATTCAGAGTGGCGATGGCGGTCGACCTGAGGGCGGTTAGGATGAGCGATGAGTGAATGAACGAGCAGGTTAAAGGTTACTTTCTGAATCCAAGGAGGGTTTTATTGATTTGTCTAATGTACAGGAATAAAGTGATGGCTCCGTGGAGGGTCAGAGAGAAAGTAGTTAACATTAACAGTGTGAACTATACACGAGTCCTGAACCTGTGCAAAAACACCACTATAGACCTTTAATGCTAAAGCGGTGAACCCATTTGTACCCAAACACTGTATTTAGTATGATAAGAAATAAACATTGGTCTAAAGTTCTGAAATGTACCTACACACTCTGTCCAAGTACCTAACAGTGCAGTGTGTGTGAGAGGTATTTATATGTTTCAGAGTTAGAAGTTAAATAAAAAAAAAGCTCTAACAGAAGCAAACGGACACACTTCCTCCATTAGTTTCAATGGGCATTAAAACCCATTGAAACTAATGCAGCAACTGTTTTCACCTGCTGTCTAATAACAATAGTTGTGTGTAACTTTTATTTATTTGGAATATATAGACAGGAGCCGGTCGCATGTGTGTCCCACTTTTATTGCTTATTTTAGGCCGTTTTCCTTCATTGTAGGAACAATCGGTGCGGTCTCATGTGCCCAAAGACAAGAAAAACAGCAACTGGTTTGAGCGATTCTGGAGGTTTCTTCAGATTTGTGCGGCACAAATGGGTTAATTATATTTAATTTCATGTTGTTTAAGAGTAAAGTGGCATAATAAGTGTAAGTTTGAAGATAATAGATCGTTATTAGGTAACATATCATGTGAAATACTGGAATTTAATCAATAGTTTGCTCCCAAAACAAGACCTGGATTCTCAAAGCCACAAAGTTAAATACCAGGCTAAATATTTCCTGAGTGATTAATATTGATTATAACAGCGATATCATCAATACTAATGACTCCTTACTACTAATAATAACACATATAAAACCCCTCAGATACATACAGGTCATGTTGTGCTATGCAGACATTAAAATGTGTCTTTTGGAGTGTTTCTTTTGTGTGTGTGTGTGTATAAAGTGAGTTATTACTGTATCAGCAGCTCACTGGTGATCACCATCAGAGATACACAGCCGTCCCAAAGCCCGGGAACCAGGAGGACTCTGGGACTCTCTGATCTGGAACAAACTCTGCAGATCAGCCGCTGCACTTCTGGGACTCGACAGGCAAACCTGAAACACTCTGCAGCACCCATTACCGCCGCACCTGTCACTTCACCGGTGAGCAGCACGGACATTACGGAGCCGCGCTGTGCCTCTCATAAGTGTGGCTGCATTATGTGCTACTGTATGGAACAATAAAGCTTTAATGAAGCTTTAGTGGCTGCATACCGCTTGTCAAGGAAACCCATTAGCTGGAGTGTTTGGCTCAAGGCTGCTGTTCAGATCCTTTTATTCATATATAGTCTCCATCGCTGCTGCTCATTGGCTCCTTTCTGCACCCGTCAGCAGAGCTGGAAAGTACATTTACATTTTATTTACCATTAACTTCCATTCTGAACTGTTTGGAGGAGTTTTGTAGGACATTTTACATTAAAACATGATAATTTGATCAAATATTTACAATCTAACAATACAAAGTAGTTATAATCAGCTCCACTTGGGCCTGCTACAACATTAACATGCAGTATGTTCTGAATTACTAATGTAACACTCATTAAAAGAGTTAAAAGTTTTTGATACACAATCATACAGATCATTTACTTAAAGTCACTTATTCAGAATATCAATCAGAAAAAAGTTCCACACTTGAAGTAAGTTTCGACGCAAGTTTTCAACTTCAACTTCAAAAAGTGTCGCAGCAAAGGGAAACGCACAGACCTAGATACATAAAATGTGATTAACGACATAAAATACAGAATAAAAATGTGTCAAACAAAGCAGAAAACATATAGTCATATAAGACCTGGAGCACAGCCAGCCATCATCACACATTTAAAGCTCTAATCTGCAACATTTCTGCATTAAAATGTCTATTAACACTATCTTTATGTTCTATATGTAGTTGAGTTCTCACATTATCCCAAATGTTTCCAACAAAGTTCAAACTCAGAGAAATCTGTCATTTTATTCAGGTAACGCTGCGTTTCACCGGTCGCCTGTCGATGGCGTCTTCTCCCCTTTGTGCCTGCGTCAGCGTTGTGGTTGTCTGCCAGAAGCTGTCACACACTGACTGTTGATCCAGTCTGAAGCCACGTTGTTACCATCCACTGTTTAGATCTTGGTGCTTTTTACCAAGTCGAGCTGACGGTAGCAGCAGCTCGGCTCGCCGGCCCTCCAGGACGTCCTCTGTAACGTAACCAGTGCTGCTTTATTTCCAAACCTTCTGATCACACTTTCATGAGCTGGATATAAAGCCTGAAGCACTATTTCGTTCTACTAGTCACTGAACAGTTTTATATATATATATTATAGATGTATTTATAAGAAAATCCTCGTGTTTTGAAGGTAATTTCCTGTTACTGTTTCAGCTTATGAGGGCCGAGCTAAGACTACAACTAATGATTCTTTTTATTAATTCATAATCCCTTATTCAATTACTTGTTTTGTTTATAAAGGACTGTGGAGAGGATCTTTTATATATTTAATTAGCTTATTTTATCCAAACGACGGCTCAAAATGCTCATTTCAGAACCTGGAAGCTGGAACTTTTTTGGCTTTTCTGCATTTAAAAATCAATATTGGCTGATTAATGATCAACTAACTGATCAATTGACTAATCCTGGCTAACTGAACACAACTAAAGGAGTTCAGGAGTTTAATAATAAATAATAAAGTTTACTTTAACCTGTCAATTCAGCGTTTATATGCAGCATATTAATATTAAATGTTTACAACACACTCTAATATAGTGCAGATGTTTATTAATGTAGCTGTTGTCAACTTCACCGGTTGTTACTTGACTTAAAGTCTCTGCTTCCATTATAGTGCGTTATTAACCGTTTATTACGAACAGAGCTGGAGGAAAGATTCAGATACTTAAAGGTTCAATGTGTAGGATTTAGTTACTCACCCTCCCGCTCCAAATAACACACACACAGCTCGATCTACTGACAGAGTTTGTTGTCTGTAGATAAAAACGTCTCTTTCCAAGGTAACAAAAACACAATGATTCTTATATTCAGGTTAATTATACACTAATGAAAATATAGCTATGGATATTATAGATATTATACAACTTTATTTAAGTATTAGCAGCTAAAAGTATCAAAAGTAAAAGTACTCATTGTTGGATTAATAATAAGTACTTTATTCTTGTGTGATATTTGTGTGATTTATATATTTGTGTGTGATTGTATATTCACCATTGCACCAAGATAAATTCCTCGTATGTGTTCAAACCTACCTGGCAATAAATCTCATTCTGACTCTGAATATTGCTGCTGCATTCGTGTGTATGTGTCATTTTACTGCTGTAGATGTTTGAATATTTGCCTCTGAGATGTAAAGTACAATAAGTAATGTACTTAGTTACATTCCACCTCTGATTAAATGTTTATATTCTGATTTTAAAACGATAAAAAATAATGTTACCATAATAATAAACAACATCTGAGTCTGTAGAAGTATTTTAAGTGACAGATATTAAAGGAATTCAAACCCTGCACTCATTAAACTCAGGGGCACCCTGGTAGCTCACCTGGTACTGAGTGCTTGCCACAGCGGCCCGGGTTCGATTCCTGTCTGTGTTAAAGCTATCACTCCACACATAAAGGCCTGAAAGGATGTAGAGCTGCTCCTCTTCCTCACACTCTTCCAGAACACACACAACCAGGAGTTAACTGTGTTGCTGAAGGGCGCCTCGGTGGTATCCTCAACCACACACACACACACACACACACACACACACACACACACACACACACACACACACTGCCCCCATCCTTCCCCTCACCTCTGGGCTACCACCGCCCCACTTATTTACACTCTGACTGCTTTCATGTGCATGTGCCTGAGCGACGCTTGTTTACTCCTCGCGCAGCTTTACCTCGTGTAAACCGTACAGCGACATATGGAGATGTGCCGCCATATGGCCGTGTTTTGCTGTTTGGCAGTGTGACGGCTGCACAGAACCCCCCCCCTCTCTCTCTTTCTCTTGGATGAGTGGCTGCATGTATGCCACATCATAACAGGACTTAACCCAGGTCATCGCCTGCAGATGTTTTTTTTTTTATTGGTGGTGGAGGGGAGAGATTTTAAGGGGTTTTGGCACAAGTTAAGTCTCAAGTGCGGATGCTTCTTCTGCAGCGTGAAGCCTTGTGTGTGTGTGTGTTTGTGTGTGTGTGTGTGTGTGTGTGTGTGTGAATGGGTCCAGGTGGGAAGATGCATGAAGAGCAGGAAGCGCACTGCTGTTTAACTTTGCGTGTGTGTGTTTGCGTGACTGAGCCACCGTGTGCAACCATATGTGTATCTTGTATCTCTTAATTAGGTTATAAAACAATATCCAAAAGCTTTGAAGGCATTTAGTGCCGAAGTATGAGTCATTGTCCAAAAAAACCTTTCCTACATTTCCCATAATGCAACCAGCACCACACAGCTTCCAAAACTCCAGTGGAGATGACCCTGGTGACATCACTGTTACATCATCAGGGTTATTTTTTATACATACGACTGTGAACTCAACTTAATTTAAATCTAAATACCTCTTTTAAAGTTATTGAGCTTAAGCAGCTTAAATGTTTGCGCAGACACTCGTGGTCACCAGAGGATGAATGGGGGTGTGAAGGGGTGTAAGAAAATCGCAATACGCGTAGTATCGTGATATTTTGTTGTGTGATATCGTAACGATTCCCAAAAACACTGTTGATGTTTGTGTGTAAACCCCCAACCACTCGATAGCAGTGTTGTAAACGTAAACTGAGGGCTGTGATGTTGGACGTTGATCGTGATTACAGTTTTTATCAAAATACTAAACACAACTCACAAAACCACACACCCAAACTGCAGAATCCCTCATATATCCTGCAAAATGAAGCACTGCAACCAAAACTACATATAGCTTTATCAAAATCAAACTTTTGCCCCAAACGGCACACACTTCATTCATATTACCAGATGTTTGTCTAACCAACTACACACTGTTGGGCATAATGAAAAGCACTCTCATCTTCAGTATGCTTTGACATAATACTAAAATAGTTCAAACTGTAGAAAGTTATTCAGATTGTTCACACACACACACACACACACACACACACACACACACACACACACACACACACATACTGGTTACCATTTGCAATGGGGACCAAATTTCTGATCATCACTATGGGGGACCACCCTTTCTAGAGGTTCTAGAGGTATGAAAAAATCAGGCACACTCACCATTGGTTGGTTAGCTCATACACGACTTCAAATATCTGAATTGATGAAGTAAGGTTTTCATCATGCTAACTGGGGACCTATGTAAAATCCAGTAAACATGTTTGTGGGGGACCTCATTTAAATATAATTTGCATAATTCACACAGATTTCCAATTGATTAATGGGGACCATGGTAAAACAACAAGCTTAAGTGATATAATCCTCAGATTATTGCATTTTACCTGTCTTCTTTTGATCACAAGGTTCACTACAACAATGGCAGTGCATAATATAACCACTTTGTGATTCCTTCGTACTGTAAACTGCTATGAAGCTGCAATGGAGCTGTCCTCTACCAACCAGGTTATGTCTTTAATAATAGATTTTTCATAAAGTTATCAAGCTGCTATCCACAGGCATCAGACCAAATACTAGAATTAAACCACAATAATGCAAATGATATAATCTACTTTAGCAGCACCAAAATTAATGCAGAAAGTGTGTCATTAGGATATTTTCACTAAAGAAAATGTGTATTTTAAGCTTTAAGAACTACTGTGCTCGTGGTTTGTGGTAATATAAGAGGAGTCTTAAGTAGGGTTGGATACTGTTGTGAATCACAATTCCACATTGTAAACCAAACTGCACAAAAGTACTGTACATAACACAATAACATTATTTATTCCAGAACCAATATATTTTTTTAGTTTTTATTTATAGCGAAAACAGGGTAAACATACAATGTGTTATACAAATAAAATGGGAATCAAATGATTTACATATCATTTATACTAGAGACATTGTTCTAACTTAATCTTGATATCAGGGGTCACTTATACCAAGAATTTAGTACTGAATTACTAAATTGTTGTCTCACCCATCAAACTTTTCAACCTTAATTTCACTGTAAGGGTTTTTCTTCGTTTACGTCTCACATGGTTCTTATTTTTAACCACAGTCAACTACCCAGAAACTGTGGAATATTGTACTTCTCAGTCACAGAATACTCAACAACCCTAAAACTAGTATTCACGTTTGTCTGTGTTGTTTGCTGCATTACTTCATAGTAAAAATAATTCCCTTAGTTCAAGAAGTCAAACTCTCATTTAAATTATACATTTAAACTTTTTATTGAGTCCTGCTCATTTGCGTTCTCTCAAGACAAAACTGAAAGCAACAATACAAACTTGTATAGAGTCGGATACTTCATTTGAATCTTCAACATCTGTGCCTTTCATCTAAGGACAAAAAGAAGTTACTTAGACATATATCCTTGGAACTGAACACAATCCCAGTGTACTATATTATGACAATACAATTAAAATTGTTTAAAATTCCTACAGTGTTAATCAACCACTTAATTGCAAATGTTATATTATACTTTTCTCACATGCACTTAAATATTTGGAGTAGTGATGTTAACAAATGGTCCTAAAAACAGCAAAAGTCTAAACACAAGAAAATATTTTGAAACTGAAGTCTGACTTGGTGAATGTTTATACTTCTGAACATAGATAATATTCCTTTGTCTGCAAACACACCGTTTGTGCTGTCACAAAAATATACCTTGAAAATGAATCTGAATAATTAGGACAAATCAAATTTACAACATTTGCGATTTGTAAGTTTAGGCAAAACATTGACTTTTTTACGTTTGAAAGACAGCCTTAAAATATAACTACATCTAAAATATTGTAATTGTAAACATAAATATGAAAAACAAGTGTTCAATTTGATGTAATCGCTGCTTAGTATTTATTTACACTACTGCATGTTCTTAATGACAAATTTCTAATGTTAAATTCAAGAAGGCACGAAACTTCAACGACAAAATCATCAAATTCAATATTCCTCCTCCTCCATCAACCTCTGCCTGTTTTCACACATATCGAATAAACAAGCTTAGTGGGGACATATCACACACCATGTCATGGTTCCTTATGGGGACCAATGCTAGACCAAGTCTCTAGGTTGTCAGATACTTAACACACAGTTTCTATTCATACACTGATGTAAGATGTGCTATGGAGTGAATGTCCCAGAATAGAGTGATATTTAATCAAAAAGTAACATCCCTATGAACATTAAAATCTGTCCTGAATATCCTATTACCATTATGTTTCTAGATGCATTTAAAAAAACAGCTTATTTACCTGCTTAAAGGGCATAAAAAGCAACAAACGGTGAGTTAGAAATATTCTAGAGTAAAGTTTAAGTGCTAAACATGAATGTACCTGTTGATTAGTGTCTCATGGACTCAAAGTTTCAGTCATCTGCGTCTCTAACAAGACAGCATGCTGGGAGCTTTCCACAGGAATGACAGCATCAGCTGCATTCATGGTCATCTGCAAACATTTCAAAATATAGAAAAAACAAAAAGTTTTAAGTACCGATGTTATCACTGCATAATATTTAGTTACACTATAATGCATGTTCTTAATGACAAAAATTTCTAAATGTTAAGATTCAAAGCAAAAAACAACAAAGGGGCAACAAAGGAGAGAAAAAGAGAAAGAAGGCAAACACCTTATAGCAGGATCAAAATAAAATGACAAATCAATATTCCCATTCCTCAAACATCAAAAAGAAAAAAAGTCAACCTCTGCCTGTTTTCACACATATTGAATAAACAAGCGACATATTATAACACTTAGTCATGGTTCCTTATGGGGACCAATGCTAGACCAAGTCTCTAGGTTGTCAGATACTTAACACACAGCTACATACACTGATGTAAGATGCTATGGGGACGTCGTGAATGTCCCAGAAGGTGATATTTAATCAAAATAACATCCTATGAACATTAAAATCTGTCTGAATATCCTATTACCATTATGTTTCTAGATGCATTTAAAAAACAGCTTATTTACCTGCTTAAAGGGCATAAAAAGCAACAAACGGTGAGTTAGAAATATTCTAGAAGTAAAGTTTAAGTGCTAAACATGAATGTACCTGTTGATTAGTGTCTCATGGACTCAAAGTTTCAGTCATCTGCGTCTCTAACAAGACAGCATGTGGGAGCTTTCCACAGGATGACACATCAGCTGCATTCATGGTCATCTGCAAACATTTCAAAATATGAAAAAAGTTTAAGTCCGATGTTATCACTGCATAATATTTAATTACACTAATGTATGTTCTTAATGTCAAATTTCTAAAGTGTTGCAAGGACGAACTTAGACAAAATATCAAATTCAATATTTCCTCCTCCTCCATCAACCATTAAAATTGTCTGATATCATATGTTTTAATGATTAATAAAACTGAAGGGACTTTATTAAATAATTACATATAAATATGTAAGTTAAACCAAATTTATAACTGTATAAAAGACACATATGTTTTTTCCTACTGTTACATAAATTAACAATACTTTTGTTTTTTAAACAAATTATTTTATTTGCTAAATGCCAGAATAATAAAAGGATTTTTTAGAACATTTTTATATTTTTAAGTAATGTTTAATACACTAAATTATTATGCTTTAAAAATTGGCCAAGATATGTATGTCTTTAAGTTTATAGTTTATTGACAACATTTAGTTAAAAAACACACCTGTGATGTATTGTAAACACCTGAAAGAGTTTTTGTTAAATCATGGAAAGTCTAAAGAAATAGCCAAGATATCAAAGAGAATTGTGGACTTAAAGTCTGGTTCATCCTTGGTGTAATTTCAATGCCTGAGGTGCCACGTTCATCTGTTCAAATAATTATACCCAAGTATAAAACCATGGGTTAGCCATATACCACTAGGAAGGAGACGGTTTGTGTCCAGGTTGAACGTGTTGGTCCAAAGTGCATATCAACCAAAACAAAAGCAAAAGACCTTGTGAAGATGCTGGCTGAAGTGTAAGAGTGTGTCTTTATCACAGTGAAACTAGTACTTACCGACATGGGCTGAAAGGTCACTTGTAGAAGAAGCCATTACTAAAGACACATAGAAAGCCAGATTACAGTTTGAATGCACAAGGGACAAAGACCTTAGTTTTTGAGACATGTCCTGTGGTCTGACGAAACTAAAATCAAACTGTTTGGCCATAATGACCATGTTAGTTTAGAAAAGGGAAGCTTGAGCCTGAGAACACATCCAACTGTGAAATAGAGGGATGGCAGCATATTGTTTTATAAAATTACAAAACGTTAACTTAACAGAAGTTCTGGTATATGGCTAATTATGTGTTTATACTTGCGTATAATTGTTTAACAATGAAAGCACCTGCATCTGAAATAAATGAACCAACGTGAAGAAATTTTTTATATTTGGCTATTTTTATTTCCATATATTAAAAGAAGGTGTTTAGTGTGCTTAAATAATCAGGGTGTTTATTAACAAATGTTGTAAAAACTATAAAGCTTAAGAAAATATATGTTCAAATTGTTTAAAGGCATAGTATTTTGTGTATGTAAATACTTTGAAAAGTAATAAAAATTGTCTAAAAATCTTTCATATTTGCATTTAGAATAAAATAATTTTTAACTAAAACCTAAAAGAAAGATTGTTATTATGTAAGTAGAGAGGTTTTATAGTGTATGTAAACTTTTTTAATTATAAAAAATATGCCTTCATTTTAATATGAGCTAAGTGTAAGGAGATATTATGGTTTAGATAAAGTATAGTTGTAATGTAAAATTTCACCATGTTTTTATTATGAAATAATGAACATGATAGTATAAAGATTTATTGAGATTTGATATTATATGTTCTTGTATTATAAAAATCTTTTGAAGAATGAAGATAGGGAAATACACCATGTCTGTAAGAAAAGTAATAATTAAAAAAAGACATTATATGTTAATTAGTTGTGGCAATAGTCTAAAAAAATTGAATTATTAGTGCATTTGATGGCAGTTTATTACCTAGTATCTAATGATCTGAGTTTTGAATTAAATGTTAAAATTAATATTATATGAAGTGAAATGTGAAGGGCATTTAGAGACAAGAAGTTTGTTTAGTTTATTACAATAAATTAGAGGCTCTAAGTGAAATCAAAGGTTTTTCAGTTATTATGGCTGAGATGTGTTTGGCTTGTTTATAACTCATGGTACAAATCTAAATTCAATAAATGGTGAAGGTATATTTTGTCTCCTAACAGTGTAACAAAGCTGAAGAAGACTCAGGAAGATGCACAATCACAGTATACACACCCATACAGAAAAGAATAATGCAAGATAAACTGAAAAATGGGGTTAAGGCTTGTTATAACTTTTCCCATATTTTGTCTGTTAATCTCCTTTTATGCTATTTAAATTATTATTTTAATAATAAAATAATATTAATAATTATAAGTAGTAAGTTTATTTTTTGTAGTAAAATAATAACCATTTATGTAGATGTAATACTTACTGTATTTAAAGATAAAAATAAATTGAGCCTTGGTAGTCAAAATACCTGTAATGACTTTTTAACATGAGTTGTTTAAATATAAAATCTTTTACAATTTTTTATAATATATTATATATATATATTAAGTTAAATATATTACTAAATTATTACCTGAATGTATTTTAAATTTTGTTAACACTAAAATATTTATTTTTAGTTGTATAAACTAAATGAAAATATATATGTAAAAAGTACTTTAAGCTAAAATTGTTATAAAAATTGTAAATTTGTGTTAACTAGTTTGTTGCTAATTAAAGCTAATATCTACTAACTAATTAACACTATTAACCTATTAGTGTTTAAAATGTATTATAAAATAATGATTATAGAAGTAAGTAAATAAGATAATATTGTTACTTGTGTGTTGTAGTTCCTTTTTATGTGACAAAATCTTTAATTGAAGAGCCTTTGCGATTCCCTTTAAACACTGAAAATTGTGTTTGTCCTAAAATCTTTTAATGGGGACCAGGAAGTGGTAAATACCATATTTGGAAGATTTGTGGTGGAACGTGAGTGCCTTACCAGCTCATACAGTAAGGGCGCAAGCATGCGTCACACACACACACTAACTGGAAAACATGCCCAATGGGCCAAAGCTAAAACCACACAGGCACCTTCGATAGACTCCTGCATTCATTTAAAGAGTTTCCCTTTAGGGGACCTCATTTTTCGTCCCCATACTGTTAGAGGTCCCCATGACGTGACTGTGTAAACAGTTTGTTGTCCCCAGGACGTGATGAATGCCAACACACACACACACACACACACACATACACACACATGCTGTTGAAACATTTATTTTTTTATTTTTCACCAAACAAGTCAGTGCAACATATGCACAGCAGATATATTTATATTGGGGTGAACAAAAATATGCTCACAAAGAACAAAAGTAAACTGAAAAAGAAAATTAACCTTCAGAAAAAATGTGTAGAAAAGAAATATGCTCACCTGTGGTCTTTTTCTAGTGCTTTCTTCCTGATTGAAGTGGTAACAATGAACCATTGAGGTGTTTGGCCAGGTGGATCATATATTGGCCAATCAGCTCATGTAGTGTCTTTTTGATTGGCAGTGTTTTGAAATAGCAAACATGTGACTTTATGTCAGATTGTTGTGTCTTATGCAGAGAACCGTGTTCAGTGCATTTAAAAATGTGTGTAAAGCAGAAAATGTGTTTAGAGTTTTGGAGACTTGAGAAGAGGTTTTGCTCTCTGTGTGTCACTTTAAATAATTGTGCTATGCATGTCATTTTAGTGTGTTAGTAACTGGAAAAAACTGTAAAACGAGTGCAGGTCCCATATCGCGATATATCGGATGGTAGCCCGGGTATCGTGATACGTATTGTATGGTTTATGACCAAATACCTGCAAAACTAATAACACTCCCATCAGCCTAATTAGCAAATGTTGTGATAAATGAATGTGATAAACATTATAAACATCACCATTGTCTCTATGAGCTGATGTTAGGATGTTAGCCCCCCCCCCGCCCCATGTTGTGTATGTTGTCTTGAATGAGCTCACCAAAGCAATTTCCTGTGCGCTTTAGCTGTAATGGCTATAAGGTCAGAGACAAGTCAATGTTGATGCGTATAGAAAAATGGCTTCAGCAGCTCGGTTTAGTCTGAAGAGCTCGGTGGATAAATTAAAGCTAATAACAACTTTATCTGCTGCTCTCGAGGGACATTTATCCTAAAACCCAACAGGATGAACAAGAACTTTCACTGAAAACCATTTTGGTTTCACACACTTTGACATTTTGGAGATACTACGTGGTGTTCTCTGGGCGGCGTTGGCACCTTTGCATATGGGTTGCTGTGCATGCTTGTGTGTGTGTCTGTGTGTGTGTTATGTGTGTGTCTGTGTGTGTGTTATGTGTGTGTCTGTGTGTGTGCTATGTGTGAGTCCATGTGTTTGCTCATGTGCATGAGTGACGCACTCTCTGCTGGCCAGAGGACACTTTGACTCATCCCTGTCTGTTGACTGTACTGAGGTCTGGCAGGTCCACCACTGAGAGCAGCGCTGCGCCGACTGCAGCGTCAAACGCCCCCCCCCCCCCCGCCCTCCCTCCTGCCCCGGAGGAAGTGATGTAAGGGCTGAACACGATGAGAAAAAGAGGGGAAAACAGGAGGAACGGAAACAGAGAGCTAATTTTCTTCCTCCTCACGCTTTATGAAACACGCTGTCGTTGAACGAGCTGTACAACATTTCCTCCAACGCTCCCGAAATCAACATTCGGGGTAAACGTGATCATTGTGTTTTCTCAAATGAACTGAAACTGTCCAAAGAATTCCTCCTAATTTTTCCCAGACTCCTGAGCGTGCATACCTTACATACCTTACAGCCAGTTCAAGAGGACGCCATCTTTGCTTTGACCTACATTCTACTACGCCTTGACGCTTATCCGTTCATACATGTTACTATAGAGATGAGCGTTGGAGGTGGTGGTGGTGCTCGAGCAGACATCGGAAAATGCCCTGAGAAAAGTTCCCCCCCCCCGCTATCACCCTGTGAACCGCCGGAGGCTCTGCACAGCTGCTCGCCGCGACAACTCCCCCCAGTGTCCTCTCGGAGAGCTTTAGATGCAGTTTTAGCTTTGTAAGACGGTATAATCGGGCGGAGACGGAGGTGGG